TGACATGACATTTCGAATTTAAATCTTTTTTCAGATTTAATGTGTACGTATTTTAATCATTTCACAATTCTTGAAATCTTATCAATTTATATGTATACATGTAAGATAATCACTAAAATAGTCTTTAAATAAAGCCAGTCTTTAGTCCATAAATCAAAATTTTAATCAATTGTTTTAGCAACTGCAAATTGGTTATATTAATAACTTATAAATGTTAATTTTTTGCCATTTGTGATTTGACACCTAACATTTTTTTGGAATGGCTATTTTCCTTTGTGTATGATTTTGGCAACCTTTCAAGTTTGGCCTGCTGGTGACAATTCAATTGCTGCTTGGTCAATAGAGCTTGGCATTTGAATTGATTTATGGCCGATGTGCAATCCAACTGCATTGTGGGCCAATCCCCGCTAATGGGTTGCATTTCACACTCCACTCTAAACGGCTGCTCTCGCATCTTGGCCAACTTGCATGCGAGCTGCAACAATTAGTCGAGTGGAGAGACGTTTTCACAAGACTTCCCTCTTTGTTATCAGCGATCATTAATCGGTTTCCATTTAAATGGGCTGAAATTAGCCAAAATGCTTGCGGCTAAACGTGCAATTTGCATAATTTGTGCGCTACATTTCGTTTTCCATGCCAATAAAATGCATTATGGCATTTGCAATTAAGTACGAGTGCCGCTAATTAAAAGTGTAATTGTGGAAAAGTCTTGTGAAAACGGAAAGTTACAAGTTTTCCTGGCGGCCAGTTCGCCAGTTTCACCCGCATCGCCCCCTTCCCGCGATCTAATTTACTTTTGTGCAGCGAAGTGCAGCTGATTTATCTATGAACTCTGGTTTTATTTTAGACGGCCAGACTTAATACGCACAAAGAGGAAAATTGCCTCTAAAAATGCTGGCTAGGCATGTGGAAAATGTATTTGGAAATGTGCATCCACCAATGTTAGCCGGGCCATTGACTCACCGTCCAAAAGATCCGCAATGAGTTGAGCTCACCCGCCTGAGTCATTGCTATTTGCGGTGTTTAGCAACACAAATGCTAAGCCAGCCGAAGGTTTATTAAAACAAAGTTTTAAAAAAACAAAAAAAAGATCACTTTATATGCATACTTTTTAAGTTTACTACACGATTAATATCTTTTACCATAAATATTTATAAAATAGTGTTTAATTAATGAAAATACATTTTTTTTAAATCCACAATGAGTGCTTACTTATTTTCATGAACATGAATAAAAGATGAAGGGCATTTATTTATCAAAAAGAAGCTTTTAATTTTTTAAATACAATGTATAGTTGCACATAAATATTTAACAACTGAAAGATTCTTGAAAAGTATCTTTAAGAATAAGACAAAAAATATATATTTTTAAAGTCACAAACGAGTACTTGCTAATTTTTGCAAATTGCTTGTAAAATATCAATGATGTACAATTTTTTTCTGTGTACCCTCTTACTTCTGAGGTAATTCCCATTCATTTGACATTCGAAACTGCAGTTTACTTGTTGCATCCGTCCTCAAGAAGTGAGCCTTGTCAACTCATCGCTCTGGCAAAGCGCATTCAAGCGATTCATCCGCTGCCCCGCCCACCTTTCTGCCGCCCCTCGATGGCACGATTCTAGCCGGGCCAACATGACTCGGCTGGCAATTTAGTTAATTATTTTAAGGCAATTATCGAATGCATTTTGCAGCCATGGCGGCACGCCGCTTTCAACACCGAGCTCATCAGCAAAACTATTGAAGCCAGCCGATGACTTACACTCTTTGGTCACTTGAAGGAAAAACGAAACATCATTCTTCAATGCGAAAATTAAAACTTTAAATATTTTTGTAGATATCTATAGTGATAACTTCTACAATTTTTTAATTAGCAATATTTTAAAGTAACATTTTGGATAAAATATAAACTGAAGTTCGGGTAACCAATATCTTTAATAAAACACCTTTAACTTTTTACTTAATTGATCTAGTACCCTCTAGAGCTCTTTTTCATTGAAGTGGTAGAATAATTTGAACCGTCAACACTCTATATGTCCCTTTATTTACCCTATCGGCATTTAGCCAGCATTAGAGAGGTATTTGCATAAGTGCACTTGAAAGCACTTGGCCCATTGATGAGTCATTTTTCGCACCTGTCGCCAAGTCTGTCTGAATAGCAAAGCGTGTCAATTGCTTCGACATTTCCTGCACAAAATTTCGCTGCAAAAATATTTATAATTTTCATACATACAATACATAGCTCAAAAATGGCAGCGAGTGAATAACAATTGCCGCGGAGCGTTTAGTTGGAAAGTGGGTCGAGTTACGTCGCATTTGAATAAGACACATATAGTAGACCGTCGCGGCAACTCGCGGTGGCAACAAACAACACTGGCAACATGTTGCCAGCTCGAATGGGCGGGTTTGTTTACAGCATTTGGCTGCGATATATATATTGTATATATCCCATTTCAGGTGATCATGCAATGCAATTAGCCGTGGATGGAAAAGAGATCCGAAATACAAAGACGTAATAAAATTAACGTAAAAACAAAACTGGCTTGTCCATCATGAAATTTGAGGCTGATTTTGTTTTGTTGTTGCGTCTTCAGTTTTCCTACAATTAAAGTCTGCCATATGATTTTGCTTTTGAATATGTGAACTCATTTTTTTGCGGCTGCTGTGGTGGCAGCTAGTTTCTGCACAGCGAGAAAAAACTATCTTTTATTCGATATTTTTCAGATTAAAAACATATCTCAGTAGGTCAGTAAATACATAAATTGTGGATACATAATTGTGGAATTTAGAAACGAAAACAAACAACTGAATAAAAGCAGAATAATTTAAACTAAACCAATTTACTTAAAAATTTGGAAAGTTTTTTAAAGCTACAAATTGTTCAAATTATCAAATTATTTTGTTTAAAATTTTTTATCCTTCACAAAAATATCTGGTCTCTAGATCCATTCGTAATCCAAAATTGGCGCACTACTTTATAATTGCTTGTTATAAGCTGCATATTTATTAATATTTTTGGAACAATTTTTTTGAAAATTTAGCTTTAAGCATCTTTTTTTTCTCTGTGTATTTGCTGATGGCAACTTCCGCTATTGCTGGTGGTGCTGTTGCTGCTGGCAGTTGTGGTGGTGCTGCTGCCATCATCAACACATTTCATTGAGCGTGAAATAGAAACAGAGAAAGTACAATGTGTACAATAATTTTATTTGTGATTCACTTTATCTTTGGCTGCGCAGTCTCCTCTGGCTTTAAAAAAATCCAACTCTGCCACTGCAATTGTGTTGTACTTGTATTTTGTTATTAAAGTTTTCCATTGTTGCTGCAGTTTTCCTTTTGGCTTTCGGCTTTTGCAGCGACAACTACTTTGTGGTTTTTTCGGCATCGTTGGCGTCTTTTGCATTTTATGCAAATTACCATTAATTTTATTTAAGCTTTTCATTTACAGTTTTGTCGCTCCACTTTATTAGGTTTGTTTAAGTTGTTTTTTTTCTTGTTGTTGTTGTTGTTGTTGTTTCTTGTTTGGCTTCCAGTTGTTTCGCTGATAGGCCAAAACAATCGCGTTGACTTCTCAGATTTATTGCCAACTCGTGATTTTCTCTAGCCCGATACGTGGTTGCATTGGCTTTTCCGCCTTCCGATTTTGTTGCGGTGAAAAATAAAGAAGCTGCCAAATGGTTACAAGGCTTGATGGGTTCTATCGCTGGCTTTATTTTCTTTATTTATTTGTTTTGCTGTAGGTAAACAGGCCTTTTGCCAGTGCTAGCCAGTGTTTGCCAATTGAAGGTCCAATTATCGATTAAACTTTGCATGCAATTTTCAATGTCTCCGCAAGCCTTGATCCAAAAAGGTCGGGTTATAAAAACACAAATAGACCCCAGCGAACGTGGCTTACTCATACCTGGCTAAGACTGACACTCGCCTGTCAATTATGCAAATTAATTGCTGCCGTTTCCCGCGTCGATAAGTCCGAGTGGCATTCGAAAAGCCCAATAAGATCTCTTTTTTTGCCCAAGACTTATTGATCTGAAAAGATCTTTAATCCAGTTTAATTGAATGCAACAAAAAATAACAAGGTAAAGGTAGGAGCCCACAAAAGGTATTATTCTGAAGCAGAAAATTAAAATGAATTAAAATAATTAAATATTGTTACCACAAAAGTTTTTTTATGAAAATAGTTATTTGTTTAATTTATGACTAATCCATTTAACCATTTTTATAATTAATTGGCTTATAATTAACACTATCCACGTTAATAAAAATTTTAAAATCAAAATTTTGTCACGTTTTGGACACAATGGGAAAAGAGAACGAATATATGTTGCAAAACTAAGCCAAATGATAAAATGCAAGAGCTGCTTAACTGAGCGCTGTTTAATGAATTTATATATTAATATACATATAATAATATCATGGGTGGAAGAGAAGATTATGATGCATTGAAAAATATTTTCAATCCTCTTTAAAACCAAATACTTCCACAATTGAGTTAAAACTCCCAAACGCTTGTGCTTGATGCGCTTTTAATTTTTCGCAGTCATTTGTCTGCAAACCGCATCTCAGCAAAGCGGAGAAGTGAAAATTCAATTGCATTTTAATTTGAATAATGGGAATTTGTGTCTTTTGGACGGGTGGCTTTTGCAGCCGTTGGTGTCAAAAGTCGATGGCATTGTTTTGGGGCTTGGGAGTCTCTTTTTTGCCCGAGAGCACAGTGGGCCAAATTGGTGCAAAAACCAAACTGTTGTTTTTTTTTTTTTTTTGCATCTTGGTTGGCCTGCAGCCAACTGAAAATGCAAATAACTAAACAATTAGTAGTCGAGTGCTGAGAGCTGAGTTAACCTTGCGGTTTGCCAGGCGTCGAGTACTCTGGCTATACGTGCCCATTGTTAGCTTACTTTCATTGTCTTGAGTGCCATATAATTGACAACACGTCATAGAACCAACAATACGCCATATCTGTACTATATGCACACAAAATTAACTTTCATTTTTTCCTCGTTTTTTCAGAATCTCGAGCAGGAAAAGCATGTGCTGCGCCAGAAGTTGGCAATTGCCGAGGACGAGAGCGATCAGCGTGTCCTCGAGTTGCAGTCCGATCTCACCGAGCTGAAGGACAAGCTGCAGACCCAGGACACGGCCATTCGGCAGGCGGAGAAGGAGAAGACCATCCTGATCGACGAGCTGCAGCACCAGAACACACGCCTCACCGAACAGATCCAGGAGGCCCACGCCACCGAGCTCAAGCTCAGCGCACAGATCCAGGAGCTGAAGGACCAGTACCACTACAGGAACAGCAGCCTGCAGGTGCGTTTGGTTTTTATTTAAATTTTCAGAACTTTTAATACATCATCAAATTATCACAACTTTTAAAAGCCTTTATTGGGTAATATTAATAAAGTTTTTGTGTAGGGAACTTTTATGAACTTTTTGTTCAAACACTTAGGAACTTTCTTAATTATTTTCTTCTTAGATCCGATAAATGTAACTTATATTTATTTTTACACACTTTAATATGAAAACCTCCTAATCATATTTAATAACTAACTACCAATACTGTTCTTCAAGCTTAAGATCCTTATAATAAGGAGCAAATACATTAAAATTCGTTGAAATTTTATTTTAAACATGAAAAAATGTTTGCTTAAATATCAGATAAATAAGAAATAAATCAAGCCATCAACGTTAAGATTATAAACAGTTATAATAATCCATAGATTAATAAAAACCCTTTAATTTGTAACTGGTTATTGAAAATCCATTTTAATTTAAAACCCCAATCTCGCTACAGGAACATGTCAACAGCCTGGAGTCCATCAAGACAGAACTCAACCTCACCACGGGTAAGCGGCAGGAGCTGGAGCGTCGGCTGCAAGTCGCCCTGGAGGAAAAGGAGAGCCTCACCTCATCGCTGGAGGAGTCCTCCGACAGAATCCACATGCTGGAGCGCCATGCCCGCGAGCAGGAAACAAAATTAGAGGTAAGTCACCTACAGTTTTTTGGAAAGAAAAGGTGGCGGAGGAGGAACAACAGAATTGGCTTTATCACGTCGCGTCAACGGAATCGTGATTTACCCACCAACTGAAGATTATTTATGAGCCAGCGGAGTGAACTGCGCAGTTTCTTGAGTGCCTCTTCCAGGTTTATCTACCCGGCAACAACTTTCTTTTTTCTCTGTCATGGGCAAAGATTAAACTCCATTCTATAAATATTTACTAACAGGGATTTATTAATGAAAAGTTAAAGCAAGATACCTAATCAGTTGATTACACTTTGCACTGATTAAAAAATATATGTGGAGTTGAAAACAATATATATTTTAACTAAAGTTTGCCTTGAAAATAAATCACTGCTTATTTTTGATTTTTAAAAATTAAATATCTATTTCATATTTTTTTCAGACCACCTTACAAGCATTGGAACGCTCCCAGCGCGAAAACAATGTACTCAGTGAACGTTTGGGTGCCGTAAGTTGTCCTTTTTAATAATTTATTATTTCACCATTTACTAACCAAACATACTGGATAAATTACTAACCTCATCTTAATTCGTATAAAGCTTAAAAGGAAATTTTAACATTATCAACCAGCATTTTCCCCTAACATCAATCGGTATCCACCGAAAAGCTCAGACCAACTTTTACTTCGGCTTTGATTTATTAACTAAATAATTTTTGAATCCTTAACCCCTCAGGACACCAACTCAACGCCGGGCAGGAAGAGTCTGCAATTTGAAATGGAGTGCGATGAGGACGATGGCAGCTACACGGAAACGGGGAAGCCCAATCAAATGTTTATTGAGGCTCGATCCGTCTACATACAACTTAAGTCCCTCGTGGATTCGCTGAAAGTCAGCCACGATGACGACTCAGGTGGGTGCTTAAAATTAAAACAAAATATTTCAGAACTGACAGATATGCACAAGAAACTAACATTTATAAAATTATCTATTGTTACCAATTTTATTTTGGCTGCATAATAAAATTGTGCATTAAGGTATCTTTGCGTAAAGATAGAAAAATATTCAATAAATAATTCATTAAAATTTTTGAAAATACAAGCCAATTAAATTATTTAAAAAATTTTAATAGTTAAAGAATTGTAAAATAGTAGTGAAAACGCATTTTCCTTTTCCAGGTCTCAACTCGGACATATCGCTGGAGCTGGAGTCGATGGACAACACCATATCGAGCTCGGAGCGCCACGAGGACGGTCACCTGGCCATCGAGTTCCGACAGGGCATGCTTTCGGCGATGTCCGACGAGCTGACCCGGCTGCTGCTCAACCTGGACGCCGGGAACTTCAAGAAGATGCTGGACCAGACCCGTAATCTGGTGCTGGAGCAGGAGGATGAGATCAAGCGCAGCCACCAGCTAATCCAGCAGTTGGAGGCCAAGGTCACGGTGACCGATGTGGAGTTGCAGAATGTCAAGGAGGAGCGAGATCAGGCTCGTGGTGATCTGGAGGACAACACGGACCGCGATGAGTTGCTGTCCAAGGCTCAAACCGAGCGGGATGCGGCCAATGATCGGCGAACCAAGGCCGAGGTGGAGTTGGCCAAGACGCGGGTGGAGCTGATGCAGGCGAATAGCCAACTGCTCGAGTCCATTCAGCAGAAGGTGGAGCTGTCGCAGCAGCTGGAACAGTGGCAGATGGACATGCACGAGCTGATCGACGAGCAGATGCGCTCCAAGCTGATCAACAACCGGCGGGCGATGGCCGCCGAGTCATCCGCCCCATCGCCTCCAAGCAGTGCCGCCGCCAATCTGGCAAAGCGTGTGACCAGCTACAAGCTGTGGAGCTTATTTCAGCGGTAATTGGACGAACCTTACGACCCGCTGGAAGGTCTACGCCACCCTTTTGTTCTTAATGTAGAAGAACGGATCTATATATTTTTAATATTTATATTTATATACACAACAAAACCACACACAAATCGGAGAGCCTAGGCATATATTGTACTTTATTGTTATTTGTATACTGGAAGCATCGACCTTCTTCTGTTCGTAGTAAAATCTATCTAATTACGCTTTATTAATTTTAAACACTTACCGCATATTCGATATGATTATTGTACCTACTGTAATTACTGTAATTGTAACCCTATTTGTACTTATGTTTAAACACAAATCGTATAAGCGAACGCTTTGCGCCTCTATCTCTCTATTTAGTTTGTCCAGAATTGTTCTTAAATCCCTATATGGACCCCACAAGTAATACTTAAGCGGTAAAGAAATTTGATCTTTTTTTATGACAACCTGTTTTGTTACTTGTTGGGCCCGTTTAGGTGTTAATTGTTAACTGATAATCAAAAAAAATGAAAACATATCGCGCCTTTACGTTGGGGGCTTAAAAAGCCTCCTCTTCTCGGGAGAAACTGTTGCGATTCATCAAAATCAAGTGAAACGAAAATCAAAATCTGTACGTAAGCAAATATTATGTGTAAGCAAGGCATTTATGTTATAGCAAGTAAAAAATATTTATCATGCTGGCAATCGGAGGGAGCGCAGAAACGTTAAAAAACTGTGCAACAGACAAAACTTGCCTTAATGAACGGACAATGACATTTTAGATTGTTTAAATAACATAAATTACCAATAAACTTACGAATATACCACAACCCTTATTCTTGATAATTGCAATCATTAACATTTTTACAATTTAGTATTGTCCTCAAACAAACACTTAGATGTACTTTAAACAAAAACCTTAAAAAAACTTTTAAAACTTTGTTTTGATTGCAATATTGCCTTAGATTCTAAGTTTGTAAAAAAAATAGCTTAGCCCTTTTTCTATGTGTGGAAAATTAAGTATTACTTTTACAGGTACGTTGGTGCTTTTTAAAGCTTTTCTGGGAGAAGAAACCTTCTGGGCAATGCGGACAAGGGTAGGGGCGAATCTTATGGCTAATGATGTGCTTGTCCAAGGTTTTCTGCAAGGCAAACTTTACTTCACAGTGTGGACAATGGAGCAGTGTCTTCGGCTCATCCGGCTTCTTGTGCGTCTTCTGATGACCCCGTAAACTCACTTCAGTCTCAAAGGCTTTGGCGCAATGCGCACACTTGTACGGACGATCGTTGTTCTCCACATGCCAAAGGAGATGCTTTGCCAAAGACTGATTCGCGCAGAAACACTTGCCGCACTGGTCGCACTTGTAGGGTTTTTCTCCAGTGTGGATGCGTAAATGGCTCTTCAGGTGATGATTATGCGAGAAGGCATGACCGCACTCCTCGCACTTGAAAGGCTTCTCTCCCGTGTGAGTGCGCTGATGCTTTTTCATGTTAGACTTTTCGTAGAACGACTTGTCGCAGTCGGGGCATTTAAACTGGCGATCCTCGTTGTGCACCCGCAAGTGGGTGACCAGATGCTGGCTCTGGACAAAACCTTTGCCACACAGCTCACATTTGAAGGGTCGCTCCTCCTTGTGCAAACGGCTGTGCAACTTAAGGCCCGAGTTCTTAATAAAAGCCTGTGGACATTCGGGGCACTTGTATGGCCGGTCACCCTTATGCCACTGCTGGTGAGCCCTCATGTTGGATAACGTGTAAAAGGCCTTGTCGCACTGCGGACACTTGTGAGCCTTCTCCTCCTCGTGGGTGAGCATATGCGACTTTAGAGTCGGTCCGTGGGTATACGACTTTGGACAGAGCGGGCATTGGAAGGGTCGCTCTCCGGTGTGCCTGCGCGTATGGACCGTCAGTTGGGCGCTAGTTCGGAATCCCCGACCGCAATAGTCGCACAGATGCGGCTTTTGAGGATCCTCCTTTTGTCTGTGCCTGGCAACGTGATTTGCCAGCGACTTATGCGTCTTGCAGGTCATTCCACATTCGGTGCATAGAAGAGATTGATTTGAATCTTTGTTAACTGATTTGAGCTGCACATCGTATGGCATCCAGGCCTCATCTTGGTCTTCTGTCCACCCAGTTGACCATTCTGATTCGCCTTCACTTTCGCTTTGATTATCATCATTATCCTCTTCCTCCAATGCATCTTTTAAAATCTCGACGTTAGACTCATGTTCATCTCTTTCAATATTGTCACTCGCCGTTGCTAAAATTAAAAACAGAATTTGTATAACAGAGCCAAGGCATCAACTTTTAGACTTACGTTCGAAGACTTCTTCAAACGCTTCACAGTCCACCTCTTTAGTTGTTAATTCTGCAGTTGGCCCGACATTATCCGTTTTCAAGTCCAAGCGATTATCCTCCCTTTCAGAATTAATTGGATCTAATGGATCCTCGCAGCCGACCATCTCGAAAGCTATTAATGGGCTCTTCTCAGCCTTTCTGCACCGCAATTTACGCTGATTGGTGGCCAATTTTTCCAGGAGAAGGTGGGAAAAGTATTCGAAACTCTGCTCGCACTTCACCTTAAAGTGAAAGGCGTTTTGGGCGGCCACCAGGCAGGCGGGGCAGATTTTCTGTGGCAGTGCATCACGATTCACGCGACAGTTCTCGTCCAGAATGGAATTCAGCATTTCCCAAATTGGTGGATCTGAGATATCCGATGAGAAGAGATCCACCAGTATCGTTGAGTTGGTGGAACAAGCCCGACAGTTCTTCTCCATCCTGGAGTCCGCGTATCCTTCCATTTTCCAAGATGATCTCCCAACCGCAAATGGCCGGAATTTCAAAAAGTCCAAGAAATGTTGGGCACTTTCTTGCCAAATAGTCAATGTGAACGTATTCAAGCAGGGTTGTCCGCTGCTGGCGACGATTTGCCGATAGTTAAATTACCTATGTCTCTCATCTCCAGTCACGTTGTGAGGAAAGCTGTGACTGTGATTAATATATACAACTGTTAATAAGCGATATACGATATTTAAATTCTATGTAGATTAAACTTTACTTTCTATAGTTAGCAATTTAATTTACAAATTCTTTATAACCTTTTTTATTTATTGCAGTCACCTTTCGCCGTCACGGCTGTGACTCATTGCATAAAAATAATCGTGACTAGTCCCGGACTCACTGATATCGCTCATCTCTATCAGCTTAGAGCAAAATTAGTATCTTGTAACAAACAGGCAAGCGAGCAAAGGCCTTTTTGTTGTCGTTTCTCGCAATGATTTAGGTCTTTAACAAAGTGTTTATTAGTTAAGCATAAAGTCTCATCACCCATCGCTGGACATGGATATCCTGGACATCGATGAGGCACTAAAGGATGATTCATATATGTGAGTGATGCACTCCTGTTGTTGCTGTTTACCGTAGTTGTTGTTGGCATTAGCGGAGATGCTATAAATACTCATAAATGCCTGGTACTCTTACTCCTTGGCAGATTTCTGGCGGATAAGAACCACGACGATGTCTCCAACATATTGCAGCAGTGGAAAACGAACAATCAGCAGCCGCTGCAATTGCACTTGCAGTACAACAACGAGGGTAAGCCTTTCCACACATACCGATGCACCCACTCAATCGCATACACACACTCTTATGCATCAATGTGCAGTTGCGCTTTCTAAAAACAAATTTGGGTTAAACTGGCGGCTACGTTGACAAAGTTTGGGTTGCATGTGGGCAGTATTACTTGCCCAGTATTTGCCCACAGCTTACCGTTGTCTTCCAAGTGGTCATTCGCCATAATTGGCAACAGCGCCAATGTTATTGTTACGGTAATTAATCAAGCCTTAAACTCACACACACAAGCTCTTGTTACGAACAGCTGTGCGTGGTACGGTAAAAAATAAGAAGAAAAAAACTGGATATGCTAATATGGCAAGAATCTCGCATAATTTGCAAACATTATATAAATCCAATTTACTTCCGCCCAGCCAGCGAAAGTCAATCAAGCGATACGCAAAAACACTTTAAATATAACAATTATCGGAATGGAGACGAGGATCAAAAATCGATTGGGTGATTTAATGCGTACAAAATGCGGTCATGCTTAGCTTTTTTTTTATGATTTTTCGAACAAAAATGGTAATTAAAGCAGAAACAATTTTTAAAAAAGGGCCTTATAGTGTTATTTACAAGTTATTTATATTGCAGCACACTATTTATGCATTTGTTATATGGTATTTATATTTAGTAAATTATACAAATATTTCAGCATTGCTACTTAGATAAATTTTGTTCAAACTGCGGTTTTATCGTTGTCATCGATGAGGAAGTGAGGAAAAAAAGTTTATAACTCTTTACGGTGCCGAACGCATCTTGATTTTTTTTTAGCAGCAACAGTGCTGCGAAAATCCACTTGCTAAAAACGTCCTCTTGTCCCTTACCTACACTGGAAAAACGGTAAATTCCTTGACGGCGTGCACTCATTTACTGCGAAGTTTATTTTGGCGAAAGTCTGCCTATTACTTTTTAGTAAAGCCTTTGAGATGCGAGTAGTGAATAGTTCCAAGCCTAGTGCCACGGGCCGCCTGAGCGTTACTTTCAAGGCTCAAGCAAACAAGCAAAAAAAGCTAAATGAACGTCTTCATGAGGGTGTACAAATGCTGCTTAAAAATGAGAAGAGCATGAGCTCCGTGCTGGACACGATTTCGTCAACTGAACAGGATCACCGCTTGGCTACCGTTACCGGCTGGTCTACGGTTAACATTAGCAATTGCGCCGGCATCTCCAACTCATCCATCTTTCTAGCCCTCAAATGGGTACTCTTGCCCCTTAAGGTGGACATGTTCGACTTCAAGCGCAGTGGTCCTGAAGACAACATGGCAAGAGGCCGGTTCCTGGTGGACAACTTGCTTACCGCGAATCGTCTTAAACGTTTACAAGGAGAAGCCGCCGTTCTGGTCACGTGCCAGAAGTTCGATGTTCGCGTCACACCGGGTCTGCCGCAATCTGTGATGAACGCCCAGATATCCGACGACCTTAAAACTGCCGTAGATGCGGCATTGAAATCCCGCTACGAGCCGGCTACACACACCTTAGACCTCTCAAGATTCCATGCCAGTCCGGAGTTGACCAAGCATTTCTGCCCGCTACATGTAGACAAGCTTCTGAAGACTGTGCTCACCCATTCAAGTCAGATCTTTCCCCAAATGACCGGCATCATACTGAGCAACAACTATCTGTGCTCCCTAAAGGCCTTTTCAGGAATCTTGGTTGATCTTGTCAGTCTGGAGCGCTTGGACATCAGCGCAAATAAAATCCAGGATTTAGAAGAGCTCCGCTACCTGGAAAAGCTGGGTTTAAAGACCATCTTTCTGGCAGGAAACGGATTGGCAAAGCTAGAAACGGACAAAATTCATGAAGTACTGCCCCAGCTGCAGAACATCCATGGCTGTGTTCAGTCTGAGAACGAGATTCAGGGCGTTGATAATCTTCCCAAGTTCCAAAGAATCCAGAGCGGTTTTATCAACGAATCAAAGTTCTGTAATGGCTTCATTGGCTCATACTTTGATTGCTTTGACCATCCCGAACAGCGCTCGCGTCTAAAGGACTACTATGACGATCAGGCTATGTTTTCGCTTAGCTTGCCTGTGCACCTAAATCATGTGTACGCCTACAAGTTGTACAATAGAAACCAGAAGCGACTCCAATCCTCTTTTGCGCACAACGCCAAGCTACAAGTGGGCAGTGCTGCACTGCTTCTCGCCCTAAAACGCTTACCATTAATGCAGACCGACCATCAGAGTGCTGGACTGGACATCCAGGTGTTCACTGCGAATTTGCGCATCTTCACACTGACGGGGTGCTTTAAGGAACGCACCTCTGAAGGCTGGGAGCTAAGACAATTCCAGCGCACCTTTGTGCTGCGCATGCAAAAAAGTCCTGGCTGGCTTATAACAAATGAAATGCTGTGCATTACTTCCTTTGAAGTTCAACCAAAAGACGAAGTTAGATTTGAATTTATTTCCAATAAGTTGGTACAGAAAAAGGTTGATCGTTCATTCCTTAAAACAAAGACTGGAAAGAAAATCCCTCAAGTGAATACCCCTTTGAAAATGGAAGTCGATCCGCTTAGCAACGCTGTTCAAAACATGAGCCTTTCCAGCTCCAATATGAATCCACTTCCCAAGGAAAGTTTTGATGATATGCCACCGCTGGTTCCGATCTATTCATTAACCAAGGCTAATGTCGAAGCCTTGGAAAAGGAGATTGAGGAAACTATGATGTCAGAGGAGGACGCCTTTGATTTGATCATTGACGAGGATGTTCTAATTGGAGACGTTTATTAATTAAAAATTTAATACACATATCTCAAATAGAAATAAGAAAGCAAACATAAAATAGGATAATACAATAGATTTATAAGTCAAGTGGAAAACTCAAGAGCTTTAATTTATTGAAAATTTCTTTTTGTTTATGAAAGCCTTTAAACACAATTCGAAGACCTTCACCCGCCCCAAGAGACGGAATCTGGATTTCGTAAGTACAAATTTTGCTTTTGCTATAAATTTCTTTTATAATCGGAACCCATATTTCTGCAGAGCCAAAATGGACCCGGAAATGAGAGCAGCGGAGTCGGTACTGGATCTGTCTCTAGCACCCCGGCGATGCTTCAGCTGGAAATCGGAGGCCTGGTCACCACGAACATGCACAAATCGTTTCTGCAGGACACGTCGCCCCCGTCTTCCATATGCTCCTCCATGAATACGGAACGGATGAACAGCTCGCTGATAACTTCGGCGGACTTTACGAACTTGAACTTCCTTCAATCCACAATTGGCCTGGAACAGGAACCGAGCCTTACCACCACCCTGACCAACCAGACGACGGACAACATGGGAATCGGAGGCGGCTTGAGTGGGTATACGCTCAATGACATGATCCGGGATCGCAAGGCGCTGGAGTCGCTGACCATGTGCGAGGACGATGGCACCCTAATCAAGGACTCACATATCGGCCAGATTGACGAGATATCGCTGACGTTGAGCAAAACCGCATCCGGCTGTAGCACCATGGACAACAGCACAGATAGCATGTCCGTTCCCTTGGCTTTGGATCGAACGGTGCCTGCTGCGATGCCTGTTGTTTGTCCTTCCCTGCAGCGTACCATGATCCTGGGCGAGGAGATGATTGTTGACACCACCTTCAATCTGGTGGATAGCCTGACAACCTCCGCCCTGCAGTCGGAGTCAGAGTCTCTGCCAGTGGATGGAAATGCGACCTTTAAGAGACCAACTGCAGCTTCAGCGGACGAGACTCTGGTGGTGCTAGGTCGCCAGATGAACACAACTTTCACCGATCCCGGTTGCAATACTCCGGAGGGCCGTTGTGAAACACCTGAGAATATTGACCGGAAGTTGGCGTTGCTCACCATGGAGTCATCTACGCCACTGACCACAAACATGCGATCCCACAGCTTGTACAGCCACAACAATAATAATAACAAGCAGGGGTATACGCCCAATGTGAAGGTACTTGGAGATATGAACCTGTCGCCGATTGTGAGCGCCACTCCGCAAAAGCCCAGTGGTGCAGCACCAGGACGACTCAATCACACCTTCGAGACTGCGGCCAAAACAACACCATTCAATGGAGAGAAGTTCGTGCTGGATACCATGGAGTTGTTGGAGCAAATCGAACAGCCGCTGGATGGCACCTATAGCCTGCAAATGTCCGAACAGCACAAGCAGATGCAGTGCGTCATGGACCTGGCCGAAGCGGAGGTCGAGATGTTGGCCCAGCAGGGCGATGAGGAGCAATTTGAACACATGCTGGCCGAGTTGGGAAAGGTCAATACGCTGAACGAGGAGCAATTAAAAATGCAAAAGTCCCTGGACACCATCAAGCGTCGCTTTCACAGGGATGAACCGGAGCCAGAAGAACGGGAGGAGGAACACCATGCCCAGCATTCGGTAACCGAGAAAGCAGAAACTCCGGCTCTTAACCAGAGCCACTCCAGCAGCAATAGCAGTGGCGGTGGTGGGGAACGTCTGCTCAGCCGTCGAAGTCGCCTGTACGACGATGTTAACCTAAGCGCTATGAACGGCAGTAATATTAGTTCGGCCAGCGGAAACTCCGCCTCATTCATTGTCCAGCGACGAGATTTGCCACAAGTGGAACAACAGTTACCAGAACCAGATCCCGAACCCGCGGAAGAGCCTCGAAAGCCCCACGTGGCCGGCGAGACTGACCCGTCCAGCTATAAGCTGCCGGAGAGAAGGGAGCGAGATCGCGATCGTTTTAAGACCATCAAGATCTCAAAAGAGATGCGCCTGCAGTCGGAGATTATAGTGCCTTGTATAGACGATGAACCGCAGCAGCTTGAGGAAGAGCCACAGCAGTTGGGCGAAGAGGTTCAGCCGGAGGAACAGCAGCCTCAGCGACAAGCTTCTCCACCGGGTCGTCTGTCTCGTCGAGACCAAAACACCGTGCTTAACAACAACACCGCGGAGAATAGTGCAAGCAACTATCTGACCTACAAGAAGCCCAAGGAAAAGAGTCTGCTTCAACGACGGCCGCTGCAGCAGGAAGCCCCACCACCAGTAGAGCCAGCGCCTGCGTCAACTCTTCCCCAGCCGCGCTCCCTCTCCCGGCCTCGCTACATCAGCGGTCTGCAAAAGTTCACCACTGTCAGCAAGGCTACGTCCGCGGGAGCCGGACTGAATGCCACTCCAGCCGCTACGATGCCAACCACTGTCACAGTGCCGGCCACCGGCAGTGGCGAGTTAAAGAGTCCCATGGGCATCAAGTCCAAATCTTTCCACAACTTGTCCTCCACGATGAGCGGCATCGGTGCTGGAGCTTTGCCGAGACCCAGCTTGGGTGGTGGACTGCGTCGTCCAGGCGCGCAGCCTAGCAAGATGATGGGTGGATTACGAGGACCAACGCAGAACCAAGAAGTTAGTGCAACTAATCTTTATTTTACATTCGATTTCTAAGTATTATCTTTTTATTTCTTCAGGATGAATCTGGTGTGTTTAAGGTGCCCAAATTGGTAAGTGGACTGCGTGCTCCAGGTCTTGCAGGTGCAAAAAGGGCAGGAGCGAATGGTCTAGCACGTCCTTCGTCTGGTTACTACAGCCTGAGTGTTAAAGCAGCTCCTGAGGCGGAAACTCCAGAGGTTAGTTAGAAGATCATTACAGTTTATAATAATCTCAAGCTAATCTTTTTATTTTCCTCAGAGCCTCTCCTCAGCCTCGTCGCGTGGAAGTCTGTATGGTCACAAGGAATCCGGCAGACCGGTAAACGGCGGAAATGTTCCTCAGCAAAATCCACAGCAAAACTTCGACATGCAGGCACTCACCTCGAAGCTCACCCAGGTGACAACGGGATCCACTGGCATACCAAAGCCCTCGGGATTGCGGCCACCATCGCAAATGAAGCGCAGCGGCTTGCCAAGGCCATCCAGCATTGTCAGGCGCTGAAAGCTAACCACTTTCTGCGCATACATATGTCACAGTCCTCGCCTGAACCGAATTTCCATGTTGTCCGTTAAATATCCTTTCATTATTTACTTTGTGTTTAGCTCTCTTTTGTGTTGATCATCCCCGCAAACCAACTCCACTTGCATAGTGTTTTGGAGGCACTAGCACCTATGTTTATGAATTAATCTTACGAAAATTATGCATTTAGTTGAACACGACAGAAACAGAGAACTTGGCGACTTGTAAAACAAATAGGTACTTCTAGGAATCCCCTACATTTACATTTATATATAAATAGAACAAATACACACACACACGAACTTTGCCTTACGAATCCATAATAAAACAAACGAATGAGAAAATTGAGAGAGAAGATTAAAGCGAGAAATGATAATAACTGTATATTTTTGTAAAAGCGATGCAAAAATTCTACGAACGTTATATTTTGTGGATGCATTAAGTGCTCCAGCAAATCTAGCAAGCAAATCGAATAAATATTACTAAATAATAAATATACAATAAGATCTGCTCAGTGGCCACGAAACCACACAAAAAAAAGAACGAAAGAAACCAAACTAAAATCGATAGTAACTAATAAGAGTATTGAGAAACGTGTTAAAAAATCGAACTTACTATATTATCTAATATTATCCCATATATATACAAATACAAAAAATAAACGATAGCAATATACATTGTCTCATGAGATACTTACACCAGAAGGTACATGACCTGTTTATATTTTGCTATTACTTGCTCTCCGAATCGAAAATTATCATACTCGTGATTTCCTGAGGTGCAGAGTATATTACTATAACCTTTGTATCCTAAAGAAATATATCTCCTTTGGCTCTAAACTTGTGCTATATAATTATTATACACATTTTTGTAAACCATTCAAATACATCAGTTTTGCTTTGTTTTTTTGTTGCCAAATTAAAAAGTGTAACTAACCTTTTGTTAGTGACCGACGAGAAATTCTTTAATAAAACTACGCCGCATTGTGCGAAAATTATAAACCTAAAAATCTTCGATTTACCATCACACATGCATATCCTAAGTTAAGTTTAGTCCGCATTGTCTAACCCTAGTGTAGTCTTAGTTTAATCTGTAAAGGCCTCGTTAAAGGGTCAAGTATTGTTTCACCTTCATCAACTGGTTTATATTCATACATCTAACCCAAGCGACGCCTGTACTTTGTATCCTAGCGCTAACCCATTAAGCTTTAACCTGATTAGGTGATCATTTGCATGAATCGAATTTAGTTAGCCACTAAGACTAGTATGGACTCTTATTTTTGCTAACGCTTTCGTATGAGCCTTATAATGCAGCGGGTCAGATCCGTATGGTTTTTTCCCCAGTATCAAGTTAAGAATGAAACCGTTCCAGCAAGTCTCTTTTTTGACCAAGCCAGATTTTCAAATAAAAAACCAAGAGATTTGTGCTAAAAAATAACTACCGATTTTTTATTGAATTCTATCCGTTGAACTTGCAGAGGCCCCACTTGCAATTCCTCACGGAATTTGCGGGACGACACCAATTATTCTTCCAGGAGCAGAAGATTACTTGCTGAACGACGGCAGGAGCCGCTGTGGTTGTTGTGGTTGCTGATGTGGGTGATGCCGTTGTCGTTGTGGTCGCTGGCACCACATATATAATCCTTTTTATCTTAAATGCCGACGAAGCCTGAAGAATGACAAGAGCAGCCAGAGCAAAGATCAAAAAGTGTTTCATTGCTGCTATTGTCTGGTTCAAATGCAAAACTGATAATGTTCAATTACAATTATGATGGTATATTTATATCACCATTAATCGGTTCATTTGTTTGTAGTTTGTCAACAAATGTGTTAAGATCTGCTTGCAAGGCTAACACACAAAATTCAACTTCCGATTTTTTTCTTGACTTTATGTTAACTACCATATATCTCTTTCCTTGACTTTGACTGCCACAATCATGTTGATTGTTTGTACAATAACAGATGTTAGGTTGGTTTAAAATGAAGAACTATAGTTTTTATTGAAAATAATTTTGTTTTTTAACTGATTAATGTTTTATAATGGTATAATAATTATAATTATAATTTTTTCTGGGAAAAGAAGTTCAACAAATGTTGACAACTTTCATTTTTATAAAACCACAACTAAAAACCTTTTAAAATCGCAAAACAAAATATAGAAAAATAATATGTTTTTACTCAGAATAAAAATATCTTGAAGGGTATTTAATGACCTATATTCATACTTAAACATTGAAAAAGGAAAAAGTACTCAGTAAGCCAAAAAAAAATAAATTAGTTTTCTTTTGTTTTGAATGCTATACGTCTCTATTTAAATATTTTCTTGAGGCTTAAGAGATAAATCTTTGTAATATATCACTTTATTTTGGTTTTTAGGTGACGTAGTTCTCGGGCACACAATGTCAAGTATCACCAGCAGAGATCAGAATAATTGTTAGAGTAATTGTTACTAGATGTAGAAGAACACACTACTGCCAGGTGGGGCATCTTAATCAATCCCATAACCGAATGCCACCGATGGCTATGTTGCCAATGCGGCAGAGCATCGCACCGTTGATGATCGAACGAATTTGGCAAGGGATCGGTTGTCGCAACACTCGGCCTGCCAGTTCTCTGGTGGCATTCGTGGCGCGTGCATCTTGCAATATATCTCAGCGATTGAGATTCGGGAGAAATCCTAAAGAAAATACCCTGAAAAAAAATCCTCGGCAGGATCTTATTGGTTTTTTGATCGTGGCAACGTAAGGACAAACGGTAGACGCTGTGGAGCTGCAAAGAGAGAAGGCGCTCGAATTCTTCCGAGTCTTGACCTTTGTGCTGCTGTTCCTCATAATATCCCTGTACCTCTATCGTTTCGCATTCTAAAGGAGTTCGAGTTGAGTGCCTCTGGCCGATTTGGGTGAGGATCCTCTCCGTTGTGTAATCATCGCAAAAAAAGAAAAAAGGGGCAGACTGTGATTTTAATTTCATTCTCGATTCCGATTCCGATTCGTCTCGCCTCGTTCTCGATCTCGATCTCACCCGCCTCCTCCTCCCTGTGGGACCTTGACGTCGTGTGGTTGGTGCGGTGGGTCTAATTAAAGCCGCAGCTGAGAGATGCCCAAATTACCAGCGGTTGGCATTGATCTTGGCACCACGTACTCGTGTGTCGGTGTCTTTCAGCATGGCAAGGTGGAGATCATCGCCAACGACCAGGGTAACCGCACCACGCCCAGTTATGTGGCGTTCACGGAGTCGGAGCGTCTAATCGGCGATGCGGCCAAGAACCAGGTGGCCATGAATCCCAACAACACGATCTTCGGTGAGTCTCATCATCAACCCCAACATGTCCTTGCCACAAATCTTTCTATCTCTCACGATCTTTGTCTGGGAATTGCTAGCAAAAACAAATCTGGTTTAATTACTGGCAACGATTTCATGAATGAACTGTGCGCACATTTTTGTTTATTATCTCGTTTTTCGATTTATTTTAAGAAATTCTCACTCGCTGGCGCCAAAAATTGCAGTCTCCCCAGTGCGAGAGAATCTTTTCCACTCCCACTGCAACCTCCACATATTCCCTCTTGGTTTCTTCTTTTTGTTTTGCCCCACCCATGTGGTCTAGTGACACCTCCACTTGTTGTGTCAGTTCTTTCGATGATGCGGCTCCTCAGCCTCCCAATGGCATCCAAGTTCGGTCCGTGCCAACAAAAACTGTTGCCGTGTTTATTGGCATCATTTGTGTCGGCCAAATAAATAAGTGAAAATAAGTCTCAGTGCAAGTTGTTATGGATTGTCAGAAGCGTTTGTTTTTGCATAAATATTTCTCATGTTGACCCGTGGAATGCCATAGATTTTTCTCGAGTTTGTTTTCTTTAAATGGTATGATATAACAAATAAAGGAAAATAAGAAATTATGATACTGAAAAGTACATCATTAAAAACAATAATTTTTTAGGTATGATAAATTCAACAAACATACTTATTTAAGAAATACATTTTAAGGACTTGTAATTACTTTTAAATGACTTAGCTTTTAATATTTCTTATTCAAACGAATAAATTGTCATAGATTTTTTTTATCAGCATTTCTGTAAGAAGTTTCTCTACATCAGTTTATAGTTCCTCCGTTGTATAAAATCATTTCCATGCTCCCATCCGCGAGATCAGTAGAGCAGTTCTAATGCGAGCCAACTTTCTCTTTTTGTAATTTCATTTCAGTCGCAGGGTCCGCATAGAAAACCGCCTAGAAAGCCTAAAAGTCCTGCCCAGACACAATAGAATAAAAACCAAAACACCAGACTCGACACCACCACCATAAGTCCCAAAAAAAACAATCCCCCTTAAATGTTAGCTAATAAAGCGATTCTGTTGTCCAAGTGCGCTGATGTTGTTTCATTGGATTCTGACCGAGTGATTCTGACTTGCAGATGCCAAGCGGCTGATTGGCCGCAGATTCGACGATGCCGCCGTTCAGTCGGACATGAAGCACTGGCCCTTCGAGGTGGTTGCCGAGAATGGAAAGCCAAGGATTCGGGTGGAGTACAAGGGCGAGCGGAAGAGCTTCTATCCGGAGGAGGTCTCCTCGATGGTCTTGACCAAAATGCGCGAGACAGCGGAGGCTTATCTGGGTGGCTCCGTTACGGATGCGGTGGTCACCGTGCCGGCTTACTTCAATGACTCCCAGCGACAGGCCACCAAGGATGCGGGTGCCATTGCCGGTTTGAATGTCCTGCGGATCATCAACGAACCCACAGCGGCTGCTATCGCCTATGGATTGGATAAGGTGGGCACTAGCGAGCGGAATGTCCTGATCTTTGATCTCGGTGGTGGAACCTTCGATGTATCCGTGCTGACCATCGAGGATGGCATCTTCGAGGTGAAGGCCACCGCTGGGGACACTCATCTCGGCGGTGAGGACTTCGACAACCGTCTGGTGAATCATTTTGTGCAGGAGTTCCAGCGGAAGCACAAGAAGGATCTTGGCCAGAATAAGCGAGCTTTAAGGCGTCTGCGCACCGCCTGCGAACGGGCCAAAAGGACCCTTTCCTCGTCCACACAGGCCAGCATCGAGATTGATTCGCTCTTCGAGGGCGTGGACTTCTATACTTCAGTAACACGCGCCCGTTTCGAGGAGTTGAACGGGGATCTGTTCCGGGGAACCATGGAACCGGTGGCCAAGGCGTTGCGGGATGCCAAAATGGACAAGGGTCAGATCCACGACATCGTTTTGGTTGGTGGTTCGACGCGGATTCCCAAGGTGCAGCGACTGCTGCAGGACTTCTTCAACGGCAAGGAGCTGAACAAGTCCATCAATCCCGACGAGGCGGTGGCTTATGGTGCCGCCGTGCAGGCAGCCATCCTTCATGGCGACAAATCGGAGGCGGTGCAGGATCTCCTTCTGCTCGATGTAACGCCACTTTCCCTGGGCATTGAGACCGCCGGCGGGGTGATGACCACGCTGATCAAGCGGAACACCACCATACCCACCAAGCAGACGCAGATCTTCACCACCTATGCGGACAACCAGCCGGGAGTGCTCATCCAGGTGTTCGAGGGAGAACGCGCGATGACGCGGGACAACAATAGTTTGGGAAAGTTCGAGCTCTCGGCGATTCCGCCGGCACCACGTGGAGTGCCACAGGTGGAGGTGACCTTTGACATCGATGCGAATGGAATACTCAATGTGACGGCGCTGGAGAAGTCGACGGGGAAGGAGAACCGCATCACGATCACCAACGACAAGGGTCGCCTGTCCAAGGAGGACATCGAGCGGATGGTCAACGATGCGGAGGCGTATCGCCAGGCGGATGAGCAGCAGCGGGATCGGATCAATGCCAAGAACCAGCTGGAGTCGTACTGCTTCCAGCTGCGCTCCACCCTCGACGATCAGCAGCTGAGCAGTCGGATCAGTCCCGCGGATCGGGAGACCATCCAGCAGCGCTCCAGCGAGACCATTTCGTGGCTAGATGCCAACCAGTTGGCCGAGCGGCAGGAGTTCGAGCACCGGCAGCAGGAGCTGGAGAGGATCTGCAGTCCGATCATCACGCGGTTGTATCAGGGCGCCGGAATGCCACCACCACCACCATCCGGCGGAGGCTCCTCCAATTCGGGAGCAACTGGTGGATCTGGCCCCACTATCGAGGAGGTGGATTAGGGCATTGGGAACGGGGAGGAACTGTTTCCTTTTGGTCCTTCACAGTGATTTCAAATATGTTCGTTATCCCTGAAAATTTTAAAGTTCTTAGCAAACATTTTGAAGCTTTATAAAAATTACTCTTTTAGATCAAATAAATTTTACTTGTTTGACAATAATTTAATGGGTTATTAATTATTATCTTTTAATTTAATTTATTTTATTTTATATATTCCCTTCAAATAAATAGACTCCCTTTGAATAGGTCAAGAAAAATCATATGGCATTGAAAAGTAGATTTCCACATCTATTTATAAAAATCGTATTTTCAAAAGAAAATTAAAGATAACTAACAAATCGATCCCATTAATAATTATTAATTATTATCATAATTAATATATTAATTGTTGATATAAAGATATTTCTATTTCTTGCCTTAAAATCACAAATTTTAATCCAGAACAATCCGAAAGAAAGTAAAAGACCGTAAGTAGTTGAAAACACAAAATTGCATTTATTTCTATTTACTCCCAAGATCAACCAACACTGAACTCCAGATATGTGTCTACTCGTCGTATGTATAGCATAGTTAGTAGTACAAATAGGCGTACACCTGTGTGTGTACGCTTGTATAGGTGTATATGTAACGATCTTTATAGCTGCTGTATTTCGTACTATTGAGAACGGATCTATAGATAGGATACAGTAAATCATGGAACCAAACGATTTACGATGTAGAGAACATCAACTACAGTCAACAACCTTGGTATCAAATATTAAATAATATGTATTACCATTGAGTAAGTAATGTACAATTGTTCTACACATTTTCGATTATTGTATTCACTTGAAACGCCTCTGTAGAAAAATTCGTAAGTCGTAAACTAAAATTGACTTTGCACATCCGGCGTTCGGAAAATGCGTTAAAGACTCCTATTCCTACAAAGAACCGAATCTATAATATCCTCCCTCCCTCATTTCGATCTATTAACACTTTTGATTTAATTCGTGGCGATGACTTAACGTAATTATTGATTTAGCTAGATTTATCTGGCATATTCCGATACAGTTATCATCATACAAGAGATTACTGCTGTTGTGTAAACCGATTTTGTATAAATTCATCTTGCGTATATTTTATCAGTACTATCTCACACTAACGATAAACTCTAGACTAGTTAAGCTAATCAATTCATGTTGATCTAAGTAAGTGAAAGCCGAGTGGTATATCAATTCTTCAGCAGCACAATGCAATCGCAAACCTCTTTCACTTGGCCTGCCACATTTCTCACTAGCTGGATAACTTCGATCCGCTTGTATAACTTCTACAAAAATTGTATGACAATATACACACACGTATAAAATGTTTCGATTAGCTCCTACGTATTATGATACACACAAAGGCTGCCTAACTTGAGAACTCACTTATAATCATATTATTAGTTCTAGTCTTAAACGTAGCTGATTTTACTTACTATGTTACACATAATCTAAGCTGACTACAACACGTTTGACGTTCAATTTGAATTTAATAAATTTAGCAACGAGCTCTTAATGCAAATCCTTGTCTACTACGCAAATTAGATGTTAAACCTTCGCTTACTTACGACCTAATTTACAACTTGGGCCTACTTATACTCGAAACTATTACTATTTTAGAGGGCCTCAGTCGAAGAGCTGCAGGGGCCGTGGTATCCGTTCGTACTTCCCGGCGACGATTGGGAGGCAGCTGCTCTTAAAGCGGCTCCAACTGCGGCTCCAGAGGATCCACCTGCTCCTCCGGCCTGAGGCTGTATGAATTGCTTGAACGTCGTCTCCAGCCTGGGAGGGTACTAAAGGTGGTTACAAATTGATTAATATATTGTTTATTTAATATCTATGAAGTGCTATAAATATTTTATCTGTGGCTTATCTGTTCTAATTACTAAGTTGATTTAAATAAAATCATATATGAATATGATTAATATTTGTGATAATTAATATTTGTGATAATTTAAACAAATACAAAACAGTTTTTAGATGAAGAAGGATATGCATGTTTTCCTTATCCAAATCTTACTATTTAATTAATTAAGAATTAAAACATTTTTTCTTATCTAAGCAATTGAAACCCCAAGTTCTAAACCATATCAAAAATTACTAATTTCTGGAAGTGTTATTGACCTCTTAAACTATCCAATAAGTATATATAAATAAATCATAGCTCACCTCCTGATTTTCATCCACCGATGGCAGCAGCTCGTCCAGTGAGTTGGGCGTTAGCGGACTGGGCGTGGCCATGGTGACGCGACTGAGGGCGCCGTGCTGCATGAGTGCCTCGCCAATGACGATCTGCGGCTTGTTCTGCGTGAGGTGCTGCTGCTGCTGCAAGCGGGCCAGTCGCAGCTTCATCTCCTGCCGGATCTCCTTCTGTTGCGTCTCCTTCTCGAAGCGCATCATGCTGTAGCTGCGCACCGAGGAACTGGTGCTGTGCACCGACGCTAGACTTGGTCTTCGAGAACCTACAAGCGAACGAATCGAATCGAAATATAGTTGTCAGTTGGATGACTCTCGATGATCAGGATATTTGGATGGGGTTGCAGTATCATAATTGAGTGAGTATCGAAGCGTTTTTGGTTAGAAGAAACGGCGTGGTAGAGAAAGATAGCAAGTTAGATATACGAGTACATGAGAAAGACAGGAGACAAAAATGCAAAGCCACAGCGAAAGATCATTCCGAAGCGATTGGAAAGCAAACTAAGAGAGTGCGAGCAGCCGAAGATTCCTAAACTGCAGAATACTGTAGAAATTCCTAGAAAATTTTTGAAATTTAAAGAGACCCTAACCTTTTATTAAGAAGTCCTTAAACATTTAACAGATTAAATCCTTAAGATTGAGAGTAAAACATTTTTATCTTTATCCTAAAAAATTTAATCAGTTTTGGCTCAAAAAAAAAGTGTTTTACCAATAAAAAAATTAATTTAAATATAACCTAAACTAAAAAAAAATTACAACTATAAAAATTCCACCATTTACATTACGTATACGCACACATATTACTCATACGCAATGTGGTACTAAGGCTTGACCTTTTTCCTAACCATATGCTAATGATAAATTTACAAAACTTGCCAAGGTCCATAGGATAAGAATTAAGATAAACAGAAACGGAAATTTCATATAGGAAAAGTTTGTTTCTTTCAAAATGCAGACATCTTCGGTTCAGAATTCAAGGCGCACAAGAAGAAGAAAAGTAGCAGATATAGAAGAAGAGGAAGAAGCGGAAGACATTCACATATAAAGTTGCAGGATTAACATATATAGAAGAAGAAAATTTTCATATCGTTTTTATCGATTCGTATGTGTGTGTGTGTGTGTGTGTGTAAACTTTTAGATTCTCAACCGGAAAAGTTCAGGCAAAGGTCAGCCGGAGGTTGAGTGGCGTGGATAATCCTGGAGGCAGACAAGTGTCCTTTACTGCCGGCAGGATGCATGCAATTGCAATTGTGTGTATTCGTGTTTTTATGTGAGTGTGTGTGTGTGTGTGACAAAATTTTCTTAATTTGCAATAGTTGAATATATTTTAGCTAGAAAATCGTGTACGGTTATGCTACAATATTTCGTATTTTGTGGATGTTGGGAAAGATTGTCTATGAACATAGTCACCGCCATATTGCTTCAATATCATCTTGTCGAAATGTCGCTTTTGATATCCTTAGGATCTCTGGCTTGTCCCAATTCTTCCTTTTCAGCCGTTTTCATTCTCTTCTCATTTATTTATATCGCTAATCATGTTGTTTTAAATTATTATCTCGATATTTAGCTTGTGAATTAGTGCACGTGTGCGTGTCGTTGTGTTTGTGTGTGTGTGTATGTGTGTGTGTTTTGGTAACGATAGAAAAAGTAAAACAATGTAACAACTTTGTATTTGGAAACAGAGGGGCTCGGAAGCACATTTATGGTAACATCGATCATCAAGAGAACGCAAAAATTGATTTGTAGTCTTTCGTTTTGAACTGGACAGAGTAGTCAATTTAAACACTAATTAGACAAGCAGGGGGATAGGGATAACCAACGCCAATGTACACAAATTAGGTTTCCAACTGTAAATAAACTGAGCTGAATTAACGATATGTGATTGCATGGATAACTCAATTTGCGAGACTTAATTATGGCTCATGAGACATGACATCCATACAGATACTGATGATTTGGAAGGACTTTAATTACACCTGAATGTACTGGTACGATTGCATTCTCACGAAATAATAAATTAAAAATGCAGCATGTTTTTTGGTCGTGTTAATGAACAAAGTTAATGCAAACAAAGAAGCGAATTTTTTCGTCCTTATTTCTTTTCTATTTTTATGAGCAACTTCATGTATACTGGTGAGTTTTTATTGTAGGGCTATTAAAATTCACAACATTTTTATGCATTTAATTTCGCATGAATTTTGTGCTAATGAAAAACCCCCACAAACAAAAAAACTTACTAAGAGATTCATGGATTTTTCTAGTGTAAGTAATGAATATTTAGTCATGGTAGTTTCAAGAACTAGCGAGTAAAAAAAATCATATATTTCTTTCATAAAATAAAACAAAAACTAAGGGCTAAAACATACTTTAAACTATCTCTAACCGGAAAAGGATGCATCGACTAAACAGATACGAATAGCACATATTTAAACTTGTTTCTGTTGTGAAGTGGAACTGTTTTCGGAATGCGAATGGGGATGAGCAGACCACACGATCGAACAGAATGGATGGGCTGTGATATCGGATGTCAAATGTCGAATGTCAAATGTCAAATGTCGAATGACGGATGACTGATGTTTGAGTTGATTTACCGCAAATCGTGGCGTTTCACTCGCCGGCGTCGGCAGTGCGCCAATTTGCAGGTGATGCAGCTCGGCGCCAGTGGCGTATCCGCCGCTGGAGTCGCCGCCAATGGTGTCGGCATCGCCGTAACCACCACCAGACACACCGACATAGCCACCGCCACCGCCAAAACCGCAAAAACCACCAGGATCAGCTGGATCGCTATCGTGGGCATGGGCATTAGCATTTGCATGGGCATGGGCGTGTGCATGTTGGACTGTTGTGCTGGGATCTATGCTATCGTCATCGTCCTCATCATCGTGACCCCTAAAATTATCAATGCCATTCATGCCCAATAATGTCCTAAATCTATCCTGATTCCTTGACCTCGCCGGCGACAGCTCAAAGCTGAGCAGATGCCGCTGGTGGTTCAGTTGCTTCTGCAGGTGGCGGTTCATCGAGAGCGTGCTCTCGCAGCTGCGGCACCCACTACCACTCCCACCACCTCCACCACCTCCTCCACCACTTCCACTTCCACCACCTCCTCCACCATCATCGAGATCGTCCCGGGAATGCTGGCTGCATCCCGCTCCGGATGTGTGCCGCGACGAGGCCCGGGAATTCTGTTTGGACACCGCCGCTATGTGACACGATATGAGCAATATGGCGGCCGATCTAGCCGCACCTGTTCGTGACGTCGACACCAGGATGCCCTTCGAGCCGCCACCGCCGCCGCCGCCGCCTCCTGACCCACCTCCTCCTCCTCCTGCGCCGCCAGCCCCGCCTGCCCCGCCTCCTCCGCCGCCGGCTGCCCCGCCCAGTCCGCCGGACGAGGCGCGTCGGTTGCCATAGGAGCCAATCGATCCCGTCGACCGGATGCTGGAACGCGACGACGGACGCGCCGAGTGAACGGTGAGCGGTATCCCTGAAACAATGGCAACCACTTCATTAGATAGCTAGTAGAAAAAAACAAGAAGAATGAAATCTCTTTCAATTAAAGCACTCCAAAATTCTACCTATTAGTAATCACATAATCGATATTATTAAATTATCCATTCAAAAACACCTTTAAAAAAAAAAAGTTCCCCTTATAATTTATAATTTTTTTATATCAGCCTTCCCGAAATTTCAATAGGTTTAAGCTATGTTTATAAGATTTTTAAAAAATCCATAAATAGCAAAGTAAGTAAAAAAAAAGACCATCTTATATATTTAAGTCTATGTTATTATTAAACAGAAATATTACAAGTTTTATTATTTAAACAATCACCAGAAACTTCAATTTAAATTTCACTCTGTAAACTTTATGAAAACACATCCCTAATTGGGAAAATGGTGAACAATAACAAATTTATACAGCATTAATCACCTGTATCGCTGGAGTAGAGAATGGGCGGCGGAATGCTGGCATCCCCGTAGTTTCGATGCCGCGGATACTTTGTTTTGCTGAACAGATGGAGCACCATGCAGATGAGCCCGGCCAGAACGGCGATGCCCGTGGAGACTCCCAGCAAAGTGGGCAGATCCGAACTCAGTTCGCTGAGATCTGAGAAAACAAAATTACATCGTTTTTAAGAGCAAATAAGAATTTTATAATATAACTTTGCTTTTCGGAGTAGCTAGCTTCCTTTCTTGTTATTAATACCTATACTTATTTTCTTTTCAGAAATTTTGTGACCTACTTTATACTGTTTTCAAATGTTCAAATATCAGAATTATTAATAGATTTTGTAAGAACTTTACATAAAAATATTTTGAGCTTGAATTTATCTTGTATATATTACAGAGTGCTAACTTTGCACCAGGTGCAATTTGTTTTATTTTCCGCTTGGTCTTAAAATAGAATTGTAAGCGACATGTGTAATTGATGTTCTTGGCTGTGAAAGATTACCTGGAGTGCAGAAGATGCGGCGCGTGGGCTTCACGTAGCTCACGGAGTGGAATCCGCTGGCACACTGGCACATCGCATTGTGCCGCACCTGAACACAAAGGGAGTTCTCGTCGTTGTAGATGCACGTCTCGTCATAGAAGCACTGATCACCCAGTTTTTTAGCTGCCAACAAACGGATACGTAACATGCAATCGTGGGAGTTAACAATGGTTGTTGCGATGGCAACAAACTTACGTTTGGCGCATCCCTTTATCAGTCCCAGCTGCACGGGATAATTGCGTTCGCAGGTGCAGGTTTGTGATTCCTTGTCGCAGGACACGTGTAGCAGCTTTACGTCACACTTCAGCTCGTTGCACGGTGCTCCGATATATTTACCCTTAGCTGCAATGCGCAAACCCATTTAACAATTAAAACCAGAATGGCAAAATGCAAATTTAATGAATGTGGGACTAAAAAAAACTACAAAAGCCTGCCCTATAATTAATAGAAAATTTATATGTGTTTATAGAGAATATATCTTAAAGAAAAGAATTTTAAATACAACTTATAATATTTAAGAGTTTGTTCATTAAACAAATTTTATAAATTAGATTTACTGCAGACGAATTTATAGCTACTACTAAACCATTGAAACTGTTTCACTTGCTTAAATTGCATTCTAAATTAAATTCTAAACTAATATGTGCTCTTCTCTTTAACAAATCAGAATCTGTTTATTATTATCAACTAGATGCATAAGTGCAATGATTCTATTGATTTGTTAACACAAAACTCAATCCAATTTTATTGAAATCCCATACAATCTGCATTGCTACACAGGCAAACACGACCCACTGTGGGCCACCAATTTTTGCTGTGGTATTTTGTAATTCCCGCATCATGGGGAAAATAAAATGGATGAGTCCGTGAATCACACGGCATGGTCCTTTAGCAAGGATGCGAATGCAGCAGCAGCTGTTGCGGCAGATGCTGTGTGCCAGGTGGACATGGCGTGCCAAAAATAAAAGTTAAACAACAACCAAGGACCAATGTGGCGAGTGGATGTTGTGCAATTTATGGCTCTTATGATCTCGGGGGTACTCGCTTTGGGACCTCGTTCTGACCAAAGGTCAATGCAAACCAACGAAACGCAGTCCCAGCCAAGAGCATTATCAACACAATTTCCATTTATTTGTGTTTGCAACTGCAGCCACAAATATTCATTTATGAAATGGTATTAAACAAAGGAGCTTACAGATAAGTTTCCGCAGCAAACAGTCGTATTTATGAACTGATGCAAATAAAATAAATAAATTGTACTTGTTGTACTGGAAAATAAAATTTAATTTAATTTATTTTGGTTTTCAGGATTCGCTTTGCACTGAATTCGGGCGAAAAGTTATTTCTTTGTAAGTTTTATTTGCACTTAATTATGGTTAACATTTTTATGGGACCTTTTGTAAATCATTCTAGCGAATAATTAAATTGGCCAACTATCAAACAATTCATAAAGTAATAAAAAAAAGTTATAAGTACCGAGAGAGGATTTAAATATAATTTTTTGCATACAAACTTTATAAGAAAATGTATTTAATCATTGAAATTGAATACTACTTTTGGGTTTGGTGGCAAACCACTTGATTTTATGGAAACCAGTATGTCAAATGGAGCACCCACCTGACTTATTGTTAAGCAAGGCCTCCAAGTCGTCGACATCTTCAGGATAATTGCCGTACTCATCGTCCTCAGGCACATTGGCGGCATCACGTTTCCGCGGGCGCTTCTCGAGTTCCTCCTGGCGATTCGGCAGTCCATCCAAGTCCCCTGCTGATGAGAGATTCACCAGGGATGCGATGGCAACTGGATCCGAGGACGAGGCCACGACAGAGGCGGAAACGGAGGCGTGGAGCAGCAGGAGGCAGCCATAGAGGAGCACGGCTTGTCCCAGCTGCATGGCCATTAAATGACAGCCGTGCGGATGTTGTTGCTGCTGCTGATGTTGCTGCTGCTGATGTTGCTGCTGCTGCTGATGTTGCTGTTGCTGTTGCGGTTGCAGTTGCAATTGCAGCGCCACCAGCTGCAATCGCCGCAGTAGACAGGGCAACGTTAACTTCGCCATTTTGTCATTTTCACACCGTCTGCCGGTCTGCTGCTCAACACATTCGCATTTGTTTGACAACTTTCGCCATTTGGCCAAGATGTTCCCTCTTGCCAGTAGTCAACAGTTTCAGTTTCTAGTTTCTAGTTTCAGTTTGCCAACCGAGTTTTTTATTTGCGTTTCCGCTGGCTTAGTGGTTTAGCGCTTGCCTGGGCAAATTGGCCAAACTGGTGCCTTCTGCACACATTACGTATACGTCATGGCGCACATTACGTATACGTCGCCGGTCGCTGATGCGGCAACTGCTAATGTTGCTGCTCTCCTTCCACCGCTACTGCTGCTGCTACTGCTACTGCTGCTGCTTGTGCTCCTTCAGCTGATGTTTAGCCTTGTCCCGCCTGCCGCTGTCGAGTGGCCAACTATATAGCTGCCTGCCCTGCATGATAATTTTATATAATTTTCCCCTCTTGCCGCAAGACGACTAAAGTGGCTCTTGTTGTTGTTGCTGTTGTTGTTATTATTGTTGTTGCTTTTGCTGTTGCGGTGGTGGTTGCGGTCAGCAGCGTCATCATCTTCGAGTGACCCACTAATGTGTGTTGCATGTGCAGCACAACTCCTGCGCCGCCGCCCACCTCCTAGTTGGATATTAATTCCATGCGAGCTGCAGATTTATGGCACGAACTTTGTAAATCTGGGTTGGTCTTCTGCCTGCCTCGGCTCGTTATCCCAAGCTGCAAATTGCACGGAAAAAGGTCAAACATATAAATTTGTACTTGCGCTAAAATAACCATAAATAATTTGGCGAGTGCGTGCCGTCACATAAAATAATCACCTCAATTACGCGTTTGTAAAATGATTACGTTTTATGAATGTGGAACGATTTGAGTTGAAGGCGGACAAATAAAAGAATAATATAAGCCCCTCAAGGCGAATGAATGTCCTTAGTTAAACTTGCAATTTAAGTTCATGGAGTGCTACGGTTACCCACAGCGCCGATTTGTATAACCAAATAATTCTAAAGCTTATTGTTTCAACCCATTATCAAAAACAGGGAAAGTAAACTTGCTTAAAAGAGGGTTAATTAAAACATCAACAAACTCTAGATCAAATGTATAATAAAAAAAAGTCACACACAGCTGGAAAAAAAGTAAACTAACAAAACATTTGTCTATTTACCTTCTTCATTTTACTCCTAATTTATGAAAAACAAGAAATATAAATTTATTCGGAAAGCCGAAGCTTATTTACTCTAGCTCTATTCACTTCAAAAAGTAAGATACATGGTCCACTTTTAGTTAAAACTATTAATGTCTTTCAAGGAATAAAGGGTGTTAAAAACACTGCAGTAAATCCAATTATGATTTTTACATTATTTCTATGGCAGATTCAAAGTAAATCAGTATTTATTTATATAAAAGAATACATTTTTGCGTTCAAAATCATGTATAATTATAATACCCTGTGAAAGGGAATGATAAAATACGAGTGCTAGGGGTGTATAAAAACCATCGGATTAAGCTTTCTTCGTTTATACCACGAAATCCCCCAAAAGCGAAAATGAAACTTCTTTTGGTGCTGACTTTGGCCTTATTTATTGCCCACGTGGCAGTTGCACAAAGTGAGGATAGTTCTACAGTTGCTAATGAAGAAGATGTCGATGATGACACTACCGATGCCACTGAAAGCGATGCTGAATTGGATACTGGAGACGACTCTGATGTCGGCAGCTCAGATGACGACAATTCAGATGACAATACCGAGGATAGCGATGATTCTGTTGCGGAAGTAGCAACTGCTGCTCCGAAAGCAAAAAGAAATAACGCCAAAAAGAGTAAGGCCGTGAAAAATAACAAAAATAACAAGAAAAATAATTTGGCCAAACGTCGTGCCGTCGCCGCCGCTGTTAAAAAAGCCATGAAAAATTCGGCTAAGAAGCGAACACCTGTTGCGCGAAAAAGGGGAAATAATGCCAAAAGAAAGAATAATGCCAATAGACGTAGGCGCTCTGGATAAATCTAACTTAATAACAACTGCCAACAAAGTATACCAAATTTAAAAAATGTGAGGCCTAATAAATAAATAAAAAAACATATGTTTCATTTATTAAACAGTTTAACATTGATTAAGCGTTGTAAATATTTATTTTTATGTTTTTATATTTCCAATAAAAAAAATCTTTGTTTGTTTGAACTGTGAGCCTTTTAGCCTTGGATCGTGTTTAATTATTTATTTTAATGCGTTGTTCTTTTATTTATTAATTTTCTAACACCCATTTTAAGCCCGAAAATTGGTATACAAAAAATAGCACACACAGGTGTTTCGAGAAGTTAAAAAGCAAATATACGAATTGAACGTTTGTGAAAGATAAAAAAATGAAAAACAAATAGAATATATTTTTTCCAGGCAAGAGAAACTTATAAATACCCAGGGTTAAAGTAATTTCACCTCAGATCTGTAAGGTTCTCTATCCGTTCGCTGACTCCAAAAAAATGAAGTTGTTGCTGGTTTTTGGTCTGGTCTTTCTGGTTGGCTACGTGGTAGCTGCTGATGATAACACCGATTATTCGGAATATTACGACGATGATGACACCAACAACTCTACGGCATCCGCTCTAGGAAGCGATAGCAGTGACTTGGATTCAGATGATGAGGACTACACAGACAGTTCTGGAAGTGGCAGTTCTGCCAGTGCTTCAGAAAGTTCTTCTGATGATTCTGATGACAGTTCGGAGGACAGCGCACCCGTGAAATCACCTGTGTCTAAAGGAAATAAAGCCAAGAAAGCAGCTCTCAAGAACAGAAGGCGCAGGCGCACCACTGTGGCTCCAAAACGTGCTGCCGCCAAAAAGAAGGTAGCAGCTGCCAAGAGGCAAACTGCTGCGGCCACTAAGAAGCAGACACCTGTGGCTGCCAAAAAGAAGACAAAGGCCGCCGCCAACAAACGCAATCGCAGAGGTTAATTAAGGATTTTAGTTCAAAACCTAAACCTAAAAAATAGTATAATCACATTTTAAAACTCCAATAAAAAGTGAATACCAAATACGGCATACTAAATAGAATTCAATTGCAATTTTAAATAAAGTTAAACCAATCAGAGTAAGTATTTTATTTACGATTTAAGCACCTGACGAAAATCCTACTAAAACCGAACCAAGTTTATTATTGAAAACTAGTAGTACTTCTATGTTTTAGACAGCCTTCGCTTTTTTTTGCATATTTTTAGGGCCAAAAATTTACATTTTATTTAGACAAAAGCCAATAGCACCTATAAATAGTCATTACGGCCCGATACACTTACACACAAATGGACTGGGACACTTAATTACTGATGCGCACAGGCAACAATTGTTTAATGGCGAAAGGATAACAAAAAGGAAGGAGCAGACAGCGCCATCGGCCGCCACAATAGGTCCTTTGTTTTCGATTTCAAAGCCGACATTCTGGCAGTGGCATTGCCAACAGAAATCCCGTGTATCCAGTGCACTGCGGCGCACATAAAAGCCACTCCGCATCCAAGTGTTTGTATGCCCCAGAGAGATACCATCCAGTCAGTGTGTTAGTGGCGGCACACACACACATACACATAACGGTTACACACACCCGCACCCACACATATCCTTGTGCGGTATCCGCTGCGACAGCTTAGTGAGCCAAGTGTAGCAACAATCTGAATCATCGTTTAGTTTCTCTTCTACAACTCATCCCAGGTCGAAAGGGTATGATTAGTTCGTCGGTTGTTTTTTAACAAAAAAAAAATTGTTTAAATAAAAAGGAAATGCAAAATGGAGAAAATTCGCTAGTTTTTAAAAGAACAAAAAGAAAATTTAAACTGACTGATTCGGCCATGTCAAAAAACCTTTTGAAACCGAATTTTAATCAAACTTCTTTCTCGCAGAAACTGTTTTTTTTTAGCTTTTAAGCTAAACATTAAAACTTTTTGTTAAGTCCTAAATTAAGAAAGAATATCTGGTTTAATTTTTAAATAAAATAATCTCCATCCTAACAATAACTTTTCGCCTTTCTAAAATATAATTCCCTAATAAATAATAATAATATGCAGATGATTTGGATTGACAATGCTTAATAAATCAATATTTATTGAAATATTTAAGAAATTCATGGGCAAACAACTTTTTACAACTTTTTTTTGTTTTGAATTGTATATTTTTTTCAATACATATTTAATTTTCCCTGCAACTTTTTTGAATAAGCTTCCATAACCCTTTAATCTACAGGGTAGATCCCTGCGGCGACCATGATAAACCCAACTTACACCATTTACAATTGCAGACGGTGGGCTGCCAGAGAATCAGTGGGTGGTGGGGGGCGGCGGGGAATGTGGCTGCTGTAATATCTGCGGCTGATGCTGATGCCTTAAGAGGAAAATGCGATAATGTGCGCTAAACAATGAACAATGCAGAAATGGCATAAAAATAGCCAGAAGTGGGATATGAAGTGGGGCGCAGCAGCGGGAATAATAATGGAATATGTGTTTGGCTCCGAGGATGATAACGGTCGGTGGTGTTGGTCTTGTTAGCACTTACGACGATGATGATGGCAAGTGCCAGATATATGCAGATTGTAGGTGTGGCTGCTGACGTTGATGGGCACGTTTGAGGAGCAGATCGTCAGATTGTAGCTACTGCCTCTGACATTTACATGTTTTGCAATGAAAATTTCAAGTGGCAGAGACTCGTGTGAAAGCAATTGGAAATCTTAAACCAATTGGAATTTTGAACAAGGAACCTTTAAATTGGTTTAAATAGGTTTTTTAAACTGTATTCTTTGCTTTGAGATTTTTAATAAATTCGGAAGCAAATTGTGGTTAGTATAAAACATAATCCTGCCTTCCCTATAATTGATTTTAAATTTGACCTAAAATGTATAATATAATATTATACAAATATGTTCAAGTTATAAATATTTAACCTAATCCCAACCTAATAAAATATTATTTATTTTATTTCTTAAATATTATATCTTGCTACGTTAACCCCATCACTCAAACCCTATATGGAATGTTCACTTTTCGATTAAAATCTTAAACGCCCAACAAATCCATAAACTTCCTCCCTGTAAATGTATAATTTGAAAAACAATTTGCATTTCCTTGAGCGCAATTTATTTTCTATTCCTTCGGAGAGCCAACAGCAGGGAAACTAAAAGTTTCCGCACTCAAAATAAATTTTCTCTAACAAGGCATTTAGTTGGCAAACAAAAATACGTGAATGTTTCTAACCTGACGGTGGGCAAAATGTTTATGTAATTACAAACACGTTTAAAAGCGGCAGGTTTTCTAGGGAGAGAGGGAAAGAACTTGGTGAAAAGTGAGCGAGTAAATAGCAAAGAGCAGAGCAATTTATGTAAGTGCGAGATATTTTTATGTCCCGGCAAACTGTTAAAACGTTCATAATGCAATTCCGCCCAGCACTTTGCATATAAATTTCCACCGGCTGAGGCAAAAAACGGAATAGCGGAAATGCAAGTCCAATAACAAGCGTGGGGGATTGAGGACGAAAGGAATAGATAGCAGAAGAGGGCTTAGTGGACACTTGACACACTAAAAAAAAAATTACACGTTCCAGTTTTTAAAGTAAACTCTATATATTAAAAAAAGGATAACGTTAAGTTTTCTTGTTCCTAATAATTTTGTATTAAGTACAGTATTTACAAGTCTAATGTAGAGGCCCTAAATAATAAATATTTTATATTCCATTTATGCTCACTTATTCAGTTTACCTTTTTAATGTTTTAAATAACAATTTCCATTTTTTAATTGGAAATCTTGTTCATGCTAAAGTTTTTTAAAATTATTGAAACTGAATTCTTTTTATTTAAGTGGACTTCATGTGAATGAACGCGGGTCTTGCTGCGCTTGTGTGGGTGCAAGGACGCTAGAAGGAGTGGGGGAAGAAAAGACGATGTTACAGTAACGGTAACGGAAGCAACGAACGCAAACATCATCCTGCATTCTGCATCGGCTCTCTCTTCGTTCTCTACTTATGTCACTCTCTCCAAATAGAGAGAGCGAAATCCGCGCGCCTGCCCCCAGAGAGTGCTGTTGATTCTAGCGGTACATAAGACTTTGCGGAAACTGCGCTACAGTGTGTGTGTGGACTCCTACTTTTAGGCACTGATAAAGGCAAATTTACATACGCCGAAAGTCCCCGACACTCCTCCCGACATCCACCCGCTTTGGTTTTGGCCACGGCTTTTGGCTTCTTATGTGTCGCCGATGCCGTTTAAAATGTAGGTTACACACAGCAAAAGAGGACCCGTAGACGCACACAAATCACATTCACACACACATCCACAAACTGGAACGCACACGTGCATACGTCCAATATATTTTAGCACTTTCCGTTTTCCCTTCGGAGAGTGTGTCCTGCTCTAAGGTAATAAAAGTTTTACAATTTTTTGGTTACATACAAAGACACACGTTTGTGTGTGTTTGGCTTTTGTCTTTTACTGGGGCCAAAGTCAGCTGGGCCGTACAGATTTTGCTTCCCACAAACTCAACGTAAAGACCCCAGTGGCCCGTAAAAGTATGCTAGGAATTATGAACTATTTGTTATTTTCATGAGATATTTTAAAAGCATTCGAGCTTAGTTAGAATGTTAAACGAAATTTAAGAAGAAAATTGTGAAAATTTTCAAGTTTTTAATAAATTTAAATAAATCAAAAATAATTTAACGATAATTTTTGAGTGTTGTTTTATCTATGTAATTTTCGGAAACATTTTAAATAAAGCTTAAAGTAGGTAAAACTAAAGCACAAATAAGTTTGAATTAATAACGGAAAAAGGCAATAAGGGAAAAATGTTGTAACGCTAATAAAGTTTTATGTGAAAAATCATTAAAACGAAAAAAATAGACCTAAATCTTGTTTTGCAAATTCGGAGTTATCTTAAGGGCATTGAAGGCGTTCTGCTCCTTGTATTTTTCAAAGGATTTAATTTAAATTTTTTTTTTGTTGATTTTTTGATGAGTGTCTGTGCAATTTGAAGTGCAGGGCATATAGAAAACGTAACAACTGCGACATAGGCAGGAAATGCTTCGCTAGGCATATAAATACTACAGAGATTCCTAAATCGCATGTACATAGGTACCTACAGTTATGTATTCTTGTGTACCTATGTAGAAGATATACACATGTTCGTCTGGGAGTTCTTGTTTTTGTGTGCGGGCTTAAATGTCCTGGCAAACAGTCAATCAGGAACCAATCAGCAATAAATCAAATTTTGATTTCATCTATTTTACTAGCGTTTCTACCTTTTTTGCTTCGTTTTTCCTTCAGTGGCAATGGCTGAAAACTTATTTATCCCTGCAAATTTAAACTTTCACATAATTCGCCAATGTTGGCGGTTTAATCATTTGACTTTTGCCAATTTGGCGCATGAGAAACTTTTCGCATCACACTAATACACAAACACGATTCGTTTAATTTTTAATGCAGTTTATATCCGTCTTTGCAGCGCGCACTTGTATGGGTTGCAGTACTTTAATCCACGTTTTAAGCATTTAGTGTTTTGTCTAGTCCACGATGTTTAAAAATACTATGCGACCATGGGATTGGTACTCGAGCCAATGGCGAACTAATCGGAACTGAACCGAGCCCACAGCTCTAGCCGTAAATTCCCTACAGCCAACGAAGATTCAGAGAGAAAAGAGAGCACCGAGTTGCTGAAACCGTTAAGTGGGTGGGTGTCCTTCCACCCCTTTTAAGTCAGCTGTTTATCATAAATATTTCTTTAAATATAAATATAGTTATTTCATTTTGAATATTTCAATTTAAATCGAACATTTTTTAAAAAATTGTTTGCTTTTTGTAAGTAACTATGCAATTGTAATTAAGATGTGAATGACTTGCATCATAGACGAGACATAAGTGTGGTAAACAACTTATTCGTTTGTATTAAATCCTTTTTTATAAAATGAAGCATTTTAGTCTTTCCGAAGTAACATAACAACAATCCGTCTTAAAAAATAAGCTCTTTAAAAATTGCGCTTAACGACAAAAGATGGCGCTTTAGTAAATTAGAAAATATCGATAGACATCGAGACTTTGAAGTTTGGCATTCTTTTTGAAAACTATCAATTATTTACTTTCAGTCAAATTTAATTGTTTAATAGTTAATACCTTAACGGTTAAAAACATTATCGTACTACATTTTTTAAAAATCTGTTCCAATTATTTTCGGTATTTTTTAATATTTCCTATGGCACACCAAAGTCAAACACATCAAACTATGTATAAAGTTTTGCTATTTCACAGTCGCACAAGCTTATGATTTTATATAATGCATTATTTTTAAATTTTAAATGTTCGAATTAAACTTTATAAAAATTTGACGATCATTAGAAAAAAAAAACTTTTTAAGCGATTAATACCAATGTTTCTCACGACGACCTTCTAACATCACTAATAGAAAGTTTTCATTTAAGCAGTCGCGCAGCTGAGCCGGCAGAATAGTTTAATTCTTCGAAAGAAAAGGAAGTAAAATAAAGAGGAGCTTGCATTTATTTTTTTACGACAACTGAGTACATTCCCAAGAATGCAAGTGTTTTTGGCCTTAGCCCTGCTCGCAGGCTTGGCTTTGTCGGGTAAGTTTAAGCGTTAGATTGCTAAAATGTTTAGCCAAACAAAGAATATTATTTTGTGAGTGTGTGCAGTACAGTTACTATGTAGGTTAATTTAATGGCATTATTAAGTGTTTCTTTTTTTTAAGGTAATCAAAGTGGCTAAAAGTTAAATTTATTGGAGTTCGTTGCTTAAATATGTTCGAAAAAAAAGAAGTACCTAAAATTGAATTTTTTTTGTATAAGTGCACTAAAGTTGAGCAGAGATCTTACAGTGTGCCACAAAAGTGATGATACAGCAGCTATTTTTTACTATATGTGTGAATTCCTTCATTATTCAACGGATTTAAATAAAACAAAAAATCACTTCAATTAAAATATGTATTTATGAATAGTATTTAAGAACAAAAATAACGAAATCTCCAATAGTTTCTATACAAAAAACAAAAAACCAAAATTATCCCTCATTTAATTTCCACAAAAGTCATGATACATTAGTATTAACATCGGAAAAATATAAATTAATTTACTATTTTAAGCTTTTTAATACTTCGTCGGATATCCCTTCATTTTAATTACTTCCTCAAGACGTCGAGGCATTGAAGAAACTAAAGTTTTTATATAGGCGTGGTCAATTTTCGCCCACTCCTCCAGCAAGGCTACCTTGAGATCAGACCTACTCGTTATTGTTCGACCCCTCAAATGCTCCTCTAGTTTATTCCACAAATGCTCAATGGGATTCAAATCCGGACTTTGTGGAGGCGGCTTTAGCAAATGTGGAACATTATATATAAGCCATAAACGTGTATTTATGGCCGTGTGCTTTGGGTCATTATCTTGGTAAAAGTGAAAAGATGACCCAATACCAAGATGATCAGCACTTTGTTTTAAATTTCTTTTCAGGATTTCAATATACTTTTTATGATCCATTATACCGTCAATTATTTCTAGGTTCCCGACACCAGCAAAGCCCATGCAGCCCCATACCATGAGTCCTCCGCCATTGTGCTTCACAGTTTTAATTGTGTTTTTGGGTCTATAGGCATCTCCAGGTTTTCGCCAAACTTTATAACGCCCGTCTGACCGAAAAATGTTATATTTAGACTCGTCTGAAAATATAACCTGCTGCCAGAACTCTTCAGAATGATTTCTGTAAGCTTTAGCGAACTCAAGACGCTTAAGTCGATTTTTTTTTGAGACATGAGGCTTTTTCCTTGGTGCACATGAGAGGAATCCAAACTCTTTAATGGTTCTTCTAATGGTTTCTGGGTGAACATCCTTCTTAAGCGTTGTAGCCATAGCTGAACTTATTTTAACAGCGCTCTGGAAAGGATCCTTGTCGATAATATGCTTAATTAGGCGTTTGTCTCTAACGGTTAGTTTTGGTGGACGGCCATTTCTGCTGTTGTTTTCAATGAGGCCTTCATTTTTGAACCGCCCAATGACATGATGAATTGTTGAGCGGGGTCTGGAAACTATTTTTGAAATTTCTGAATAGGACTTTTGTCCTTTAACGTGTAAATTCAAAATAATTCTTCGCTCTTCCAAAGTAAGCTCCTTTCGAGGCATTTTCACAACTTAAACTACGCTATGACTTTAAATGAATTTCACCACAAGTAAAAGAATTATATGCAAAGCATAAACGAAAAAGTCCCGTTACAAAATCTTAAACAGATCAGCTGCAATTAATCGAACTGTATTAACACTAATGTGTGTATCATGACTTTTGTGGAAATTAAATGAGGGATAATTTTGGTTTTTTGTTTTTTGTATAGAAACTATTGGAGATTTCGTTATTTTTGTTCTTAAATACTATTCATAAATACATATTTTACTTGAAGTGATTTTTTGTTTTATTTAAATCCGTTGAATAATGAAGGAATTCACACATATAGTAAAAAATAGCTGCTGTATCATCACTTTTGTGGCACACTGTATGTTTGTTAGCAAGAAATTCGATATAACATTATCCTAATAAAAAGAAAAATTTCCCTTAATTCTTATCAACTTTATTTAAAATTGCTTACCAATATACAAGTACTGTTATTTTGACCGCAGCTGTACATGTATGTGTGTAGCCATGTCATCGATAGCGTGAGCTTGACCCGCTATGGCTGCCCTTTACCGTTTTGATATTGCAAAAATCCCTCATATTTTCCCCTCTATCTCTCTTTCTTCTTTCGTTAACGAAAAATAGCTGATGCCACGAATCCACCGCGATGGGATGCCAACTATATAGTCAAGGGCACCCTGTACATTCCGTATGCTGAGATTGCCGAGCCTTTCTACGCCTGGTATGACAAGAACACGAAGCGATCCCGTATCGACTATTATGGCGGAATGGTGAAAACATACCAGTTGGCCGGCGAGGGGCAGTACGGAACCCTCCTGAAGCTGGCACCGATCACCACCCGAACGGAGACCAACAAGCTGACCTGCCTGCAGGTCAATGGTACGGCCGACCAGGCTATTGAAATTCAGAGCATTCTGCCCGACGCCAAACCCTTTAGTCTGGTTGGCACCGAAACCTTTTTAGGCTACACCTGCGACAAGTTCCGGCTAGAAACCTCCATTGGCCAGAAAAAGAACGTATATACGCTGTGGGTGCGGTACAAGAAGTCGCCGCATTATCCCGCCAGTCGCATGCCCATTCCAGTACGATACGAAATGAGGGGCTACAATACCCTGCTGGGATCCCACTATGATCATTATTATTTGGACTACGACAGCTACGAGCATGATGACATTCCCAATGAGGTGTTCGAGATCGATGACAGCCTGCAGTGTGTTGGTTTCCCCGGACCCGGCACCGGCCACTATGCCACCTTTAATCCAATGCATGAGTTCATAGCCGGGACCGATGAGCATGTGGACAAGGCATTCCACCACTTCAAGCACAAGCACGGAGTCGCCTATCGCAGTGATGCGGAGCACGAGCATAGGAAGAACATCTTCCGCCAGAACCTGCGCTACATCCACTCTAAGAACCGGGCCAAGCTCACCTACACGCTAGCCGTAAACCACCTGGCCGATAAGACCGAGGAGGAGCTCAAGGCGCGTCGCGGATACAAATCTTCGGGCGTGTACAACACTGGCAAGCCGTTCCCCTACGATGTGTCCAAGTACCAGGATGAGATTCCCGACCAATATGATTGGCGGCTATACGGCGCCGTTACCCCGGTCAAAGGTTCGTTAAAAATTCCATTCTATTTGCAGTAAAGTAATAATCGGTTTAGTTTTCTATTAAGATTACATTCTTTAATGATTACATTTTATATTTGTTTGCCTCAACTTCTTCCAGATCAATCGGTGTGCGGATCCTGCTGGTCTTTTGGCACCATTGGCCATCTGGAGGGCGCATTCTTCCTGAAGAACGGCGGTAATCTTGTACGGCTGTCGCAGCAGGCCCTGATTGACTGCTCCTGGGCTTATGGCAACAACGGCTGCGATGGTGGCGAAGACTTCCGCGTCTACCAGTGGATGCTGCAATCCGGGGGAGTGCCCACGGAGGAGGAATACGGCCCCTATTTGGGCCAGGATGGGTACTGTCACGTCAGCAACGTATCCCTGGTAGCTCCCATTACGGGATTCGTGAACGTCACCTCCAACGATCCGAATGCCTTTAAGCTAGCGCTGCTTAAGCACGGACCTCTATCAGTGGCCATTGACGCTTCACCGAAGACTTTCAGCTTCTACTCGCACGGAGTTTACTATGAACCTACCTGCAAGAATGATGTGGATGGACTCGATCACGCCGTACTCGCTGTGGGCTTTGGCTCCATAAACGGAGAGGACTACTGGCTAGTGAAGAATTCGTGGTCCACTTACTGGGGCAACGATGGATACATCCTGATGTCATCACGAAAGAACAATTGCGGTGTGATGACCATGCCCACTTATGTCGAGATGTAGATGATACTGCATTCTTGCCTTTCTTATTTGTATAATCTTTTATTTCAACGCCCTGAGGGCGCTAAACATGCAATATATTTCATGAACTCTTTTGTAACTCAGTCTTCGAGTCTTATCACTACTTCTGTTGGTCACAGATGAGGCTAAGTATAGCTTTGTAGTTCTGGCCCGTTATCTGGAATACCATGGTGTTGCTTAGCTATATTTAATAGGCGCGATAAGCTTGGAGGACAATGACCAGATGAACTGTGTGCAATTAGCTGGAGTTTTATAGGATGAGGTCTTTGTCATTTGTTGCGGATATCATTTAAACAGAAGAAACTTTGTTCAAAATCGTTATTTTTGATTTAATTTTGATTGCAATAAAATAATGTTTTAATAAAAAAACCAAGCATACGAGAATACCCTGGAGTGGCGCCAAATAGTATTTATTTATTGTTGCTGAACGGTCACACAGATCAGTGAAAATAAATCTTTTTCAAAAAATGCAATTAAACTAGGCACAGATAAATCTAGTAATGGAAGATCTGGCAAAGATGTGCCGCGTGTGCATGGGCGAATCGATGGAACTGGTTGACATCTACGATAACAAGAGCATGGGTGATAAACTCTCCTTGGAGCTGGAAAACTCGAGGGAATCGGAACCCACGCCAGCTGATCTCTTTAAGAATTGTAGCGATTTGCCGGTTTCTTCGGGCGACGGCTTCCCTGAGAAAGTTTGTGAACCGTGCCTGATGAAAATGCGAGAGGCTCTGCGCTTTAAAAGGCGCTACGCCAAAAGTATCGCTTACCTAGAACGCGTGAAGGCGGAAAAGATCGACCAGGAGATTAGTGAAATTCTTGAGTTCGAAGATTGGGATTTGGTGGATCGCGTGAAGAGTGAGGACGACGAAGAGGAGAACAAGAAAGTCGACTACTTTCAGACGAAGGAAAAGACTCCTAAGGAACAGGAGGAAAAACCACGACCTTTCAAATGTCCAGACTGCCCAAAAACTTTTACCGGCAAAGCCCAGTTGACCATGCACAGTCGCATCCACACCAAAGGATCCAAGAAGAAATCAACACGTCCTAAGCGAGGATCTTTAAAATAGTATCGTAATATGTATATTCTTTCCGCGCTTTGCAAGCCAAAATTATAATGAATATAAGAAATATTTAATTTAACTATTTTCGTAGCCTAGATAAGTAAAGACTTTTGTAAAGCTCATTAAAAAACATCTATGGGACTGAAAATATTTACCCATACACTGTATATAGGCAAACTAAAACCACACACTCATAAACTCTAACTAGACAAACCAAATCCATTTCAAAAAGCTGAATTTTCTTTTGATTTGGAAGTTCAATATTGTGTTTAACAAATTTCAATGATGGTATGACTATTTATTTATACAAAATCGTGCTCTTTAAATTGTAAAATTTAAAGGGTCCTTAAAATTACTCTTAAGTCGAGAGATTAAAATTTTGTGTGTACATAAACAATGGGAAAAACTCAAGTTCACTTCATGAAATGCGATCGCATTTAATAAATGAATTTCTAAAGACACAAAGTTTAACAGTTGGACTTATTGGCTGAAAATAAAATCAATTTTACAAAAGACACCTCGATCATTTGTTCATTGCCTGCTTGGGCTTAAACAGAAAAAGGGATATTATGAGCCTTACAATAATTTAAGCTACATCTTGATCTGCTCCGTGGCTTTTTGGCTGGACCTTCACTTCTGTGTGCGTTAACATATGTTTCTGCAGGTTAACTTTTTGCTTAAATCGATACCGGCAAATTGAACACCTGAATGGCCGCTCACCGGTGTGGACCCGGATGTGGACATGGACTTGTCCTATTTGCCGGAAGCGTTTGGGACAGTGCGGGCACTTGAAGGGACGCTCGCCAGTGTGGCATCTGAAGTGGGTGTTCAAGTTGCCCTTCTGGGTGAATGATCGCGGGCAAAGCGAACACTGAAAGGGCCGCTCGCCCGTATGGACGCGCATATGAATCTCGAGGTGTTTTCTTTGGTCGAAGGAATGGTCGCAGTAAAAGCACTGCAAAGCTCTCTGGGCTTTCTTCGTTTTTTTCTTTTTTGAGGCTTCCCAGTTTTCATCGTTGTCCTGGCCGAAGTCACTGTTTGGACTCCAGGAATCCAAGGAGGATCTTGCTCTCTTCCTAATGCGAGAGGGTCTGTCTGCTATCTTCTCCTCTGATGATGATTTATTTTCCTTAATATTCGCTGGAGGCTGTAATTTCTTTGGCGACAATATCGTCTTATATTTGAGCTCAACAAGTTCAACAAAAAGGGGTTCCAGGGCCTTAGGCTCAAATGTTTCGGCTTCCCCGGACGTCTCCTGTTTGTTTGGGTCTGTGGCATTCTCCACATTTAGGCAAGCCTCGATGCCGTCCAGCTCCTCGATCATTAAACGGAGCTGTTCGAAGTATATATGGCTCTTTCGACATTGCCGTCTTAGCCGAAAGGCATTCCTCGTCGCTTCCGCGCACTCCACGCAGATGAACTGCGGCATTCCATCCGATCTGGCTATGTTGCAACCGCTGCACTCCTTCAACATGATGGCCAAATGCGGCTCCGGCTCCTGATCCCTGTTGGGGGCAGACATCTTTGTGAATAGGTCCAGCAGACAATCGGACTCGTCCCTGCAAACGCGACACATTTGCGAGATGTCCAGCATAACAAAAATTTAATCTTTTCAAGATGGATCAAAAAGGAAACAAAGTAAACAAAGACCCGATAACCGAATACTAACAGTTGGTATATACCAAACCTACCAAACCGCTCTATCATTTTTTTCTTTTCTTTTATTTATTTATTTTTATTTTTATTTTTTTGCGAGTACATATTTTTTTTATTTATTTATTTTTGTTTTTTTTTTTTTTTGAAGATATAGGAGCATTGAGATTTCTTTTTGAATAATTTCATGTTAGTTATTTATTTTATTTTTTTTTTTTGTAAAACATATCGGTGTATCGATAAATTTAACACCTGTACAATGGGCACAACATTAAATGAAATGTTAAAAAAATGTTGAGGAATTATTATTAAAACTGCCGGGTTTTTAAAAGAATATTAATTATATTAAAATTTTATTAAAATCAATTTCATTGAATTTAAACTCTTGACTTAAAATATAAATAACAATAAACTCTTGCCTTAACTATACAAAAAAAAATTATTTGCTTTGTTTTTAGACTAGTAAATTATTCTTGTATTTAATAGATTAGATTCTCAACTACCAAAGACATTCATCATACACTTTTGGCAATGGAATGGCAAATTCGACTCAATCTACTTAGGGTTGTACATGGAAGCGATTGCCGGGTCCTCGGTCTCGTAGATGATCAACACATCCCTAAACTTATCAAGCAATTGCAATAGCTGCGATCGTCGCAGGTTTTCGAAATACATGATCTCCTCCAAGTGGTGCTCGCTTTTAAAGTAGCCCATCTGGTAGAGCTTCACCAACAGCGACAGATCGTCTACATTGGCGGAAGCGGGAATTCGACGGATGGCGCCTCTATCTGCGTCGCTGAAAACCTGCAGAAGCTCCTTGAGCTTCTGTTCGTCCTCCATGGAGTCCAGGCTGTCGCAGTTATCCGTGCTCATCGAGGCGGTGATGCTGAAGTTGGACTTGTGGCTGGACGACGGCTGCACGGCAATGTTGTCGGAGGCCAGGGAAGAGTGATCCTCGGACATGTCGCGCCGATGGCCGCCAATTAAGACTGCTGGCACGGGCAGCGGTTGACTGGACATGCTCAACATGGACCCCTCGTGCAACTCGTCTGCGTCCTGCTCCTGGTCTCCCTCCTCATCGCTAATGGCATCTCTTAGCTGGTTACTGCAAGAAGCCGAATCCCCGAACTCATCCTCGCTGGGCATAAACTGCACGTAGGTGTGCAGCTGCATAAGCAGATGATGCTGCAGCATCCAAATAACCATCTGGGCGAGGATACCCTGACGTGCCGGCTGTTGCAAGGGCGTAGTTAAATGGCCAATCGATGTGGGCAGCGAGAAATCCGAAATCACTTCGAACAGCGACATGCCCGCAAAACGGGCAGAGAATTTCTCCACCAAGTGGGACTTGGTGTGCAGCGGCGCATCTGGAGCAATCACATAGACGTTTGTCTCGCAGAGTGGATAAATAATAGTGGCCTTAGCCCAGTAGACCAAATGCGAGACGAGCTTGTACACGTGCTCGATGCTCAGGTCGGCCTTCGAAGCCATGCTTTGAAGGCTGATCAGGGGATTGTAGGCGTCTACCATTTGCCAAAGCATGCGAGCCCCCGTCGGCGGAACGCAGTCCAGCAACTCAGCAAAGTCCACTAGTAGCAACATGCCGTGATACGGCTTCAGCGCACGAAGACAGCGGTCAATGGTCTCCGGATCCACCATGCTTCCTTTCTTATGCAGCTGGTGCGCTTTGGCCGGCAGACAGAAGCAAAGCGTTAGGTTGTTATTCAGCGAGGTACTCAGCAGGCCGGTGGTGCACAGATCGTGAAAGATGGACCGCAAAGCCTGTGCCAGGCTGCAACGCTCTGCGATCAGCTCGAGCGTGCGTTCCAGCGGCTGTTGCTGTTGCTCGTCGTGGGTGCGGGCCATGTGAGCTGTTTGCTCTGTGAGGTATCCACTACGTTGTTCCTCGAATTTCAGAGCCAACCCCAGTCGCTTGCTCAATTCATGGTAGCACTTCACAATGGAATAGCTGGCCTGAGCATGGAGCGCAAACACAATATTGATGAGCATCTGGTTCTTGGCCATGGCTCCACTCCTTTGCTCCTTGTGTGGTATCGACGTTGGATGACTTACAAACCGAACATCGTTCAGCTTCAGCTCAAATTTCTGGTTGCAGAGCTGCGGCTTGACGGCAAATAGAGCCGACAGCACCTCGTCTGCGAATCCCTGAAGTTGTCCTTGGCTTTTTGAAGTCCCCAAGTGAGTGGACGTCTGCAACAGGTCATCCACGTTGGCCACGGCATAGGGATTGCGCTTCCTGTCGGAACGAATGAGTTTAATTCTGGAAATATTCTTAAACATCAAACTCTTACCTGGTCTTTCGCTGCTCGTCGCTAGCGACTTCCGTTTGACCAAGAGTCTGATAGGGATATCTATATAGTAGCCGATCCCCCTTGCTATCGAAGTACACAAGGATTACGGCCAGGGGATTTACATTCGTCTCCATGGCGATATAAGGTTCTTTCTAAATCTTCAGAAAGTAAAATGGTTTTATTATCATAATGGACATAAAGATTAATTTTTAAATTTCGAGTTTTCATTAGCAACAGCGCGGCCAGCCTTCAAACTTTTGCAAATGTACCTAAAAGTGGCAGATTAAGTAATTTGGTGCCAATTTAAAATATAAAAATATAATATTTTTGTTTATCCAACAGATTTTGCAGCAATGTGACCTTTTTTCTTTCTGTGGATTATACCACAATAGTCATAAAGAGAAACATAATTTTTTTTGTTTTATTTTTGCGATTGCAATTTTTAAGTTTCTTTATTATTATTTCACATTTCTTATACGTAACAAAAGACTATTTAAAAATTTAAAGTAATAGGAATACCAACCTAAAACGGTACCACCATTTTTAATCGATATATAGCAAACGAACTCAATGCTTCGCAGCCCTGGTTAAGCGATAACGACTCATCGCTCGCTGTAGTGTGACCGTCTCCGGTTGGTCAGTCTCTAATTTTTTAGAAGCGGAAAACTGTGAGCAAAACGCGTGGAAATTGTGCTCAAAACGTCAACAAAAAATTTGTGAAATTAACTGGGAGCGTAGTATGCGAACGCGGCAATCGCAGAACTATGAAATTCCTCCGTGAAACGTGTTAGTTTGTCTGCAAAAGTGCTTTGAATTCACGATTTCTTATTAGCGTGTTGGAAAAGAGGAAAACACACACAATGTGAGAGGCAAAATACGTGGGGAGCGTATGTTGGAGCGAGATGACGCTAAACGTCTACTAGCCGCGGTCCATATATACATATATATAGTATTTGCATGAGTGTAGGAGAGGTATAAAGAATTGTACAAAAAATATAGTTTACTTGACTATGTCGTGCATTTTTAAGTTAATGTCATAGGCTTCGGCCAAGAGGCGACCAATAAGTATATGTCTACTTATTGTCATTCTGCCAGTAAATTTTCTGAAGTTTGTGTATCTATTTTTTTTTTTAATATTTTTTTGCTGGCAGAGGTATATTGCTAAATTGTTGGAATGTGAATAGTTTGCGGCCAAAGATTTAAAAACATTTAACTATTTTGCTTTTTGTGTATATGTGCGACAACATCCGTGTGTATAGATTTAACACATACCTACGTAGAAAGGCATGCACAGATATATGTTTGTGTGGGTATCAACGAATAAGAGGAAAGGCGAAATCGAAATATGTACGTACAGCATTTCGGAATGGCCAGGCGCAGGAGTAATAGGGTAAAGCAGGGACATAGCGCAGCTCAAAAATCAAGAAGAAGAAGTAGGCGCTTCGCGAACAAAATAAAATAGCCGATAATAGGCAGTTGGCATGCCTAGGCAAGGAGTTAGAACGGTCACACTAGTTGTGCGCCTAAAATGACTAAATAGTTGTCTCACTCCCGCACACGTCTTTTATGCCAACGGTGTATGTGTTTTTCTTGCGTGTTTTATTTTCTGTTTCTTTTGCCATACGGTATTAATAATAATAAAATTGATTAATCAAAGTTGAAACCTTTTTGTTTGTCCAGGTAATAAACGTTCGAAACAACGCCGCGACATCATCTGAGTGCTGCAAATCAACAATGTGCAACAGAACAAAAAACAAGTGTCCAAATGTGTACAAGTCCAACTTGTACAGTAAAAATTAAAATAAAAAGTTACAGAAAACTAAAATAAACACGTAGCTTGCCGAAAATAAAATAAAGTTGTGCAAAATGAAGTGAAAACTCAAAATAACAGAGTAAACGGTGAGTAAGTGGAGTGTGTGTTTGTGTGAGTGCGCGCCCAAATCGAAAAGTTGATGTAAATCGGTTAAAGCTCATACAATTGAGGTTTGCAAAACCTTCGGTTGTCAACAAATTTTTATTCCTACTCAATGTTGATTTGAGCAAGTAAATATTCTATTTGTTGATGCGTTTCTTGCTTTCTTATTTTTTTGCATACTGAGTACCGAGTGTCGCCATATTTGATTGCATGTTCTTCTCCCCACTGGCTGTCTATATAGCGTATTCGCTCGCACATGTTCGCGGGTTCATTTGTTTTGCTTTTGATTCCGTTTTGTGCAACGTGAAGTTAGATGTGCGTAGTATTGCCCCAAGCACAGCGTTGCCAACCGAATGCAATGTTTTTCTTAAAGTTAAAATTCTGCTTTGTTTTGCTCTAATAAAACGCTTTGTTTCAATCGACACACCCTTGGCTAATTTTCATAGCAATGTGTATGCTGAAGAGTATTTTCGTTGTCTCTTGAAATGTTTTGACATGCGCATAAGCCAATTGTGAAAATTTAGAACAAATTAGTCTCAGAAGTTCACTCTAATATTTGCCGACTTGGTTTTTAATGCCGATGACGCCATATTGTCCATATTGTCATATACAAAATAATAGAAAAGCTATTTAGCCTAAATTTCCTTTCTTTCATCTTGTTTTCATCCAACTTTTTATTGCGTGTTCTTTTCGTTTATCCGCTTGTACGCCGTGAAGTTGGCCGCAGCTAACGGTGCGTCTGTGTGTGTGTGTGAGAAGTCAATCTTTAGGTCCCGCTCTTGCGCACAGGCTTTGCTTGGATGTTCCTGTTCTGCTCTTCGCGCATACGTGATTTTTGCAATTGTTATTTATGCCTTGCGCTCTGTACGCGCGAATTTTCGCCACAAAATGAAAGCAAAAGTTGATAGACAAGTTTTTGTACTGCGCTCGCTTTTCGTTATTTTGTGCGCAGCGCAGACTAGACCATCGAGCAAATGTTAATTCGTGAAAGCAAGTCATTCGATAATTTCAAGGGTTGTCGCGGCACCAAAACCAATGCTTCACAACCCTAAAATACCTCTACCCTTCCCTCCAGATTTTTGTGTAGGTGTAATACCTATCATTATTATGGAAAAACGAATTTTAAGTATCCTTCCTTTAAGTAGAATTTCAGTTCTGACAAGCAGAAAGCAAAGAATAAAAATTAATACGCAATTAGTTGACACTACAAACTAGAAAATTGCCCTGATGTTTTTCTTAAAGCCCATTTTCAGGCTATAGTCAATGAAAGTACAGCCAAAGCAATGCCAATATTATTGTGCAGTCACGTAGTCCATTGGTCAACAAACTAACATGAGGCAGCATTACTATTTTTAATTGCAGGTTCATTTTTATTCAAAAGATCACAATAGGAGTCTTTCTCTTTTCCACCCATTCATTCGGTCGTGTTTGTGCCGATAAGCTTTGTATTTGTTCTACTTCATTTGGCGATGCAACAAAAGCTATAGTAATATAAAAAAAACAACGAACAAAGCAGGGGCGGATCTAAAAAACAAAAACAAAACACTATATGTGAATATTGCTGATTTGGGGAAAAGTGGGGAAAAACATGTAAAATTTTTTGACTTACAACATATTTTGAACTGAATACTCCAAGTTACCCCCCTAGTTCCGCCCCTGTACGAAAGCACAGCGGTCAGATTTTATTTGTGTGTGTGCGATAAGTTTTCAACGAGCATTTGCAGGCACGATTTACGGGGATCTGCTGCTGTCTTGCTCACACCCACGACCCGATAATGGGCGCGAATGTGGCTTATTTTGTGAGCTTGTGTGTAATTTGTTTATGGCGCGCATTTTACTTGCAGCTTTTGTTGTTGTTTTTGTTGGGGTTGGGGTAGGGTTGGCTCGCGCACACGTGTGTGTGTATTTCACCTTATTTCCGAGGATGAGAAAATCAAATTCTTCTCCGTCCCTCTTTCGCATTTATATTTTTAACTAGCAGCGTTGTAAGATTCGTTGTAAATGTTCAGATATACATAGCTCGGATACTAGTGGGTGTGAGCGTAACCTAAATCAAATTTACTGCTCCCCCATTTGTGCCGTTATCTGTCGGCCTTTTCTTTGTTTCCATTAAGAAATATAAAGCGAAACATGAAACGGAAATGAGAAATGCTTACCACTATCGATCAAGTTCTAAGCCCAACTTCCTGGGTTATATAATAAAACTGGAAGCTGTAAAATCCGTTTATCGATTACTTTGACAGCCTTTACATAATTGCTTGTGGTAATGTACAGGAAATCGAGAAAAGGTTACATAAGCTTTCCCAGATTCACTTCTAATTGGGGAATCATTTGCGCTGTTCCCTATTTCTCTATTTCAATTAGAATTTGTATCTACAATAGGCGCAAATTGGCAACCAGCACTATCGCACACACACAAGCACGCAGGTGGGATATATCCAAGTGCAAGTTGCCTGTGTAATGTGTAATAGATACAAGAAACCGAAAAGCCAGCGACAAAAGCAACGACAACAAGACAGCAACAACAACTAACTATGAATGCCGCGCCGGATGCCAAGGCGAAATTAGTGCATTCACTTTTCGCTCCGCTTTGCTTTTTTGCTTTGGCTCTATGCTCTGCAATGCGAAAGACGAGACGAACGCCCGGAATGTGCAATAAATTAGAGAATTAGAGAAACTTTAAGCAAAACACGACAAAATATTGACATCTTGGAGGTAGTCAGGTGGTATGTAGAAAAGAGGTTGTTATTGGTAGAGGTACTTCTATGGCCATTCGAAGTACCACCGAACATAAAATTAATACAAAATTAATTAATACCACAGAATACAAATCAAAGAATTCAGCACGTTGAAGTCATACAATCCGTAAATATCCACTGTTATGAATTTATTCTTAATAGGACGTCCATGCGTTTATGTTTATTGAAATAAACTTAGTTTAGTTTGAAAACGTAAGTTTAATTTATACATTTTCTGGGCTCATGTAAATGAAGAGCTATGTACATACATATTTCCAAACGTTAAAAATAGTTAGTTTTTCAAGTAATTGGCGACAGAGGATAAGGGCAAGAAAAATAATGTTTTTAAGGATAGAATAGGCCTAAATAAAATAAGAAAATAATTATTATTTAATAATTACTTCTTAAGTATTTATTAACTTGGTACGCATTTTACTGTTGAAAATTTTATTAGCGATTTTGCGATGCGCATAAACAAAGCAAAATAGATGAAAACTGGTTTTCATTGAAGCCAAATGTGCAAGTGCTTAACGTTGTTGGGTTTTTTTTTTGCCAGGGGGGTCACTCTACGCACACACTTGCACATGCAGAATCAGACAGGCAAACGCACACAAGTGTAAACAATGCACAGTCTCTCGCTTGCTGTTGCTTTGGCGCACCTCTCGCACTGTTTTGCGCTTTGCATTTTCCGCTGATATTCTTCTATTTTTTCCCTGATGCTGCGTTCAAGTTTACAGCAAGTGCACCAGCCACCACGAAGCACATTCCGAAAGCGTAGACGAAAATACATATGCAGATGAAACGCGGATATTGGATGTTTGAAGTGCGCATGCGCATGTTTGGCGCCCATTGGCAGCGCTGTGCTTTTTATTTTATTACATAACGGCGTTCCCAGTTGCAGTTGGCAATGCCAATCCTGTACGATAGAGATGAGTGTCCTCTAATATTATCGATAATTGCACAGTCGAATTTTACGGATTATGGGGTTTTCGATATTATATTCATTTGATCTTTTATAACTGTCAATCCCAAAACTTTAAAGTAAGAAATTTTTCTCCTAACAATAACATTTATTACCCGCATCTGTTAAAAGATGTCACGTTTTATAAGAATTATTTAAATTAGCTTACTAAATCTTTTTTGTTTTACCTTATTGCAGAAACAACGAAGGATCGTTTTTGTGAATACCGTACCCATAAAAAAAGTTGCAATTTACAACGACGGACAACAACGCGGAATCTATAAAGCAGTAATATCCCCATAAGAAAAAAAACAGGATCAGATTTAGGAAAAGGATCCAGAGAGCTAAGAAGGAGAGGAGTAGGAGCGAAGTTGCCAGGGAGCACGCTGAGGAAGTCGTCGAATCTCTCGAAGCGTTATGATTGTGATGGCTGACAATGTGATGTGGCAAAGAGTTGGACACCGTCTATGCAAATCGAGCGCGCACCACCGCCTACGCCCACAGTTGTTACCAGAGGGAGCCTCAGCCTCCATCCTCCGTTCCAGAGCCAGAGGTTATGTATTGAGCCCCCAATGTTTTGGGGGCACGTCAACGAAGGCCCAGCGTCAGCAGGAGCAGAACCGCCAGCAACATGACGGCTTCGCCTGTGAAGTAGTGTTGTGAAATAGAAACTGAAACCGAGACCATAACCGAGCTCAAAAAAAAAGCGAGTGAACTCTCAGGCCGCCACAGGCTCCCTCCCTCTAAACTCACGTCTAATTTTAGTTCGCAGACCGATCTGCAGCAACAGCACCACCACCATGCCCATGTCCAGTCACGACACGGTCTTTGTGGAGCCGGCCGTCAGCAGCAGCAGCGGCGGCGGCGGCAGCACCAGCAGCAACAATCGCGTCGGAGTAGCTGGCGGCCCCCAGCCGCCGCCTCCTCACATCGTCATCGATGGCAGCCTGTCCACGCAGGCCCAATTGCAGCGTATCATGCAACGCCGCATGTCGATCAGCACGCGCCAGATCCTCAGCGCCAGCCAATCCCAGTCAATGAATCCGACGCAAAAGTACGCGGTGCGTACAGCAGCAGGAACCGCAGCACTCACCGCGACGGCAGCCACATCGGCCAGCCCCGGCCAGGAGCTGATCAATCCCCAGATCTACAAGATTGTGACCACTGACGGCAGCACCAGCAACGTCATTATCGATGCCTCTGCTGCGGCTCCGCCGCACAACTCCAAGCTGCTGCTCAGCAATCTCACGGTGCTTTCCAAGCAGGCGCCAGTCCAAGGAGGCGCCGCCCAGCAGCAGCAACAGCTGAACTACCTTGGTGCCAAGAGTCTGCCATATGTGACGGCTTCGCCGGCCAAGACGCAGCAGCAGCCCCAGAAGTTCGGCAGCATCGGGGCATTTAAGGCGCAACAACAGCAGCAACATCATCCGCATGCCACTCTGCAGAAGGTGACGTTGGGCTCCCGGGTGGCCACCCGCCTGCAATCATATGTCCCGGCAACTCCCTCGCAGATTATGGTGCAGCCGGCGCAGCCTAAGTATGTAAACGCTACGGCGACACCATTAGGTGGAAATGCAGCACTTTTAAAGAAGGCCAACCAAAAGATCACGGTCAAGAGCGTGGCCAATTTGACACAACAACAACAACAGCAGCAGCAGCAGCAGCAACAACAACAGCAGCAGCAACTTCAAGCGCAGCAGCTGAAAACCTTTATTACGCAGCAGCAACAGCAGCAAACCTTCAAGGCGGGCGCCAAGGCTAAGTTTGTGAAACAGACGACAGCCCTGTCGATTGCCACGCTGCCCCAACAGCAGCAGGCCGCAACGTACACCAAACAAACGATGGTCACCACGCCCACGCCGGCAAAGGTCACCAAACTGAACAGCAAGTACGTGCAACAGCAGATCAGTCTGCCGCAGGGAACGCAACTGCAGCACAAGACGTCGCCGAATGTCCCCGGAGGAGGAGGATACCTACTGCAGCAGTCGCAGGCCGCTGTCGGAGGCACGATTAAGTTTGTGAACTCTCACGGCACCGTCATCCAGCAGCATCCCCAGCAACAACAGCAGGCGACCAAGCGTACCCACTACAACAGCAGCGGCAGCAGCGACAATGAGCAGCACGGCGTGGCCAACTCCTCGCTGATCACCGACGACGTGATGATCGTCAACGGCACTCAAATGACGGACGAACTGTCTGCCAGAATCCTGCAGAGCATGGCCCAGAAGTCGTTTAGCCAGCAGCAGCAGCGATTCCAGCAGGTTCCGTCAACGGGCAGCAGCAGCAGCAACATGCCGCCGCCCACCCAGATCATCTACAGCAACAGCGGCAGCAGTAGCAATGGGGCACCCACCAGCAGTCCGGGTGCGAATACGTCGGGAAATCTGCTGCTTGCCCACTATCAGGCAGCTGGCTCAAAGCCGGTCTCCTCGGCATCGTTTCTGGCGGTCTCGAGTTCCCCAGTGGTGGCCACAACGCCATCGGTGAGCATCTCGTCGCATGGCTTTGCCAGCGGAAGCGCGGCCATCTCCTCCTACATGTCCTCGGCGACGGCGGCGCGACGACAGTCGGTTAGTGCGCCCAGTAGCAGGTCAGTGTCCCTAGAGCGAAAGCAACACCAGCAGCTGCAGCACGAAGTGATGGCCGGTGGACGAAAGGCACCCACGGTCATTGAGTATTACAACAAGCATGGGTAAGTAATGGCAGGGAAACTCAATCTTTTATCAGTAAAAAAAGGGAACTTTTTAAAGTGCATTATTTGGTTAAAGTTGGAAACCTTTAGTATTTATTTGGCACAACTGACATTTAAGTTGAAAGCTTTTTAAATGTAAAGCGTTTAGAATCGATTTGTCTGTCAAATGTTTCGATTTTCGTGATGTTCGATAATCAATATTTCTCGAAAAGCATCGGTAGTTGGTCTCACTATTGTCAAAATCGTATTTACGACATTCGGGCAGAGCTGGTCAGTTCGGTTGTAGTATTAGAACTAGCCTCGTCAATGGGGAAGCACAAACTGTTTTGTGATATTTTCAAGAAAGCTCGATTGGCAGTGTCTAATAAAAACAATCCCTGAATTGCAGCGTGAACAGCATCATCGGCAGCAGCAGCAGTAGCCTAACCCAAAGCAACAGCATGAGTAATCTCGGAACCCTGCGAAACACCAGTGCTAGTGGATTCGCCACGACCACTCCAACGCCAGCAACTCCGCTTCACCTGACGCCGCTGAACGTTCCAGTCCACGTGGAGGCCGTTCCACCATCTTCGCCAGCGCTGATCAAGTTGGCGAACCAGGCGCCGGCGCAGCCACAACAGCAGTCGCATACGCTGGCAAACAATCAGCCGAGTGCCAACGACGAGGAGCTGTACATCGAGGAGGTGCGCCCGGTGCCGGTGCTCACGCAGGATCTACGCCTTCAGCAGCTGCACGCCATCATGCAGGACCACACGTACGCCTCGCAGCAGCAACAGCAGCAGGCCCAGCAGGCGACAGGAGACACCTCGATTCCGGGAGCCACTCAGCAGGCCCACCAGCCGCAGCAGTGGTCACTGGGCGGTATCGGGGTCACGGTGGCCGGTGGTCAGGCAACTCCCACGGCAGCAGTCGGATATGCCAGCTATTTTGGTCAGCAAAGTACGTAAACCACAGAATTAGTTCAATCCAATCTTATACTAACATGATTTTTGATCTTTTATTAATTAGTTCCTCGCCATGTGGCTGATGACGATGCCCATTCGGCCATCAGCAGCAGTTCGCGTTTGGGACTGGCTAGTACGGACATCGATCCTGGCGAGGAGACGGAAACAGCACCAGAAGCTGAGGCAGAGGATGATTCCGTCACCAGGTGCATCTGTGAACTTACCCATGACGATGGGTACATGATATGCTGTGACAAGTGCTCGTAAGTATCGTGAAATTTCAAAGGGTTAAAGATTGTACAATCATTCCCTTGGAATCTTTTAAGAATTAATAAATTTACCTTATTTATCTTTCAGGGCTTGGCAACATGTGGACTGCATGGGCATCGACCGTCAAAACATACCGGAGGAGTACATGTGCGAGCTGTGCCAGCCGCGTGCAGTGGACAAAGCGAGGGCTCGAGCACTGCAGCGTCAGAAGCGCAAGGAGCACATGCTTCTGGTGGCCACGCAAGCGGCAAATGGAGCTGCCGCCGTGGCAGCGGGAACAACGCTCAGTGCAGGACTCGGTCCAGGTTTGGCCATGTCCGAAGAACTGCAGCAACGGTTGGCGTCTGGCATGAATGGCGGGTTCGCCACAGGCACCGGCATGTCCAAGAAATCGAAGAAAACCAAAGAGAACGCGGGCAATACCTCCGCTTTAAAGAAAGCCAAGAAGAGCGGCGCGGGCTTGGGTGGCGAAAAGAGCGGCAGCGGAGGTGCAAACCCCTCGGGAAGTGGCGGCAAGTCGAGCAAGAAGAGCAGCAAGCGCAAGAGCAAGTCCAGTGGCGATGGATCATGCGGCGGGGGAAACAGTCCCGCCTTGACGGCAGCCGAAAAGCATGCCGCCAATTTGCGCCAGTGGATCGAGAACTACGAGTATGCGGTGACCAATCACTACTCCCCGGAACTTCGCGCCCGCCTGCACGCCATTCAGAAGCAGCCGGGCCTGCTGCAGAGTATCCAGAACACGGAGAACAAGGCGCTGCGCCAGATCCAGCAGCAACTCTCGACAGCCGGCAGCAGTGAGCAACTGGAGCAGCGCGCCCAACTCATCCCATATGCGGGCGCCAAGATTCTGATTAGCAGCGTTGAGCTGGCGCCGAATGCCCCCATCCACGAGCTGCGCGGCAAGTATATGCTAACGACCCAGTTCCGCACCCAGAACCCGACCGTCAACATGAACACGCCGCCACCCAGCAATTACCTGAACAGCTTCAAGGCGCACAAGACGCCCGGTCAGTTTGTGTTCTTCTACCAGCTGCCCGGCGTGGAGGCGCCCATGCAGACCCGGCGGCCGGACGGAAGTGTGCCACAAGTGGCGCAGCAACCGCCCTCTTATCTCAAGGGTCCGGAAGTATGCGTGGATACGCGGACGTACGGCAACGATGCTCGCTTTGTGCGTCGCTCTTGCCGACCCAACGCCGAACTGCAGCACTACTTCGAGAAGGGAACCCTCCACTTGTACATCGTGGCACTGACGCATATACGCGCCCAGACGGAGATTACGGTGCGCCACGAACCGCACGACCTGGCGGCTGTGGAGCAGAAGAAGTCACATGCCGCCGTCATCCAGCCGACGAGTACGCGATGCGCCTGTGACATGGGCAGCGATTGCCTGTTCGCTTTGCCACTGGCAGTGCAGCAGCAGCTGCAGGCGCCGCCAACGCAGCCGAGGAGCAGTCATCGCAACAAGGCGGCGGCAGCAGCAGCGGCGGCAGCTGCGGCAAACAGTGCGGCAGCCATACAGTTGACCATGGGTCTGGGCGTTGGAGCGACTGTGGCGGGTGTGCTGCCCAATTCCCGCAATCGATCCACCTCATCCAGCGGCGAGAGCAGTCAAATGGGTCTGAACAGTCCGCAGCTGGGACAATTGAATCTGGGCTTCAAGCCCTCGCCAACCGCAGCATCGCTAACGGCGCCGGTGCCCGGAGTGCATTGCAACAACAGCGGTGGGAGCAGCAGCAGCAGCAACAACTCCTGCTCGGTGTCCATGTCCAGTGTGCTGCACGACTCGGGCATCTGTACGTCCTCCTCGTCGCCGTCGGTGTCCATTCCCTCGCCCACGCCCGCCCAGTTGCAGTCGCCCACCTTGCAGCAGCATCCGCACCAGATGCCCCATCAACAGCTGTCGCTCTTGCAACGCAGCCCGACGCAACAGCATCAGCAACAGATCCTGGCTGCGCTACCCACGCCCATGCTCACGCCGATGCTCTCACCACAATTGCCGAAACCTGCACAGCAGCAGCAGCAGCCGGCACTTCAGCAGGCGCATGTTGTGTTGCCGATACAGCAGCAATCTTCCCTGCTGCAGCAACAGCCGCAGCAAAGCCAGGAGCCGTTGGCCGTAATCGCAGCCGCAGCAGCTGCCCAACAACCGATGGCCACCTATTTTGTACGGCAACCTCAGCAGCAGCAGCAGCAACAACCATCGCCACAAGCGCAGCATTCGGTGGTGGCACAGCAGCAAAATTTGGTCACCGCTCAGCCACAACAACAACAGCAACACTTTCTGCAGCAGCAGAAACAACAACAACAACACCAGCAGCAAATGGCGGATGAGGCTAGAATGGCAGTGAGTGCATTGCAAACACTGCATGCCACGCCCACTTCACATATTGTGACGCCAATCAAGGTGGCGGCAGTTCAGCAGCAAACCCACCAGCAACAACAACAAACTGTTCAGCAACAACAACCACAACCACATCAGTTGCAACAGCAACAACAAGTGAAGCAGCTGAACTATCCACAGTCGCCACAACAGCAGCAAAAAGGTCAAGTGTTGCAGCATCAGCCGCAGATCATATTTCCAAGCGGAGGAGGAGCAGGAGGAGCTCAGGCCATCCCGGTCACCACGACGCCCACCAAATTGAGTTCACCCACCAAGAGTGTGGCTCCTGTGATCAACAACAACAACAACAATAGTGTAAGTGCTTCTGGCCAAGCATCGGTGGTTGGTGGAAAGAAAACACCAGCAAAGCAGCAGCAGCAACACAACCAGCAGCAGCAGCACCACCCATCGACCCCGAATTCCAGCACTTCAAATGCAAATGCAGCAACTCCTTCGTCCGCCGAGTCGAGAGAGGACGATGGTGGACCATCGAGTGCCACCACAACACCAACCACACGTGCGACGGCACCGAAGCAATCGCGCGAGGATCGCAAGCTGGAGGCCATCATGCGAGCATTCGAGAAAATGGAGAAGCAGCAGGCGCGTGCCAAGAAGGAGACGCGCCAGAGCAGCGGTGGCAAGCGGCAGGCGAGCAACTCACCCGCCTCGCCGAACAAGCGGGCGAGCAACTCCATCAGCGAGGACGTTGAGACGCCGACGAGCACCAATTCCGCCTCCTCGGCGGCGGCTGCTCAGCGTCGGAACAAGAAGAAGCGCAAGGTGAGTCGCAGCTACAACAACAACACGAATGGCGTGGGATTGGGAGGCAGCAACAACAAGCGGAGGAAGAGCATCATGGTGGAATCCGATGGGGAGTCTCATGCGTTGACCAACTCGGAGTCGGAGGATCAGGTTCAGCATCCGCAACCACATCACAGTGGCTCAGAGGATCAGGCAGCGGGTCTCCTCTTGGCTTTGGCACACAACAATTCATCGCCCAACGAGTCATTCAAGTCGCCCTCTTCGCAATCGCATTCGCTGCCCGCAACTCCGGCTTCGGTGAGCAGCGCCTGTCTGCTGATCGAGGCGGCCATGGGACCACTGGAACAGCAACCCACACCGGCGTCGGCGTCGCCTTCGCCTGGCGAGTTCAAGTATCCACCTGGCGGGGCCAAGACCAAAAAGACGCTGATGTCTAGTTGGTTCCAGCAGGCGGAACAGAGCGAGCATCAGCCCGCCTCCGGTTTGGATAGCCTCGTGCAGGCGGCCATGAGCGAGATAAACGGGGAGCGCGACCAGTTGCACCACCCGCCCCAAGGTCAATCTTCGCCAGCGCCAGCCCTGCTCAAGGTGGAGCAGTTTATCCACCAGGCGGAGTCCACGACTGCAGTTGCAAATCGGGAACAATTAAGTCTGCCACTGCAAAACAATTCGTCAGTTAAAAAGCGCTGGCTGCGGCAGGCCATCAGTGAAGAAACCACTCCGGTTGAGGAACTTCAGCAGCAGCAGCAGCAGAACCAGTCGGTGGCTGCCACGCCCTCGCCTCAGCCGGTGCCAACTGTGTCGCCATTGGCGAACGGATTCAGCACTCCGCTGAAGAAGCGGCGCCTGGTTGTCATCAGCAATGGAGCGAACGTGGAAGCGGATGAGCCGCACATCGATGTCATTGGAGAGCCCAAGGAGGAGGCAGAGGAGATGCCGCCACTCAAGGTGGAAACGGAGCACCAACACCAAGAGCAGGAGGACGACGTGGACATCCTGCGTTCGCCCAGTCCGGGAACACATCAAATAGTTGCCGAGGATAATCTGGTTAAGATCGAGCCGGAGGATACGAGTGCGGCGGCCGAGGATGTGAAGATCGATGTGGAGCGCGAGGAGAGCCAGGCATGCGACAAGTTCGAGGAGATGGTCAAGGTGAAGCGCGAGGAGGAGGAGCAGCGTGAACAGCAAAACCAACAGCTGCAGCAGCTACAAGAACGTCAGGAGCTGCAGCCGAAAGTGGAACCACCGCCTCTAGTGGAACCAAAGGTGGAAGGTACCGTGGTTAAAGCGACGCCCAAGGTGGAGGCAACTCCGGAACTTGTTCCCCCCAAAGTGGAGCCGGCGAAAGTTGAGCCCAAGCCAGGGGAATCTCTGCTGCGCAGCACAGCTACTGCAAGTGCAACGGCAGCAGCAGCAGCTACTCTGCTCGATGTGGGTAAGGTGGCACTAAAGACTAAGCCACCATCGCTCAAAGTGGAGGATGAGCCGCAAAAGAAGAAACCGAAACTGGAGGCAGTTCCTCCCACAACTGCAACGCAGCCCGTTTCAGGAGTTTCCATTCCCGCAACGACGAATGCAACTCCAGCTGCAACAACAACAATCACACCTGCAACAGCGTTGGCAACAGCGGCTGGTCCTCCTCCGAGCACCAAAAATCTCACCGAACACGATATACAGGAACGCTTGCTCTCCTTCCATGCAGCCAACATTTCCTATCTGCAGTCCAGAAACAAAAAGGCCACCGCCGCAGTCTCGGCAACCGCCTCCTCCAGTCAGAAGATCAACAGCAGCAGCAGTGGAGGAGGTAGTGGTGCCGAGTCGAAGAAGCCCTCCAAGGAGAAGGATGAGAAGCGCGACAAGGAAAAGCAGCTGAAAAAGTCCAAGAAAGACAAGAAGAAGTCCAAGGAGAAGGATAAGCAAAAGGCTGCGGCGATTCTCACGCCGCAAATCGTTGAGCCGAAGAAGAAGGCATCTCAGCCGACGAAGCCAGACAGCAAATCTCCAGCTTCGCAGATTCTTGCGCCGCCCAGTGTGCCAACTGCAACGGCCAACGGAAAGACCAAGCACATGGCACACAACAATGTGGACCAGCAGCAACAACAGCAGCATCAGCAGCAACAGCAGATGAGGCGACGCACCTTGTCCATGTGCATTACGCCAGTCACGCCGGCTCCAGTTCCCTCGGCCTTGCTGGGAACGCCACCCACGACCAAGAAGCGCCAGACGAACTTCGAGCAGGAGCTGACCAAGCCGAACAGTCAGATCCTGAGCAGCAGCATCCTGCTGAACAGCAGTAAAGGTCTGGGCATGCCGCTGACCACGCCCGCAGTGGTTGGCATGCCCACGGTGGTTCAACAGCAGCAGCATCGCAAGGAGAACAACCACCAGGAGGCGGCGACACCAGCGAGCGGTGGTGGACCCATGAGTCTGGCGGCAGCCATTGCCAGTGGGAAACTGACTGCCATCAGCCGGCGGCGGGAGTCCATGTGCGGCAGTCGCCAGCAGGCGCTCATTGCCGCCGCTCTCAAGAAGGAGAAGAAGGAGAAGAAGAAGAGCAAGAAGAAGGATCGCGAGAAGCAGAAGCACGAGAAGCAAAAGGGCAAGGACAAGGAGCGGGAAAAGGAAAAGGAGAAGGAGGCCAAGCAAAAGACCAATCACATACAGAAGCCAGTTCTTCCGGCGGCAGTTACTCCCAGTCCGGCTCCAATTCCCACCCTCACTCCAGTTGCGGCTGCCACTCCCACTCCAATGGCCACGCCGAGAGCTGCTCTCACGCCCATGTCCACACCGAAAGCTGCTCCCATTCCTGTGCTCATAACCCAACCCACGCCGACTGCGATCCATGCAACCCAACCGGTGGGGAACAACTGCGTTCCCAAGGTGGCGCCGCTTCCCTTCTACAACACCATCTACGGAAAGTTGCAGGATCCACCGACACCCACAGTCAGCAGTCCCAGTCCCGCCACAAACACCATGCCAAGTCTGGCGGAATATCTGGAGTCCACCAAGTCCAAAACGGCTGTATCGCCGGCTGCCAAACCTATTGGTGTAGCAGCAATTGCGCCAATCGGTGGGACGACACCAACGGCAACGGTTGCAACTGCATCTGTGGAAATGCCACCACCGACCACCACACCATTGAAGCTGTACACGCGGACCGCCAGCCATGATCCGCGACTGAATCCAATGCTCACGGTGCCGGATCCCACGCCCATGCCGAAACGCAAGCTCTCCATCAGTGAGTACAGGATGCGCCATCGTCCCTCGGTGGACACTGCTCCGACCACGCCCACAACACCGACCATTCCAACAACTCCCACCACGCCAACGGGCAGCAGCAAGGATCGGTGCTTCGCCAAGCCGCAGACCATCAACAAGTGCTCGCTTCAGTCGCCGGAACGCTATCACGCGGCGATTCGGGAGCGTCGCAACTCTATCAGTGCCCACCACCATCCGCAGCAAGGCATTAGCTTGAATCTCAACAACAACAGCAGCCATAAGAGCGGAAGTAGCAGCGGTAATCACCTGCAGCAGGCGTTGGGCGTCTCCGGTGGAAGGATGTCCGGGAAGAGTGCCATAATCGATCCAGCTGCCACTACATTGAGCACAGTGAATAGCATCCTGAGCACGGCTCAGAAGCTTCACATGTTCGATGACAAGCCAAAGGGTAAGAAGAATATAATTTAATATTTAGTACATTATAACCAAGATTCCTTGTCTCCAGGTGGCCACTTCAATGCAGCACCCACTCTCCTCGAGCAGCAGCAGGAGAAGATGAGCGAGCGATCGAGGTGCTTGCAGCGAACCATTTCGTGTGACTCGCGGGTGATCGAGCGATTGGGTTCAGGTGCGGCTGCTAGTTCCTTGGAAAAGGTGACTACGGCGGCCGGCCGACGAGATAATGTCTGAAATAGTGAGTTAATCATATATAAATCTGTAAACTTTTTCTTAACACATTTGTACTCACAGTAAACCTTAAAACAACTGGATGAAAAGACAACTGTAAGCAAGTTAAAGGATCAAAAGGCGTTACACCACCAACAAAGATGGTCACTAAACTGCAGATGGATTTCAATTTTCGATAGATTCTCGCGCTCTCCTCACATCAAACAATAACTTACTACCCGTTTCTTGTTTAAAAACATTAATTTATAGAAAATTACAACGCGCATACCGTATGAGCAGCCTACCTGTATGTTTTGTCGGTGGACATCAGAAGAAAAGACGATGCAATTATTGTACATTACAAAACACAAAGCCATTTGCCTAGCAAAAATAATTGGAACATTTTGAAGAGAAAGATAAACGTTCTACTAAATACTTAGTTATTCAATGGTATCGTTTTTGTCACAGCAAGCAAGCCGCTTAAATTACTTACAATCAAGAAGAGTAAAATATATATGCACATGTATATGCTAAACACCTATTAATAGAGCCTATGTAGCGCAATATAAGCATAAACTTAAATAGCACATAGAGTACAGGTTAGACAGCCAAATTTGAAGTTAAAAAAAAAAAAAACAGATGTTAGATACCACACTTGGCTCGTTTGGTAATTGATGTATTTTTTATTATTTCTTAAGTTCATTCAAACCGAGAGAATAGTTTCGTTGTAACAACTGCAAAGGAGCCTAAAGTAGATATGGGGAGTATCCATCCCTGCTAAATATAATTTGTGTAACATTTGTTTAAATTTTGAATTACTTGTAATTGTAGAAATAAAAGAAAAAACTATTACAAAACCACTACAATATTTACAAAATAAAAAAAAGTTTAAACAGATTGATAAAGCAAGCAATATTACAAAATCCAATAACTAGATTGAGATCTTGGCAAATAGTAAAAGTAAGAACGTTAGCAAGACCAAGAAAGCAGAATCCGGGACTAAAATCAATGTATATAATATTTTTATCATTCAGAAGACACCAAAAGGAGAAAATGAAAAACTACTTGTTATCTTATTAGGCAAGTAATGTAAGTTAAAAAGAGTACAAAGCAAGATTGAAAGAAGTTAAGATTATGAAAACCTGTTAATAATTGTAAATAGCGGAGGCAGCAGAATGTTTTGGAAGCCATTTTCGTAATTAGACATAGTTTTTTTATTTCCCGAATTTCCCCTTAAATATATTCTCAAATTAGTTTTGATTTTTATAGCTTGTCAAGAATTTTAACCGATTAATGCTGACCGGGAATGTGTTCGAAGGTCTTAAATGATCTGTATTTGAAAGTGAACATTCAATTAACACCATTTATATTCTCTTTTGAATGCATTCCTTGGTGCAGCGTTTTTTGTTCTTATTGTAAAATAAACCAAATTTTTCCTTTAATTTATAAATAGTAAACATGAGAGAATTCAAGATCCTAGAAAAAGTAAAAAAAAAAAAACTTATTTTGACCCCGTGAAGAAATTTTCAACTCTGATAGAATTTGTTATTGAGAATAAGCTATATACTAAATTACTTTTAAGTTGTAAAGGTGTTTACAAATCGGACTTTAAGGACAATGTGGGGAATTAGTTATAGAAGAACTTTTGTACATATATTTTATTTCTTACATTAACCATTTAAAGAAATCAAGCAGGTGGTCTTTAGCGAAGCGCTTTTCAGTTTAATTTATATTTATGTAAATAAGCGTAAGCCCCATTAATAATATAACCAAATAAGTGTAAAATATTTTACTGAAGTGTACTAAGCCGATTTTATGAAACGTATGTTGTTATTTTTTTTTAGCGCTGTACAATAAAAACAAGACCTATATTAAACCTATTTATAGTTATCTATAAAACATAATTATGAATGAGGAGTTCATAGTTTTCGTAATACAGTTTTGATAGTTGTAACATAAAAGGAAACGAAATTATTTCTAACTTATTTGAAAGAAAAATACCTACTCGTAATAATTTTTACTCTACACTTAGATTCTATATAAGTGCGAATTTGAATTGTAAGTCTAAGCATAATGGTTTTAGCTATAAGTCAACCTTGGTTTAACTGATGTAAATTAAATACGTTAATTGTTTACTAAACAAACACAAGCATGCCTAAAGAAGTTGGCAAACAAGCTTCGTCTGTAAAATACATTACAAATGAATTCACAAGATTCTTTAACAATAAACAAAAAACCGAAAAACACAAATAAAACTAAAATAAAATGAAAATAATAAAAATGTTTTTCAATTACGTTTGTGTACCTTTGCAGAGGGTATGAACTTTAAGGGCTCAAGTTGGTCTCGTCAAAGTTGGCCAGTAAAAACTTTCAGTAAAAAAAAATCACTGAAGTACCAGGCGAACAGAATGAAAGAGTTAGTGGACACTTTTCAGATTACTTACTCGTTCCCAAACGTATGCCACACATTTTTATGGTAAATTTTAACAGTCAAAAAACCCCTGCTAATTCATTCTTAGAAAACAAATTAGCCCAGGTCCATATCCCATATGTACCATACCTACCCCATCTTCTAAACGCCCGGTTATGTTCAGATGGTCCTGAACGATTCCGGCGACAACAATAAAAATCGAATTATAAAACTTTCAAAAAAAAAAAAGAAAACAAATTAGTTAATTTTAATTTTTTGGCCGATTTTCTTCAATTTTTATGATGAAACCCCTTTCCGAATTTCCAAAAAATTGGTTTGCTGAAAATTTACGAATTCTAAGTCCATATTTTGCTAGCTTAAATCAGATTTTGAAGGGGCATGCCCCTTAAAGTAATTTTGTTTCATTGGCTTTATATAAATAAATAATTTAATTAAATTTCAATGTTTAACGAGCCATCGTTCAAATAATTAAGAAGAAATTATCGATTTTCAGTAAACATTATTTTATTTCATACATTTTGTAAAGTGCCTAACTAGGATTAATATTAATATTGGCTTTACCTACGTGAAAAGTACTTAAATACTAATAGCCGACAATATCAATTTCTCTGAAACATTTCGTATACTCTAGGCAATATATGCATGTGTATATTTGTATATAAGTGTGACTTCTTAAAGTTAATGGTTCCTGAACCTACAAAAATATATAAGGTGATTGTATGAAAATTGCATCCTAAATTTAATTAAGGGAGTTCTTTTTGTACGTGCTACATAAAGTTCTATACAGATCGGTAGGGCAACATTTAAACCATGAACAAACTATTTATTCAAAAAAATATGCTTTACCAGGAGCCGTGTAAATATTGCGAATTTATTGTTATCTTTAACAATTATGCAAACCGAAAAATAAATATGGTCCACAGCAGTGATCATCAGCAATGATAGATGGACAGCTCTTTGTTTTTATATGAAATCTCATCTTATATTATTGACATATTGAATGAGAGATAATCATTCTCCTATATTTAAGAATATTTACAATTTAAAGTGAGTTGGTGCGAGGGACTATAAAAAAATTAAAGAGGGATGTTATTGACCGATACCCAAGACATTACAACTCTTTCGATGTCGAATTGTCTCGACTAGTTTTGTGATAGTTTGTCATAAGACGTTGCGGCAGGCTACAAATAACTGAATTGAAGAGACTCGATTGTCTCTCGGTCATTCGGACTTATATAACAGCTCGCATAAATTCTTTAGTGACTATGGAGTGATTGATTCCTGAGTGATTGGGCCTCATTTCAGCTCTACAATAACCAGAACACTCGGCGCTAGGACTTGTTACTGTTGCAGCTATTGACATTGTTGTTGTTATACAAGTAGGGTATCAGGTTGGGCTCGATTTCCAGTTGTTGCCTGAGTATTGAGCTCATGACGAACTCTGTGGACACAATGTGACACTTTGGGTTGCCGTGCCGCGTGAGATCCGCACAGAGATGCATGTCCGTGGGACAGGTGACGATGATGTAGGAGTCGGGTGACTGAATGTGCGATTCCGCCACAGCTGCACCGCTTCTCCGCTTTGGCTCCACTTTACCGCCGGACGATTCGATCATTCGAATAATTTCCTCGCGAGCCGGAAACACGTCTGGCGTCACATGGAAGTATTTACCCGCAAAGAGTGTGGAACGAGTGGGCGCGCACAGGACAGTGTTCAGATTGAACTGTAGGTTCTCATCCACCGGAATGTGCTGTATGCGATATGCATCGGTCGGCACGAATTTTCCAGCTTTGGCACTATCCGCTATCCAGCTGGACTTGAGCACAAAGTCCACATGACAGCAGGCCTGAATTAGCTTGCAAGTGCGACTCTCGCGTGTCATAACCAGGTGAGTGGCATCTGCGGGGCTGTCTACTACAATTCCACCCAAAATCCTGAGAAAGAACGAACAATTATGAGCAAGGCTTTCTTCACATTAAACATGTTTTTCTTTTACTTACATCACAGCATTTTTAAGTGCCTCGGCATCTGCGACTTGTGAGAAAATCACCTTCGGCGGTTTGGTGGTTGTTGGATATTCGACGCAGACAATTTGGTCGGGCAACTGTTCCTGCTGGAACGAGTTCATCTTCTGGCGCTTGATTTTGTGCTCGTTGCTGTAGGGATCGGAAAGGTGTCGCTTAACTCGCTCGTGCGCCTCCTGAGTGAGATTGATGGGCGCCTTCCAAGCAGCTTTAAAAAAAATTCAAATTAGGCAACCACCTAAGATATTTCTTCATCTTTTACTTACTCAACAGGTGCGCCACCAAGTTGCATTCGATGCGGAATGGAGCGACTAGATTGTACTGTTGGTACTTAGGATTGTCGTAGTGGGAAAGGCCGCTCAGGTTGCCAATGCAGACGTCGCTCAGCCAAAGGGCATTCACCATCGGTATGTTCCATTCTTTCGCCGCATTGAACTTGTTGCCCTCGAGCTGCTTGCACACGACCACGGTGTTCACCTTGGACAGGTAAGAGGTGTAGATGGCTCCGCACTCCTCTGCCATCTGCTGCAGCCTGACCACCTCCTCGCCCTCGAATCCCTCGGAGGTGATGATGTAGCGTTCCAACGGCTTGCGGTAGCCAAACTGACTTGGGAATGGTAGGTGAAGCGGCTGCCAAGGAGGCATCAGCTGCCGCTTGAGGCAAATATCACTCAGCCAGTAAGCGGTGACGCAGCGCTTGGCATCCCGGAGTGCCTGCATCACCACGCCATGTCGCTGGGTACGACATATTACGTGCGTCACCCGCGGGCAGTAAACGCGTTCGATGTCGCCTCCAAATTGCCTGATTGTATCGAGCCAAATGGGAAGCTCATCGCTGTCCGTTTCGTCATATTCCACGATGTAGAACGTACAGCCCACCAGAAATAGATCGGCGGGCAGTTTCAGGTTCGGATTATGGCCGTAAAACTGCGGCATCGGTATCGGCGGCTGTCCGGGTCGGGTCTGAATGTATCCGTGCGGGGTTCGCTGTACTGGCACTCCCACGCCCACACCCACAGCCATTTGTTGTTGCTGCTGCGGTGACTGTGGGGGAGCGACCACAATCTGCTGCTGGACGAGGTGTTGCTGCGGTGCCTGCTGCTGTTGCGATACAGTCACAACTCGGCGCATTTGCTGTTGTTGCAAAATTTGTTGCTGCTGCTGTTGTTGTTGTTGCTGTTGCTGCAGCATCATCAACTCCTGCTGAGTTCTGGGTGGACCGGGTACGCCGACGGATGCATTATGCTGCTGCCCCATCATTCTGAGAGCGCCAGCCGCCGAGGGTGGCTCCACATGTTGCTGCTGCGGCAGTTGTTGTTGCACCACCATCTGTTGCTGCTGCTGCTGCTGCTGGAGTAGCAACTGTTGTTGCTGTTGCTGAATGGCTCCGGTCACCACCACCTGCTGCACAATCTGCTGCTGTTGCGGCTGCTGCTGAGTCTGACCGTCGGGGAGTTGAATTAGCTGCTGCTGTGGCGTCTGAGCTCCATTGTTTCCCAAGCGATTGCTCAGCATGTTGGCCAGAGCTGTCTTCGTCTTCAAGTTCATCTGCTGGGGTGTTTGCTGCGGTTGTCCATCAGGAGCTGTAAAAAGAGGAATAGTTAATTAATGTAAGTAAAATATATCAATTTTTAACTTACTTGTTGAAGTCATGACAAGGGTTTGTGTCATTATGTTGGCATTTCCAGGGAGAACACCCCCAGCACCCGGAGTTGTGGGCGTTCCCGGTGTGGACAACTGCTGCGGCTGCTGGACAATCGTCTGTTGTTCGATCAGCTGACCGTTGGGTCCAGTGATAAGCTGCACCGTTTGCTTGCCCAACTGCTGAGGTCCCTGCTGCTGAATGGGAATCTGCTGGACGCGCAACTGCTGGCGCTGCATCAACATTTGCTGGTTGGGATCATTTGGATTGAAGGGCTGCTGCTGCGGCGACTGTTGCTGCTGTGGCGGTCCCACTCCCTGTTGTTGCTGCTGCTGCTGAATCGGACTCAGACCGGGAGTTCCCGTGCGCACCACCACCTGACGTTTTCCCTGCTGTTGCTGCAGCCAAACCACCTGCTGCTGCTGCGTCAATTGTTGCTGTTGGACAATAATGTGCCCGGGCGGAACTGGACCGGCTGGTCTTGTGGCGACTATGTTGCCCGGTGTCCCGGGACGCGGCTGATAGGCAACTTGCTGGCGAAGCATTACACGCGGTTTATTTTGCGCATTTAACTTGTTGATGTACTCGGCTCGTTTATGCGCCTCGAGGGACATGATATGCGCGTGCGTCTTTTCATCCACGACGATTTTTTGTTGCTGTGGCTGCTGTTGCAACACCAGTTGTTGTTGTTGCCCCACCTGCGCCTGTTGTTGTTGTTGTTGTTGGGGTGGCGGTAGCACGATTTGTTGTGGGTGCTGGGGAGGCTGAGGTTGCTGAGGCTGACCGGGCCACGAGGTTTGCGGACGCAGTCCACGGGGAACAAATTGCTGTTGCGGTTGTTGTTGCTGCTGCTGCTGCTGTTGTTGTTGCTGCTGCTGTGGCGTTGTAGGTCCGCCGGGCAACGGAGATTGCATTCCCACACTACTGGTAGGCGTTCCCGGAGTGCTAGGCGCCATTTGACCGCCAGCCGGGCTTTGTGGCGACCAATGTGGTTGCTGCATTTGCTGATGATGTTGCGGCGATTGCTGTTGTTGCTGCATCAGAAGCTGTTGTTGCTGCTGTTGCGGAGGCGGCGTTCGTTGCGGCAGTTGCTGCTGCGTAATGAGCTGCATTATTTGCTGCTGCTGCTGTTGCGGATCGTTGGGAAGTTTTTGTTGCAAAATCTGCTGCTGTCCCACAATCTGTTGATGTTGCTGCTGCTGTTGTTGTTGCTGCTGCTGCTGCTGTTGTTTTTGCATCAACTGCTGCTGTTGTAGGTACTGCAGGCGCTGTGGATCGCTCAGAATCTGCTGGTTCACAACAATCTGTTGTGGCTGCTGCGGCATTGGCATCCGTTGCTGTTGTATAATCTGTTGCTGCTGCAACATTTGTTGCGGTTGGTTAACAACATAAACGTTTTGACTCTGCGGATTTTGGGCAAGAATTTGCTGTTGCTGTTGCACACTTAACTGATTAAAGTGCTGCTGACTAATAATAAATGTTTTCTGTTGTTGCTGCTGCTGTGGCTGCTGAACTCCAGGGATTTGCTGCAAAAAAAAAAAAAAAAAAAGTTTAATTTGAATTTCAAAAAGGCCTTCAGAAGGTTTATTTATAGAATAAGTAACCTTACCTGCTGTGGTTGTTGTTGAAGTTGCTGTTGTTGTGGAAATTGACCAATAATCTGTTGTTGTTGTTGTGGAACTTGCTGCGGTTGTTGCACGTTGGTTGGCGGCCGTTGAATCGTTTGCTGAATTATGCGCACTTGACCACCACCTCCAAGTGCGATTTGCTGCTGTTGTGTAAATTGAACTTGTTGCTGTTGCGGGTGTTGCTGTGGTAACTGCTGCTGCTGTTGTTGTTGTTGTTGTAGTTGCTGCTGATTTTGGGGAAGTTGTGGCTGTGCCTGAGTAAGCTGCTGTTGTTGTTGTTGTTGTGGCTGCTGCTGTTGATTTTGTTGTTGAACGTGCAACATTTGTTGCTGTTTCTGCAGAGCTAAGGACATATGACTCTGAATAATTTGTTGTCCTTGGGCCGTAGATGTGTTTATCACGTGGCGCTGTGTTATGACTTGTTGCTGTTGTCCAGGCTGAGGTTGCTGCTGTGTGAGCACTTGTTGCTGTTGTTGTTGTTGTTGCTGAATTTGCTAAAATAAAATAAGCATTTGTTTTAGTGGATAAAAAACACAATTCCTTGTAGTTAACTAACCTGAAGATTTTGTTGTTGTGGCTGTTGTTGTAAGGTAGGTGTAGTAGGTTGTTGCTGCAGCGGAGATTGTCTCGGCGACGGAGTGTGCTGCTGCTGTGGTTGCTGATGGTGTTGCGGCTGCTGAAATTAAAAGAAAGTATTCAATCAAATCTATAAAACCACTCCGTTCTATTCGCTTATCAAAAATATCTTTGAGGTTTTTATATTTTTCATGAGATCATACCTGTTGTGGTTGTGGTTGCTGCGGTTGTTGCACTATTTGCTGCTGCTGCTGCTGCGGTTGTGGTGCAATTTGCTGCTGCTGTTGCATCTGCTGTTGCTGCTTTAACTGCTGTTGTCTCATAATTAACGAGTCCTGGTTACTGCTCAACGCCGAGCGACTCAGCACCTGTGCCACCTGGACGGGATCCGTTGGGTCGATGGGTTTCTGCTGGGAGAAGGATTGCTGCTGCTGGGCGGAAAGTCCCTGAACAGTCTGATGCTGATGCAGCTTGGCCTGCATCGGTGGTGTTTGCGAAATCTGAGGGGACTGCGGCGAGATGTGCTGAGGGCTTTGTTGTTGTTGCTGCTGCTGCTGTTGTTGGGCCAATTGTTGTTGCTGTTGCATTTGCATGCGCTGCTGCTGATGGACGGGCTGCTGGAAAGGCTGCATTTGTTGTTGGGGCGACATCATCGACGGCGGCTGAGGTTGCTGCGGAGAGCCCATCATGTGCTGCTGGCGACTTTGCATTTGCTGTTGCTGCTGGCGTAAATGTTGCTGTTGGGCGCTTTGCGGCGAGGGCGGTGGTGGCGGAGTCATTTGGGGAGCGGGCGATTGCAGCTGGCGTGGTGACTGTGGTGGCAACATGTTGCTGGTAGCATGGTGCTGTTGCTGCTGCAAGGACGGCGAAGGTGTACTGGGTGGCATCACCGGCGAACGATTTTGAACCATGCGCGGCGACTGTTGCTGTTGCAAATTCTGCTGTTGTTGCTGCTGCTGTTGCATTTGCATCTGCAATTGTTGCTGTTGCTGCATTATTTGTTGTAGCTGTTGCTGAATTTGCCTCTGCTGCTGCTGCTGCTGAGGTGTCAGCGCTTGACCGCTCTGAACGATTTGTTGGAGTTGCATTTGATTTTGGTTCAGAATCTGTTGTTGCCTCATCAGGTGTTGGTGAATGATTTGCGGCGAAACAGGCACAGACTGTTGTTGCGGTTGCTGCTGCTGCTGAACTATTTGTTGCTGCTGCACAATGGTCTGCTGCTGACCCACTTGTTGCTGTTGAACCTGCACCTGCTGCTGCTGGACTATCTGCTGATGGTGCTGCGGCGACTGCACGGGCTGCGGTGTTGTTGGTGTTCTCGGCGTCTGTCGACCCGTAGGAGTTGTTGGTAGTCTGGGCGACTGCTGTTGCTGTTGCAGCTGCTGAGGATGCTGTGCAAGCTGTTGGGGATGCGTCTGTGGATGCGTCTGTTGCTCCTGCATGAGTTGTTGTTGTTGTTGTTGATGCTGCTGAATCATTTGCATTTGCTGCTGTTGCTGCGACTGCTGTTGCTGCTGCTGCTGTTGCGTGCTTTTCATCTGCCTCTGCTGCTGGAGGATGTTTTTGATCTGCTGCTGATTCTGAGGTTGCTGTTGCAGATTGGCGGGGATAATTTTCTGCTGCTGAATTATCAACTGCTGTTGATGCTGCGGGTGCGGCGGTGGAGCAGGTGCCTGCGGGCCGCCTTGTTGGAGTTGAAGCGGCGCTTGCTGCGCCGGCTGCTGCGCTTGTGGCTGGGGCCGCACAAAGACCACCTGCTGCTGGGCGGGAACGGGGAGTTGTTGCTGCTGGATTTGTTCGGCTGAGGCTTGGAGCTGCGACTTTATGCTGGCGATGCTCTTGGCAGCCGCACTGTCCTCGCCAAAGCCCAGAATGTCTGACAGAGTGGATGAAGGAGCTGCTTGCTGCTGAATGATTTGCTGTGGTTGTTGTTGCTGCTGCTGTTGTTGTAACTGCTGCTGCTGGATTTGTTGTTGTTGTACTTGTTGAAGCTGCTGTTGTTGTTGTAACTGCTGCTGCTGGATTTGTTGTTGTTGTGTGGCCTGCTGCTTCTGCGTTCGCTGTTTTTCGATGGGCTTCAGCAGCCTGGGATGATACGTCTCAACTGGCATGCAGTTCTTATACTTAAGGCTATCGGTCACCCAGTCGGGTGTCACAATGATGATGGCATTCTTTGGCAGCGCCAGCGCCTTGTTGTAGATGCCACCGTTGGCTGCTCCGCATACCAGATGCGTGTTGGTGGCTCCAAAGCTGTGCGTGACGACGGCTCCGTGGTAAGTCAACATGGCGTAGAGACGCCTTCGATCCCCGGCGACGACATTCGTGATGGCCGCCCGAATTCCGCGCATGAGACGCAACTGATTGGGACTCGGATCGAAGGCTCGCGTCGATGCCATTCGGCCCAGTTTGGCGCTGTGCACGATCCATTGCTCCGTCACCGGGATAGCGGTGTACAGATCGAGGTTCATGGAAAGCTCCTCCTCAGAGTAGTTGCTGGCACATATCATATGCGTTACCTGGTCCGACACAAACAGTCTCGACTGCGCACCACCACTCTTGAGGAATCGCTCGATCTACAAGACGAAAAAACAAAAATGAAAGTTTAAATCTTTGAAAATGTAACATTTTGAGAAATCCAAACCGACCGATTGTAAATCTTATCCGCATTCCCATTTAATTCTAATAAAAAAATTCATGTTTTTGGTAAATGCGAAAACCAAAACAAAATCAGTTGATTTTAGCACTAACACCAACTCATATGCACATACACACTAGGGCAGGCGGCAATTTGCCGGCAACATTTATGGCGCGCATTTGCCGAAGTGCCAGGGTCACCCTATCCGCCCGCGCTACCCAAGCCACCCTGTGCGAACCAACACAGGCACACGCACCCTCACGCACGCACACTAGATCACAATGCAAGTACAGCACAGCGGAAGATCCTTTTCAAAGGTTTACCTCTTCATCTAGATTCCCCAGCACACAGTAAATCACATCCTCGAACAGTTTATCACTTATTTTGAGGTTCTCCATTACGCCGCCGTTTGTTTTGGCCACTTGCGAATCTCCCGCGGCAATAATTTCACTTTTGCTTTTGTTATTGCTGCTGCGGCGGCTGCTCGTGGGTTTCTACATTTCAGCGTGCTTTCTGCATACAACGCGGGTTTTGGGCGTTCGCGAACATTGGAAGTCGGTGTGCGGTACAATGCTCAACGTGAAGTGCATTCCAGTTGCAATATAAATCGGGAAAATTGTATTTAAACTTGGCTTTTTCTCTTTTATCACCGCTGCTCCTTTTGCCAGTGTGACCGCGCGTTAACTGTGGAAAAATAATCAGTAGCGGTGTGTAGACAATGCACTAACAATAATGCTTTATAGAGGGTATTCGAGCCTGGTATACAGCATGGATGGTGTACGCTTTACTGTGGGCGAAAAACATTGTTTTACGGATTAAACATTACACAAGTCAAACAAAAACTCTCCTAGAAGAAAGAATTTTGCTTTCAAATACTTTGTAATTACCAACTCTTTTTAAAACCTTTTTTTGTTTTTTTTTTTTTAAGTTATTGTCTTGATTAATAATAATAATAAAATTGTAGAATTCGTGATTTAAATCTGTTGCCAGAAAATTTGAATAACAAATTACCCAATTTGTCTACCCAAATGTTTTTAAGCTAATTAGAGGCATTGCCACTCAGGTACTTATTACTATAGCAAACATTTGTATATCACATCTTCCGATTCAGTTGTTAGGTTAGCGCCCCAGGAAATCATCACATATATATGTAGTACGTACATAAATTTATTTAGCTCTGCTTGATTTACAAATTGATTTTAACTTGACTGTTTGGCTATCGCATCAAAAATTGAACTCTGCAAGCAGCAGGGACCTATTTTATTATCAAATGTTCCGTGAAATGCCTTCAACTGCTTATGATTGGATGCCTTTAAAATTAAAATATTCTCCATGCATTAGGAAATATTCTAAAACACTGCAAAACAAAGGTAAATTATAAAATGTTGAGGGGAAACTCAGCGATGTACAAGAACAGTGTGTGTGGCTGGCTCCAACTTAAATTTATTATGCTCGTAATACTTACAGCTACGTACGATCAGGGTAAGTTATGTTAATGTTACAGAGATAGAGATATATATAACTGTTGCAATAAATTTCGCGCTGCTCGACTCGCCATCTTTGCTTCCCCGGCCTGAGAGATGGACTGATGACGGGATCTTGAGATTGGCCAATGCGATTGGCGCTTAAAGTTTACGAGGAAAAGGAACGGGGAGCTACAAATTCAGTTTAAACTTCCGCGAAATGCCTGCACGATACAGCAGCAGCCTTCATTCTTAGCATTAGATTTTTCTTTAAAAATAAGGTGTAGAGCATTTGAAGTGGGGAACGGGAAACTGGCTGCAGTTGAGGTTGTGGATACAGTAAAGGTGAGAGGTGAGTAAATTAGCTCGTCGCTGGGAACTTGTTGCATGGTTGGATGATCGAGGTCTTGCGCGCCGGCACGGTTTCGGGCGTGGGAATAGCCTCCCCGGTGGTCACCTTGTTGGCAAAGACCTGCTTGACGCCGCCACCCTTCTGCTTGGCCATCTGATAGTCGCCCGAATCGAAGAACTTTTGCTATAGAAAAGAATTTCATTTCACAATTAGAGCTTGTTTCGGAAAATTTTTAAGAGCGAAACCAGAACAGTGCCTTATAATTGTTTTTCATCATTTGGTAAAAAAAATATTCACTCAAATAACATATCAAATTCAGTTTAAATAAATAATCCAGGTACGAGTTCTTAATATTTGTATAAGCTAACCCAATATGCAATAACTTTTCTGAAGAAGTCTCTTCAAAAGACTGTTTATCCTAAATTCAAATACATAAGTAAATAGAAGAATTTAATGCTTGCTTTTAGGAATGAACATGTAAAAATAAATGTACTCCTTCTATCAATCGGTTGACTGAAGAATAGAATAGGGATAGTGAAAAGTTGAATTTTAAAACAATAACATTTTGAAGTTATACTAATAATTACTTAATATTTAGGGCCGCGTTCTTACCTTCACAGTAACCTTAAAGGTAATCTAGGAAAAACTTGGCCGCATAGAAATTATCTATTTAACGTATTAACGTTAATAACGTATCTATATGATATATATTGTTGTATATTTTACAAATGATAACTGTTTAAAAGGATAACCGACTGAAAAACAAGTATGCTGCATCTATTGATTTATAGACTGTCATGGGGTCTATAGAGATTCACACACTCACCCCCTTCTGCAGCCTTTTCTGGAGGAAGGCCGAGTGTCCGCCGGGCACTCGCATTCCACTAGGGTACTTGGACTTCAGCTTCTCCTCCTCAATCTTCTCGAGATCCGTGAGGTTTGCCTGCTCTGCAGCCTCGTTATCCTGGGGCGTGGTGGCCGGGCTGTTGCTGTTTTCCTCCGTGGAGCTCATTGTGCACTACCTTTTTTGGGGCCAAAAGCGAGTGAGAGATTCAGATTAGCGAAGGTCCGAAAATGGCGACATGAGAAATGGGGGGTAACGAAAATCAGGGGCGGCGCGCAAAATGCCAAGATAAAATTGCATTTCGTCACATACACACGCGAAGCTTGCACACACACGATCACGTAAATCCAGGGCAGTCGCACGCACACTCGCTAATATATATGGACGCGAAGTATTATAGTAATAATCGGATGTGCAAATATTGTTTTAATTTTTTTATATACACCCATACGCAGGCGATAAGACCTGTACATGTGTGTGTGCGTGTGAGCGGGGGCATGTGGATGTCTGTGCAAGGCGTAGTTGCTCACCTTTTGCCTGTAAAATTTGACGATTAACTGTTGTTTTCCTCCTCCTTTTGTTCTTCACCCTTCTTCAGATTATTCGTCTCCTACCCTGGAATCGGTTTTGCTTAGCCAATTAGCGTGCCGAATTAGCGATTCTTACTGCCGATTCGCAACCAATTGGAGATTGTTTGGGTTCCGGACTAAATCAGGCTTTTAGATAATTTATATATATGGAGTGACGGAATTCTCAAGGCAATTCAAAAGTAAAATTATTTTATCAACTTTACAGACGCGCTGGGAGATGATGCAAGCAGTGTGACCGCAGTTCGACCGTTAAACATTGGTTTTTAAGAGAGTTACTAAAATACACCCCTAAGTGGTTGGAAACCTTGGAAATGCATGGGACAACTAAAAAGAATATATGTGCTTTAAATAAGACTCCGAATCTAAGCGGTAGGGAACGTGCGAATTTGAAACAGTGGGGCTGTTTTTAAGTTTTATTTTTACTGATTATTTTTATTTAAAGTAAATAAAACATTTTTGTAATAAACTTTAAGTAAGACTATCGATACTATCGTCAAAGGTAGTGTCATCGCTGGCGTGAAAGCACTACGACAAAATAACAATAGGAAAAAGGGCGATACTTTCGACTGATAAGAAAGTAGGAGTAGCCAAGCAGAGAGAAGTCATTAATTTAGTTCTTAGGGACCAACGCCTGAAGGAAAATAATCTAGAAACGAGCACCCACACATACCACGCCCACGATGACCGCATTGCGTTACATGGGATGGCTGACCGGCTTCTCCGTTTTCACGGCATTTGTGTCCATAATTTGGCAGGCGTTCCTCTCTCTTCAAGCGCTTAACAGGACGACTGTCCTTCTAACTGGTCTACTGGCCATCGAGGGGTAAGGGAACTTATATATAAACAGCATTACATTATCATATCTGAAAATGTTTATGTTAGGTCCCTAAAGCGTTCCGCCCAAGAACCAGCGCCCAAAGTGGCCATCGGGTACGGAGCTTGCACAGACCTTCAGATAAACGCCACTGAGTTTCTGGAGCGTTACTATAGCCGAAGAATCCCCGTGGTCACTACAGGATCACGGGAGATTGTCAGCAACGAGGATGAACTGCTGCAATCTTTTGCCTACTACTTTCAGAATGGTGCAGCAGCGGAGTAAGTACCGAAAGCTAAATATTTTGAAAAGAATGTTGCTCAGCTAAAATATATTCAGTTATATCGTATTATTGATCAATTTCTGTACAAGATTTATTTATTAGCATCTTGTTTTCCTTCAGGCGTGTGATGGCAAACAGTACTCTCTTCAAACAGCTTGTCGGTTATGCGAAAGTAATGGATAAGGAGCGAATCAATTGGTACATGGGCGGCAATGCGCCGCTGATGGCTGTCCGATTTTTTATGGAGGGTGCTGAAGTTCTTCTGGGTGCCCACATGTCTAAGAAGTACTTGTTTTCTTTCGAATCACATTTAGTTTATACTAAATTTAAAATCTTCTTTAGATTGCGTCCCTTGCTGCCCAAAGAGATTCGTCTCGCTGGTGATGAGATAGCAAACGATGATATTCATCTTATTCTTGAGTACAAGGCTGGTGACACCTGGGGTTCGTATGTGGCACCGCGCGCCAACAGGTACATCCTGCACAGCGATCGAAATAACCCGCATTTAAGGGCCGTGGAGCAACTGACAGATGCCCTAAAGGTATATCACCCGCAACTGCTCGTCGTCAGTGGTCTGCAAATGATGGACATGTTCACTTTTAATCCTGGCGAGCGCGAGGCGCGATTACAGCAAGTACAGCGGCAGCTGACCAGCCAGCCTGCGGACACACTGAACCACTTCGAGATGGCCTCTTACGTGGAGCTACAGTTGCTGCAACAGTTGCGTCATTTCGTTCTGCCTTACGTAGACTCGCTGGGAATGAACGAACAGGAGCTTTCCAACCTGCAGCAGGTTTTATCCCACGGCCGGACCACCTTGGCCACCGATTGGAATCCACGCATTGCTCACACCCTCGATCAGATGCGACAGGTCTTTATTAGCCTGCTTGAGGACTACGGCCAACGAAGCTCTAGCGATCCCAGGCGGCGTCGAATATCGCGAATCCACGTGCACACACTGGCTTACCAGGCCATCCTCACCACAGCGAGCTCCAAGTGGAAAAACACCCGTGCAGCGGCTGCCAAGGCGGCTCTTACTGCTCATCGATATGTGTGCAAGTCCCAGTTTGTGAGTCTTTTATTCTTTAATTTACATTATTTGTTCTTTACTTTTTTTTCTACTTTAATTTATTTGAAGAATCTGATGTCCAACCATATTAATTAAATATACCTTTCCTAGATCAATCCGGAGGCAGTGCTGCAAGTGCTGGACGACAGTTTCGCCACATCGACACAATCGGATGCTCCGCGCATGCGGATCGGCGCAGCCAGTCCCGTGCCCTGCTGGCGAGAGTATATCGAGTACGGTCGCCAACATCAGCGACTTGAGGTCGAGATTTGTGTGGCCCCAGTACTGGTTTGCCGCGAGGCCAGGAAAACGGCCGGGGCAGGCGACAACATTTCCGCCTCCGGATTGGCGGCACAGTTGTAGGAGCGACGATCACGTTGGAACAAGCAAAGACTGCATAGTAATATACTTGAAACCTGCAATCCAAGACTCGAATAGAAGGCCAGGACGTAACCCCGAAGCATTCCCCCGCTGGATGGACATGTACTCGGCATGTTTAGCACCTTAGTGACCTTAGAAACGCGTTACCTTTACACAAATCTGACGAAATGCTCAAGCGATAGCACCAAGAAAACAACGACGATCCCATAAGACAACATATCCAGATGAGTTTCACAAGGGCAGTGCTAATCCGCACTTGTCCTCTCATCATCAACGTATATTCCATGTGTTCAAAATTATTCCTAATGCAACAGCATCGAAAGTTCGGAAACGAATGCCACCTAGTCCTAAGTTTTGTTAGTCACTATGCTTTGACATTTTTGAGCCATTCCTACTTACAATTTGTTTTGCGCACTTGGTTTCAAACTCAAAAATGCGGCAACGAATTTAACGCGCTTTTCCGCGTTGATATAGAAATCTTAAGTTTATTTTACTAATTTTAATCTCTGTCATTCGAACACAAAATTATTGTGATGCACTCAAAATAGGTTAAAAAAAAAATTGTTGTCTCCGTAACTGTGTTACATTTTTGCTTTTACATTAATTTTTGTAAAACTCGTAGTAATTCTTTGACTCTAAAATTGATATTTTTTATCTGATCCTACTTATAATTTGTTTTGCTCTTTTGACAAACATACAAAGCCATTAAAGTTCTGTGCGTTTCCAAATTATAGGACAGTTTTTTTCCATGCCTTCGAAGTGTTTGGATTGCTTTGATAGTCTTTAAATTCAGAACACAAACTGCCTTTTGAACAACTGTCTTACAACTGCGAAACGCACTAAACGTACACATTACACATATATTTTTCTACACCTAAGTATACGCATATTAAACTGGCAGATGTAGAATAAATTCCTGTTAAAAGCTTCAAATTTTAATTGTATATCGCGATGCTCAAGTTGGGATTCGCGGTTCCCACACGTTGGTCCCTTAGGTGTCGTCGCCTGGGAATGAGCACCATCACTGGCGAGGCGCGAATCTCTATGGACAAGAAAAAAACTAAAAGACTGGAAAGGGAAAACCTTGAGGAGGCTGAGTCCGACGCCCAGCCTTCGGAAAATGGATCTAGAGCGCCCAGGAACGAAAGGGTGATGTTCAACCATGCTATTCAGGAGATCCTTCGAAGGCCTCTGGAGGTGCCAACAATAATTGGCGACGAGCCGGTTTACACAATGGACAACCAACGGGTCTTCTGTCCGCATCGAATCAAGACGAACCTGGCGCAGGTGTACTACGCCAATCGAAAGCAAATCGAGGCAGCAATCAAGTCGGTCTTAACAGAGCAGGGCACTTGGAGTCTCGTCCCCATTGCCGAGCGCTTGGCCATTTGGCGACGTGCAGCGGACATCATCGAAGAGGACGAGCTCCGGTTGCGTGTTTTTCTGATGCTGACCCTCAGCAAAACCGCCGACGATGCCACACGGGACATCCGGAGACTACTCAGCTCGTTGAGGGCCAATGCCGACTATCTGGAGCACCTTTCTGATCTGCGCTTCGAGATCCAGGGCGATTTGAACGTGTTCCCCAGCTTCCACTTGCGACCCATGGATGGATTTGTGGCAGCGTTAGCACCATTTGAATCGCTGGCCTTGTCCACTAGCTTGGCCCTCTGTCCTGCACTGATGGGCAACACGGTGCTGTGGAATCCCTCGTTGGAGGTGGCCCCGGCCAGCTTCCTTATTCTGCGGGCCTTTCAGGAGGCGGGACTGCCCAGCGGTGTGATCAACTTTGTGCCGGCCAACGAACGCCTGTTCCTGGACACCATCACGGATGCGGTGCACTTCGCCGGACTGAACTCCCACGGCAGCGCGGCTGGCTACAGGCATGTTCACAAGCTGGTGAGCGACCGGATGGAGCGGTACATCTGTTTCCCTCGTCTGGTGGCCGAGTGTCCGGGTCAGAACTTCCATTTCGTTCATGCCAGTGCCAAGGTGGAATCTGTGGTGTCGGCCACCGTGCAGGCGGCCTTTGGATTTGCCGGACAGTACTCCAACTCCCTGTCCCGATTGTACGTGCCCTCGTCTCTTTGGCCGCAAATCCGGGCAGAGTTGCTAGAGGCCACCGAGAAGCTGGTAGTCGGGGATCCCGTCCAGTTGGAAACGGATATGGGGGCGATGGTGAATGGGGAGGCATTCCAACGGATGCAGAAAGTCCTGGAGCGCACTAGGAACATGGAGCAGTTGTGCGGTGGGACTTACGACGACTGTGATGGAAGATTTGTTCAGCCGACGATTGTCCGGGTGGCGGATCCATTGGATCCATTGCTGTGTGAGCCGTGCTGCGGGCCCTTATTGCCGATATTCGTCTATGCGGACGACTCCTTTGGGGAGGCACTAAAACTGGCCGCCAACCAGTCTAGATACGCGCTGTCGGGCTCCATATTCGCCAGCCGGGACGAGGTGATTCTCCATTGCCTTAACCAGCTGCGCATGTCTGCCAGCAATCTCTACGTGAACGAGCGATGCACGGGCAGCAATTACGGTTTGACTCCCTTTGGTGGCAATCGGCTGTCTGGAACAAACGATAAATCCGGATCTGCGTATTTCCTTATGCGCTGGAGCTCCCCACTGCTCATCGAGGAGACGGTCGAGGGACCCGTTCCGTCATTATCATCTAAAATATTTCCCTAAATCAGGGACGCATTAAATAAATTTTATTCAATGACATTTTAAATAAATGTTTTTTTTTTTTAAGTTATACTTTTAACACCTTTATTCAGCATATTTATAGAACTCGAGATTTAAGCAGTTCAAGTACACTTAATTTTTGATTTTATAATTATTGTTTTCTGCCCAAAAAAGTTACATTTTGAATATAAAACTATGTACATATGTATGTGTTTTGTTAACGGACTACTTAAAAAAATCTAATTTTTTTTATTATTATTTTCGACATTTTATTTTCATTGTTCAACAATTATCGATTTTGTGTTTCCAAATAACGTGATTGTTTTTATAAATTTAAAATGAATAAAAATTATATTTTTTTGTATTCCAATTAACGTGATTGTTTTTATAAATTTAAAATTGATTAAAAATATATTTTTTTTAAAAATCTTTAAGATAAAAATAAAAGTTACATATCTTAAGCATAAAAGGTAACGGACAATAAAAATAGTCGGTTAAAAAGTTTTAAGCTGAGTCTATTGCTTAAATAAAAAAAATATTAATTATGCCAAAAACCCTTTATACCAGCTTTTTAACGGAATTCTTAAAATAATTATTTTTTAAGAAACAATCGAACCTTCCAGAAAATTGTTAAACCTTTTTTATCGATGCTAACGCCGATTTTTTTTGCAACTTTAGGTATTATCGAGTTTTCGTGGGTTGGTCATACTGCTCTGCAACACAATTAGTAAAAAAAAACGTGCGGTGTCGGATTAAAATTGCTAGGATTTACCGTGAAACCGAAGGTGATTGTCATTATCAGCGTAAAATCCATGTGTTACTAATCTGCCTTACCACTGATAAGTGATAAACTCAAAGCCAAACAAACGATATAGTTTTTCAACAAATTTTCCATACGGTTTTTGCGCGTGCGAGCAAAAAAAAGCGACGAAGGCCGGACGCTAGAAATTTCCATTCGCAGGCGAAAAGCGAAATCCATAATTAATGTGAATGTGAAAAGCATATATCGTATCGAATGTTCTGGACTTGTTTGTCAAACGAAAAAGAATAGATAGCAAGTCGACACGTGTGTGCCCAGTATATATTTTATCTAATTTTCTAAAAAAATATTTTGCAGTAGCTGGAAAACAAAGAAAACACAGCAACGCGTTGTGCCGCCCCCAATAAAGAAACACAAGTTAAAAGAAACACAGCAAACACTCGAAAGCGTTTCGGCACTGAATCAATTTAATCGGGAAAGCGCCTAGACGAAAAGGAGGCGAAGAAAATGTCCGTGATTGGCATCGATTTTGGCAATGAGGGCTGCTATGTGGCGGCGGCCAGGTCCGGCGGAATTGAGACGCTGGCCAATGACTACAGTCTCCGGGCCACGCCGTAAGTACCACCCCCATGCTCCGGATACGGACTATGGCCCAGTTTATAGTGATTATAGTGATAAGCTAGCGGTCTGCGTAATCGTGCGACTTTTTGCTTCATTTTTGGGGTTATGTCGAATTTGTAAGTCATGCCTCAATCGGGTGTGTGTGTGTGTGTGCGCGTATGTTTGTAAGAGAGCGCGCCTAGAAAATTCCATGGTTGTTATGGGTAACGCTCCGAAAAACATACGTGTATATCCAGCCTGATATGAGCATTACATTATGTATTGGCTCTGTCGAGCGGCCTAAATTTGGCCGATTGCACTTCCATAAAAAGTATTGCAAATTGCAATTTTAATGAGCTCACATCTCTGTCTATTTCCCTTCCACTTTCATGTCTCTTTTTTCAAATTTATTGCCCTGACTATGTATGGGTGCTTTTGATTTAAATGCCGTTCATTGCGTGGGCCCCACATTTCCACTCTGCTTCCATACTTCCACTCTCCTGTACTTGTCCGAATTTACTTTTTTGGCACACTCACACAAAGACCTAACGATGCATGCGTCATGCGGTCAAAAAGGCAGCATCAAAGGTGAGAGAGCCAGCTAGCAGCAGCTGTTGTTAAGATAGAGAGCGAAGAGCGCCAAAGAAGATACGGCAAAAAGAAAAAAACGTGTGCAAAGCTGTCTAAAATAAATTCAAAGCCGGCAAACACAGACAGCATACAAACGAAAACTGCCCACAAACACGCTCTTGTATGTAGAAACAGTAGAGCCCGAATAAAGAAATCTTTTGTTTATGAAAGTTTTGACCATTTTCGTTTTTATGAATATAGCTGCTTTTATGTTTTATGTTCAGGTAGTTTTTTAATCTTATTTTAAATTGGTCTTTACAACTGAATTTCTAATTTATCAATATTAGTGAATTATTTTAGATCTTCTGATTTCTAATTTTGATCTGTACAAATAAAATTACACCACTTGCCTATCTTCTGCTAACTAACAGTAAACCAATACTGTCATTGAATTAAGATATTTATACCTAATACAAACTGATACTGATAATTTAACTCCCTACTTCTTGCAGATCCTTTGTGGCCTTCGATGGCAAGAAGCGAATCATCGGCGTAGCCGCCAAGAACCAGCAGGTGACAAATATGAAAAACACAGTTGGCGGATTCAAGCGCCTGCTCGGTCGCAAATTCAACGATCCCCATGTACAACACGAACTCACGAGCATTCCAGCGCGAGTTGAGGAGCGCAGCGATGGCAGTATTGGCATCAAGGTGAACTACCTGGGTGAGGATCAGCATTTCGGGCCAGAGCAGCTGACGGCCATGCTGTTCACCAAGCTGAAGGAGACCTCGGCGGCCGCCATGCAAACGCAGGTTAACGACTGCGTCATTGCCTGTCCCGTGTTCTTTACCAACGCTGAGCGTCGGGCCCTCTTGGATGCTGCCCAAATCGCCGGACTTAATGTTCTGCGGCTGATGAATGAGACGACAGCAACGGCTCTGGCCTACGGCTTCTACAAGAATGACCTGTTTGAGGATAAGCCGCGAAACGTGATCTTCGTGGACTTTGGGCACTCGTCACTGCAGGCCAGTGCCTGTGCCTTCACCAAGGGCAAGCTGAAGATGCTGGCCAGCACCTGGGACCAGATCGGTGGACGCGACATTGACTTGGCTCTGGGCGATTACTTTGCCAAGGAATTCCAGGACCGCTACAAGATCAACGCCAAGACCAATGCTCGTGCTAATCTGCGCCTGCTTACTGAGATCGAGAAGCTGAAGAAGCAGATGTCCGCCAACAGCACAAAGCTGCCGCTAAACATCGAATGCTTCCTGGACGACGTCGACGTCTCTTCGTCCATGCAGCGCGCAGAAATGGAGGAGTTGTGCGCCCCCCTCTTTAAGCGCGTTGAGCAGACGTTCAAGCGTTTGCTGGCCGAGTCCAAGCTGCAGTTGGACGACATTCACTCCGTGGAAATCGTAGGCGGCAGCTCGCGCATTCCAGCTGTAAAGCAGCTTATCGAGCAGGTAAGTTCGAAGCTCCAATCCAATTTTGATAAGTTTGTAAATATTTTCGAGTTTATTAATGAGTACTTTATTGTTTTTCGTAGGTCTTTAACAAGCCGGCCAGCACCACACTTAACCAGGACGAGGCTGTGTCCCGTGGTGCTGCTTTGCAGTGCGCCATTATGTCGCCGGCCGTGCGCGTGCGGGAGTTCGGAGTTACCGATCTTCAGAACTATGCCGTCAAGGTATTGTGGGACAGCGAGGGCAATGCCGCTCCGGGAGAGATCGAAATCTTCCCCCAGTTCCACGCTTCGCCGTTCAGCCGCCTTTTGACAATCAACCGCAAAGGACCGTTCAACGTTTCGATCGTTTATGGACAGCAGGTGCCATATCCAGATCAAACGATTGGCGTGTGGAAGGTCAAGGATGTGAAGCCCACAGATCGCGGTGAGGGTCAGGATGTTAAGCTGAAGGTGCGCATTAACAACAATGGCATCGTGCTGATTTCCTCGGCCACTCTGGTGGAAAAGAAGGAAGCGGAAGAGGCTGCCGCGGCTGCTGAGCAGGCTGCTGCCGAGGAAAAGCCCGGCGAGCAGGCGAACAACTCTAGCGAACCCATGGATGGTCAGCAGGAGGTAAGTCAAAGATCTTCCATAAGAATCACCCAATCATTGTCTCATAATCTTCTGTTGTGGATAGGGGTTGCTCTGTTTTTGTCGTTTTTGTTTTAGTTTTTCTGCTACTAACCGCCATTCTGGCCTTTAGCTGATTTTGTTTGTTGTTGGTATTAACGTTATTATGCGTAAATTTTCCATTTTATTAATGTGTTTGGTTTTGTCGTTGTCATGTCAACTTTTGAATTTGTCCTTAACGAATTCAATCAAAGTCCATCCGTCTGTCAAAGAGTGTGTAACTGAATATTCATTTTGTTAAATATCTTTCACAAGTTCGCACCAAATCTATACGTTAAATTGTTTCTTATAATTTTAAATTTTAAGAAATATATTCCATTATGTAAATTCTAGTTATTTACTACTTTATTTGCTTAAGAATTTTTTTGTAGCTTTGCCTAATTTCAATCACAGTGACTCATTGTTCCAAAATCTGTTAATTGGCTAACTAATAATTTAGGTATGCCCTCTTATCCTTGTATGAAGATGAAAATTGCGCAGCTTTTTTACTTTCCAATCTATTGTATGTTCACGATAAAAGACTTGTCTGTGTCGTATTTCCATTGACTTATTTTCATCTAGCCTCGGTTTTGATTGTCTGGTTAGGACTCTTGATTCAGCGACAGCTTGATTTGGTCGTTAAATAAATTTAATAAAAAAAAAATGTGAAAGATAAAATTCACTCGTTTGAAGCAATAAATTGGTCATTACGCTTTTTCGATCGCTGCCATAATCGGACATGTGGAAACCGGGGCTGTATCGCTCTTGTTTGAATATATATAGACACACATGAATGTGTATTTGATATAAATCATTCATATATATATATAAATATACCACTCCAATATTTGTTTTTGTTTGTTTTGGATATGTTTGCGAACGGGCGCGTTTTGATCTCTCGTAGGCATATTATGAGAATGAGGATGATAATAATACATCAACAGCCTCATCACCTGGCGGACAAGGGTGGGCACAGCGGGTCAAGGGCTGGTTTAGTTCGGTACGTTTTCCTCAAATTTCTGAAAATTCAATTCAAAAACAAAGCCAACAAAAAAAAGAAAAAAACGCTAAATAATCTAAATTCTTTGTTCCCAAATTTGTGTGTAAAGAAATTGGAAATTTTGCTAACGAAAACAAATCTAAAATTGTTGTGGTTTTTGAAAATTTTTGTGTTTTATCCTTTCCACCAAAAATGAAACGAATGAAGAAGACCGCTCATAAGCCGCCTACCCTATGTGCTCCCAACATAAAACAAATGTTCTTTAAAAAGCTTACACAATTTGCCATATTTTGTTTCATTATTTTACATGCTTTTTTATTATTATTGTTTTAAAAACAACTGAGAAAAACGCGCGCCCCTTGCTCAAAATTAAAAATCAAGCCAATTCCCACAGTGTTACTACATGTACTGTTCTACAACCAAAACACCCATGAAAATTCTAAGTGCTCATATTGTAGGCTGTCGCTTGGAGCTGTGTTATTCCTCTTCGCTTTATTGTTGATGTGTTGTTGCTGCTCCAATTTTCTCTTTTCAATTGGGAGACTTGAATTGAACTTATTTAGGGCATTTGTCTTGATATTTATATTAACCGTTTTCCTTCCCTTTTGCTGATCAGGGTGCTGATAAGAAGAAGAAGGCCTCCAAGGCCACCGAGTTGCCGCTGGAATGCAGCACTCACGGCTTCAGCCCCGTCGACTTGGGCAACTTCACACAGCAGGAAGCAAAAATGATTGGCAACGACCAGAAGGAGACGGAACGCATCGACGCCAAAAATGCCTTGGAGGAGTTTGTCTACGACATGCGCAACAAACTGCAGGTACGTTAGCATGAAGATCACTTAGTTGGATACCCTTAAACTTACATATTATCTCTACTTTTGTTTGTAGGGCGGTCCCTTGGAGCGGTACGTTGTTGAGGCGGAACGAGAGGCTATTGTGGCTCAGTTGAATGATCTCGAGAACTGGCTTTACGAGGATGGAGAGGACTGCGATCGCGAGACCTACACCAGCCGCCTGCAGTCCCTGCACCAGAGGACGGATCCTATCAAGCTGCGCGCCAGCGACTACGAGCAGGGACCTGCTGCTTTCGATGAACTGAAGAACAGCATCGCCATTGCCCGCGTTGCGGTGGCCGAGTTCCGTAAGGGTGTGCCCAAGTACGATCACCTGACGGAAACCGAGTTCATCAACATCTCGGAGACGGCGGACAAGGCGCAAAAGTGGCTGGACGCCAATCTGTCCAAGTTCACACAGTCGCCGCGCACTGCCGACAGTCCCGTCCAGGTATCCGCCGTGCGCCAGGAGGTGCACACCCTGAACGCTTGCGTCAGCTCGGTGATTAACCGGGCGAAACCAAAGCCAACTCCGGCCAAGACGGCGACACCTCCCAAGGATGGCGAGGCGAATGCGGAACAGAACGGCGGCGAGCCTACTGCCAACTCCGGCGATAAAATGGACGTGGACAACAATGCCCAGAGCGCGGCTGGAAACGATCCCTCCATGGATGTGGAGTGAGCGCCAACTCCCTCCGCTATCCGGTTATCCCCGGCTATCAACGGTATTGGCTAACGATTAATGATAATAATAATAACGATAACTTAAACGGTAAACATATATGAAACAACATTTGTATATGCACTTGCTTCAGGACTAGCAGAGGAAATCCAACAAAATCAATACAACAAACAAAATACAACCAACCAATCTACATGTGTAAGAATAAATTGATTAAACGCCACTGCAGCCGCTGGTAGATCCAGAAACGGATGAAGGGAAGCGGGCAAATAATAGTAGAAAAGGAAGAAGGTTTAGGAGTGAAAGAGGATCCTACACGTCTGCTGCTGCTGTGTGGATAATGCAAAACAGAAACAACCCTAAAACAATTTCTAATCGACCATTTTTCATGTATTTGAATAACAAAATCAAACAAGCAACACTTAATGAATGGAATTTAAATAATCAAATAAAAACAATGATGATTCCAACTAAGCATTTATTTGATTCATTTGTCTTTTAATTGCTACTATGCTATACCGAATTAAGTATAAACAAATTAATAAATTTTTTTTTTTAATTTTTGATTCATTACCATTCAATAATTTAAAGTCTTGACTAACTGCGATTATTTTATTGGCGCTTACAATACAATACAAACTCGTTTACAAAGAGGAATGCGAATGCGATTTGGTGTGGATAGCTGCTGAGCGTGATTAAGATGTTGGGAATACAGGACGGGAGCAATGCATATAGACCGGCCGTGACTAGTGCGAATATGGTGTTGTGCGTTTATTGAGATTCCTGCTCCTCGATTCTGTCCAGTTTAATTATCAAAGCGTTGATTATGCAGGCGCCAGCCTCTTTGGTGAACCAGCACAGATCGTTCAGCAGATGCACAGACGACTCGTTGAGGGCGGCGGAGGGAGTGCCACCCACGCCTTCGGCACTCTGACCTGCGCCACCATGATCGTGATCACCGGCTGATCCCAGGCTGCGTCTCTTGGCATCGGCTGCAGCCTTGCCGGTCGTCACTCCTGAAATGGACTGTCGCCGAACGTAGACCTCGAAGGAGGTGGAGATGCGGTGCAGTCCCTGTTCGGAGGCAAAGTGATGCTGTGGCAGCACGGGCTCAATCACGGTGGCATTGGGCGAGTAGTACAGCTCCAGACGGGTGCCAGGCTCATCCTTGAGCGCCGCAGCGGCCGGTTCTTCGTCCGGATCCGTTTCCAGCGGCAGCGGCTGGCCACGATCCAGAATGGCCCGGATCTTGTCCACGCGTGTCATGTAGTAAAAGGGCAGCCAGTCGCCATTCAGATCAAAGTGCACTTGGGGAGCGCTCGACGAGGAAACACCACCACCCGTCGAAGCAGCTGACGTGGAAGTGCTCAGCGCATTAACCGTCTGTTGGTTAAGCTTGAAGTAGACCCATCCTTCCAGTTTATCGCCATTTCCGCCGTTGCTGGGTCCGCTGCACTTCAGGCAGAAACACACCGGCTCCAGGCGACTGTCGAAGAAGGCCTGCGGCAGAACCAGCGAGGCACAGAAGCGTCTCACCTGCCGCAGATACTCGCAGTCGTTCTGCTCCACACTGGCGCCGGTGGCTGTGGACCTCAGCGAGTCAGTTCCACCTCCCGGTCGAGTCTGACCAGTTGAATTTGTGTCGGACTCCATTGAATTAAGAGATGGCAGGTCGAGATTCAGTAGCGACGCCTGATCGGGCATAAGGTGATGTCGCGTGTACTCGTTTTGCTGCAGTTGCTGCAGCAGTAGAAGGTGGTTCATATAGTCTATTTCATCATCTTCCAGGACATTGTCGTTGGCCACAGGATCGCCGGATAATTCCCGTTCGTTGCTGGCACTCATTTCCAACGCCTCTGCGTTGTTCTCGCATTGTTCAATCATCGTGACTGCCGTTGCTCCAGGTGCCTCCTCCATGGAATTAGCCAACGTAATAGGAGGATTGGGTAGATCGTCGTACTCCTTGTTTGTGTCATAAACCCCCGAGTTGCTCAGGTGTTGAACATTGGCTGAGGAGCCACTCGTTCCACTACATCCCGCTGCCGTTGCCGATGTGTTAAGCGAGTTTTGGAATCTCTGCGTGCTTTGGCTGCGCTGTATATTTAGGTTTGTGTTGTGCTGCAGCTGGAGAGACTCGCGAAGGCAACTAAAAGATCCAAGAAAAACCCTTAAAAACAAATCCACCAGCAGAAGTCTTAAAAAGCTTACCAAGTCGACGAGGAACTGCCCAGTTCGTTTCGCTGCTGCTCCAAAGTTCGATTTTTGATGGAAATGTTTAGCAACAAGTTTTCGGAAACACTTTCCATAACTGAACGAGTCCTGTAATAAAAATCTCCATATAATTCTTGAGTGCCCAGGTTGAGTTCCATCACTTACATAGCATTCGATGGAGCACCCGAAGTGGACGGACCATCCCTGCTTGACTCGCACACCTGCTCCGTGTCCTTCTCCTTCTCGTGCATCTCAAGATGCGCCTTCTCGCACTGCTGCGGCATTCCATTATCCAACTCCAGGGCCTCAGGTGCTTCTAGGATTGGAGTACCATTGGCGTTTCCTGTGCGTCCGGCATCATTGCCCGTAATTAAAGTAATCTTTTCGCACTTGCCGTACACATCGAACACTGGATACACATGGTTTGGCAGACTACTGGCCAGATCCTCAAGATTTGTTGATCCAACCATAATGACTAAAAAATGTATCCATAAGTTTAAGATTTAAATTAAACATATAATTACTTTGGCTTACTCAGCATTCCGGCATGTGTTAAAGTCAAGGTAATGACTGTTCCCACTTGGATCTGTTCGAGGGCCTCGCCGTATTTGGAGGCCATGACCTGACCGTTGATGTTAACGTAATCGTGGGTGGCCAACCAGCAACTCCGCTTGAAGTCCAGCAGGGAAATTGGTACAGCCTGGGGACTGGCGGTTAGAACGCCTAAGCCAAGAGTTCCCTTCCACTTGTTGTTTAGGGCATCCACCTTGATGCTGATACTCTCACCCTTGCACAGCGGTTTATTCAGACACACGATGGCCTGGTTATACGATTTAATCCTAACCACACTCCTGCGATCCTCGCTGAGACGCGCGTTCTTCTGTGATACATCCAAAAACTCGTAGTTCTGTGCCTCCGAATCAATGGACTCCAACATGGAGCTATCCTGCTTGTTCAGTGGATCCACGCCAAAGTCCATAGAGTCCTGCAGCCGCAGACTGCATGGGCGAAGCGGTGAGGCAGGTCCCTGGGCGGATATCACCTGAATTCCCATTGTGGATCCCCGCAACTCCGCCACCACGTACACATCGTTGGGCACGTTGTGGAATTGGATGTTCACATTCTCCGAATTCAGTAGAATATTAAGCGTGTTCTCCACCCGTTCGAGTGTGATCCTATCATCCACCCTTAGCCATTCCAGAGAGGCCAACGAGCGTTGAAGACAGCTGGAGTTGAAGCAAACTTCGTTACCGCTTACGTACCAAACATTGGCCGGAATTCGCCGCAGGCTAGTGGGTAACTTTTTGCGTACGCTCTCGTCGCTCAAATTGAGATCAGTGACACCAATGCTCAAGCAACCTAAAGAAAATGTAAATATATAAATACATCATGCACAAACATTTTTAAAAGTAAGAAACTTACCGGCAAACATGGGATTAAACGATGTTAGCTTGATCTCAAAGGGGGAACCTACGCTGAGTGGATGCTCAGAAAAAACGAGACAATGGGAAAGTGGTGCTGCAGCTCCGGTAAAACGCGAGGCCTCTGTCCAGTCCTTGGTGAGACTCACATTTCCCGACACGCAGGTCCAGCGGTGTTTGGTCTCCATGGCCGGATGCTGGATAACCGAAGTGGCCTGGCAGCTCTGCGAATTCTCGCTGGTTGCGTACGGAGCACGGATGTCCAGCTGGGTCTGCGTGAGGCTCACCTGGGCGCACTGCCCGTACAGATCAATGATGGCCCAAATGTTGGGAGCATGGCACTCGCACGCCGGACCCTGATCCATTCCGTCAACAAAGAAGTGGATAAAGTCGCCATTGCGCATGACACCCACGCGAGTTCCCGGACCCAAGGTATCCAGATCCAGTAGAATATTGGTGCGTATGGTTTTGCGATTGTGAAAAATCATCGGACCGCATAGGATGATGGTGTCGCTGGCCTCCAGATCGGTGGCATTGGGCGCCAGTTGGATGTCCTCTGGTCGTGTGCCCGTCACTCCGATCTCAATGTTGCCCGACCAGTGCCGCACCATGGTCTCAAGCTCCACCTCAAACAGTTCCCTCTGCCTTAGCGGTCGATTACTGAACACGATGGCGTCGTTAAACTCGGCCAGAGAGTTGGGACGAGATGCTGTCAAACCACTATTCGAAATGCCCGCATTGGCACCATGGATGCTGTGAAAACGCAGGGGAACTTCGCTATAAAGTGTCGTATTCGAGATAGTTGAGTTTCCGGTGTCCGGACTTCCGCACTCTGAAGTGTCCACAATGCTGGCCTGAGCCGCCTGACCGTACAAATCGATTACACCGTAAACTCGTTCTGGAACATTGGTGGCAGCTGGCCCTTGGTCCACGCCGTTCACCCAAAAGTGCACCGTGCCATCATCCTTGCGGACCACCCCTACTCTATCGCCCACCTGCAGCCGATCCAAATTTTGGCCGTACTGCTCGATTACGGTTACGCCATTCTGCATGACCCCGTTGCCTGTCATCATCCAAGTGCCGGAACTGGTGACGGAAATAAATACTAATCAAAAAAATTATTTTAGGAAATCAATTCAAGACTTACCGCACATTGGTCATGGTGAAGGGAAAGTCCAGTTCGTCGGCGCTGTGCGTTGTCACGCCCATTTCAACGGAACCCGCCCATTTTGTCACCACGCGCTCAAGGCGCACCTGGAACAGTTCGTTGGGGCGGAGCGGCCGACGTGTGAGCACCACACCGTTGTTGAAATCATCGGCAGCACTGCAAAGGTTTAATATAAACGGTTTAAATGATTTCCACAAGAAAATTCTTTAAAAAAAAAAAAAAATGAGATCTCACTTGGGTCGCAGAGCTGTGCGTCCACTTTGGGTGACTGTGGCGTGGGTTCCGCAGATATGGTGAAAGGTTAAACGATCGTCGTTCCTGGCTATGGCTCGTGTACTCGAAATTGTCTCACTGAGGCCGCCTGTTGCGCCAGCCACATTCATCTCGCTCTCCGGACTCAAAAGGCTCAGGGTGGGCGTACCGGAATGCTGGTGGTGCTGAGAATGCTGAATACCGGCTCCACTGGAGCAGGCATTCATACCAGCCACTATGTTATTTCGCCGCGTTACGAGATTCTGCTGTTCACGCTCATCGCGGTCAACAATTGTAACCTTGATAGTCATTCCATACAGATCAATGACGCCCCATAATGTGGAAGCCACGCGTGTGGCGGCCACACCCTGGTCCTGTCCGTTAATATAGTTGTGCAGGTTGCCGTTGGCTTTGCGCATCATCCCAACGCGATCGCCCTCCCGCAACTCGTCCAGATTGAATTCTCCGTACTGGCGACGTGTTCCTTTGCCGTTTGTTAGAATGCCGCAGCCCGACATCATGATAGTGCCAGAGCGCATGTTTGTCATGGTGGCTGGAAAGTGCAATACAGAGGGATTGTGCGTGGTGACGCCTACTTCGATGGATCCGGACCATTTGTCCACCAGCTTGTCGATGCGAATCTCGAACAGTTCATTGTCCCTCAGCGGCCTGTGTGTCATCACCACACCATTGTTGAACTCGTCCAGCGGTCGACGACGTTCCGCAGATCGGAAATTGGGCGATAGCTTGACCAGCGATCCACAGCGAGTGTGAAAGCACAGTCGATCGTCGGTAGCAGATCCAGAGCCAGTGCCTTGCAACCAAGCGTCGGAATCCACGACAATATTAACATTCATGGCCACGTCCAGGTTTTGAACAACCTGCTGCAAAGGCTGCTGCAGTGGTGAGTCCAAAAGCTGTGTATGGAACAAATAAAGATAACACTTATAATTTTATTGTTGGTACTGATAGTTACCTCTCCTAAACTGCTGCCATCTCGGGGACAGATTGAGACCTGCACACAACGCCCGTAAAGATCGACGAGGGCCCACAGCGGCTTGGGCATGTTTTTGGCCGCCACACCCTGCGATTCCCCGTTCACATAAAAGACCAGATCGTTGCCGGAGGTTCGCATAACGCCGACCCGATCGTTCTCGTTGAGTGTCTCCAGATCGGTGCCATAGAACTCGAACAGCCGTCGTCCATCTTTGCGCACATCAATGCCGGACATCACCCATGTGCCATTTCGCATGGCCGTGGCACAGGCCACCAGTTCCAGGTCTTCCGGCGACTCGGCGGTGACACCAATCTCTATGCTGCCGCCCCAGGAGGTATTCTGCGAGACAAGGGGTTATTAGTTGCTCTGCATTGATAGAATTTTTCCTCTCACCTTCTTTTCAATGACTACTTCGAAAAGGACATCATCCTCAAGAGGCTCTGCGCTGAACACCAGGGCATGACTGAAATCCCGCATGGAGCGCTGGGCCATCCGATTGTTGTTGTACAGCCGAATGGAGCGGCCACAGCGTGTGTGGAAGGACTGCATTTGGGACTCTCTGCCGGTCATGGTTGTTGCTTCTCCAGTTCTGCGCTCTCGGCTCTTTTCTCTTCTGACCGAACAAATCAATGGTCTGTCGAAATGGGTACACGGGTAAAATGCGGCTCATCGGCTGTAGATGATGCACTTGCTCGGTTCATACGACTATTGGACAACCTCTGGTGGAGCGGGTTTAAGTTTCCAAGCTTAAAACAATGCATTATGCAGGCACATTTGAAATTACAGTAGTTAAATAAACAAATAGCAAATATGTGTTTCGTGTGACCGTTTGATGATATTTGGAAATGCGAAAGCCATCTAAGATTTTCGTTGTTTACTTAAACATCTGTGTAATACACTGAAAAAAGAGCTTTTTGAAATACATTTTCTAAAAAATCATCTTGAGCGTATCGCAGTGTTTTTGCTTTAGTAGAGAAAAATAAATAGAATCGAAATATCTCATACAAATATTAAGTGAACTTTATTATTCGAAACATAATTAATAACATAACATAATTTAATAACGTTATTTCGATTAATACAATCCAATATATGTAATATGGATATTTTATGTAAGTACTTATAGTTTGGATAAATTCATATCTTTTATGTTTATTTTTATAAACAATATAATAGAACAAAAAAGGCACTGGAATTACGTATGTTTAGTTGGAATAAGGTTCGAGGCCTTTTTCACAAAAAGGAAATGGTAAAAAAACATTTTTAAATTTGATTTAATTTTCTTGATCCTTGGTGCTCTTATCATCAGCAGATAGTGCATCCGAGACCGTGTCAGTGGTCACGGGTGTCGGATCACTCCCGTCACGTGTGTACACGGGTTTGGATTTGCCCCTAACATTATCGGCGGTTATGTGAACTCCGCGAATATCTGAGCCGGGCACCAAATACATGGGATCCAGCAGCAGTTTCTCCATTATGGAGCGTAGCCCTCGTGCTCCCGTATTCTTTTCTACCGCCAATTGGGCCACTGATTCTATGGCCTCATCGCTAAATGTCAGGTCCACATTGTCCAAACTTAAAAGAGCCTTGTACTGCGGCACTAGAGCATTGCGTGGTTCGGTAAGAATGCGAACCAACATGCTGGCATCAAGGCTGTGGAGGGACACTATGACCGGGAACCGGCCAATGAATTCTGGTATCATTCCGAATTCGGTAAGGTCACATGCCTGGACTTCCTTGAGGCACTCATCCCGCTTTTTTTGGTCCATTTCCTGGGAGCTGGATTCACTGGCCGAGTTCTGTTTTGAACCGTTTTCGTTGACACGTCGCGCGATGATCTTGTCCAGGCCAGAGTAGGCTCCTGAGGCCACAAACAGGATGTTCGTAGTGTCGATATTGACCTTACTTCCAAACAATCCTTTTCGACCTTTAACACTAACTACGCTACCCTCTAGCATCTTAAGCATACCCTGTTGGACACCCTCACCTCCGACGTCACGACGCGTTTTGTTCCCAGAAACGGCGCATATCTTGTCTACCTCGTCTAGGTAAACTATTCCCATTTGAGCTCGCTTCACGTCGTAATCCGCATTCTGCAGCAGCTTCAAGATGACGCTCTCGATGTCCTCACCAACGTAGCCCGCTTGCGTCAAAGTGGTGCAGTCACAAATGGCGAACGGAACGTTAAGGCAGTTGGCTATGGACTTGGCCAGTAGCGTTTTTCCCGATCCTGTTGGGCCCAGCATGATGATGTTGCTCTTTTCCAGCTTGACGTCTTCGGATTGTAGATCAGGAAGTTTCCAATTGGCAATTTCTTTTTTGAGTCCAGCAACCGACAGTTCTTCCTCAGTTGAACCAATTTCAGAGATGTGCAGCTGGTCAAGCTGCGGAAGGTTGTGTTGGATGCGTTTGTAGTGGTTGTACACTGCCACCGCAAGCACCTTTTTGGCCAAGTCCTGACCCACCACGTGCCTGTCCAGATACTCCATTATTTTCTGCGGAGCAGGTAGCTGCATGTCCTGCACCGCCTTGGCCTCTCCCTTCGTTTCGGTATTTTCTTCGGATACATGCAGTAAGGAGTTGCACTTGTTGCACCTCATCGTTTTCGTCGAGCTAGTAACGGTTTTCTGCTGGATACTTTCCTTTTCAGAGGACTGTGGGCCCTGCTGGAGCTTAAGGCCTTCAAAAATATTTGGTTTTTGGGCCAGGCCTGCCGGGATACTCGTTTGGGGTTGTCCAAAAATATTTACTGCTTCCGGGGTTTTTAATCCTATGCCAAAAATGGGATTCTGGGAACCAAAAGGATTCTGGTGTTGTCCAAAAATATTTGTTGTTTTCTGAGTTTTCGATTCTCCGGTGGATTTTACATTTTCTCCTTGAGAAAAATACGGTGTTCCTCCAAAGATTGTATTTGCATTAAAGGAGTTGCCAGCTTTGGTGTTCTGTGAACTAGCATTCGCTGTGTTAAATCCAAGGATGTTGTTATTTTTAACATTGGCAGTGGCTCCAGAAGAAAAACATATTGGTCCTGGCATATTGGCTCCTTTACCAAAAACGTTACTGTTCATTGTATTAACTGCTGTGTTCAATTTATAAATGGAGTTGTCTACTTGAGCCTTGCCAGTGGCTTTTCCAAAAATTGTATTCTGTGAAGTAGTGCAATTAAACATGTTTTCTCGATTTAAACAAACATTTTGGGAATCAATTTTGCGGCACGCTTTTGAAATTGGCCGGTTTTCACCAAATCTGCTAGTGCCTTGGCTAATAGGTGTATTTGGATTTTTATTTAATCCAAATGTAAATACACCGTCAAATTTAGGCGTGGCATCGCTTGCAGGGAAGGGAGCCTTGGGCTCCGGTGCAATCGGTTTTTCGTAGATTTGGATCAGAGTATCCTTTGTTTGGGGCGTCAAACATAGCAATTGCAAAGTCTTGTTAGTGGCCACTTGAACATCCGATTTTCGCTGCGTAATAAAAGAGATCTGTCCTAGCGACTGCCTTGACTCATAGAACAGCATCCGGTCTTCCTCAAATGATCTATCCTCTATAAAATTGGGAATATTGCCCTTTCTTGGGAATGGTCCGAAAGCAGAAAAGATCCACATCCCGCAGTTCAATCCTTCTTTCATGGGAGACAAACATTCCCTAGGTAATTATTTTAAGGAGTTAAGATTTACACATATGTATGTATGAACAATTATATTTGCGGAAACACTCACTGAAAATTGATGTGTTCATTGGTGCAAAACTGGCCTAATGAGCAGAAGCCACTTTTCCAACTGGAACATACAACCATCGTTTTTCCTTTTTAAAACTGAAAACAAAATGCCCAGTTTTTAAATGCAGATAAAAAGTGATAAATATTTTTTTAAACCGAGATTTAATGTCCACTCCTTTTGATATTTTCGCGATCTTCAAACATGCACATATACTAGCTTCAAAAAATACCAAAGCCGATTGAAAGCAGCTGATAGCTTCGCTTCGTTATAATTCAAAATAATTCTTAAGTGTAAGAATATTTATATATACATACATCAGAAAAAGGAAAAGAATAACGAAATTACTTTACGTAATTCTTCGAATACAAGCTGAAAATGTTAACAGATTAGTTATACAAGTGTAGACATCAGAATCTTATAAAATTTTTTATTAGGGTTTCATGACTGATCGTTTGCTCTGCTGAACGTATCCAGTTTCTAGTTAACACTCAGTAGTTTATTTTAAATACTAAAAATACCTTACAGTAATAGCCCAGTTGCGTCAAACGGTCACTCTGGCAGGTGATATTCGAACAAAGTAACACATTTTGTGTACTAATATTGACAAAAGCATAATAATTAACTGTAACCTATCCATGACCGGGCAATATGTCCGCTGCCCAACGTCAGAAGCAGTTTGACATGAACCGCAGCCGTTCAAATAAATTGGTCAGCAACACCAGCGACTCCAGTAACGACAACAACACCAATGGAAATACGAAAAATGTGGTTTCCCCGCATCAGCGTAAACTGCAAGCATCGATGGAACGACTGCAGGTGCAACAGCCGAACACAAGTCGGCGGGCAGCCGGTTCTAACTGGATGGCCGCAGCTGGAGGAGCTCCACCAGGATCGGCTCTTGGGAGCGAAAACAACGAGGCCAAGATGGAAACATTACCACTTACAAAATCGGCACGCACGCGCAACCGAAAGAAAGCCCAAAGTAATCGCTTTTTGGCCATGGACTGCGAAATGGTTGGAGTGGGACCCAATGGACAGGACGACATGTTGGCTCGAGTTTCCATCGTGAATAAAATGGGTCAAGTGCTGCTGGACAAGCACGTAAAGCCACGTTTGGAAGTCACCGACTACCGCACAAGCGTGTCGGGTATTCGCCCGCATGATATAGCTAATGGAGAGGATTTTGCCACCGTGCAAAACGAAGTAGTAAAGCTACTCCACGGGCGCATTCTTGTCGGTCACGCCCTGGGCAACGATCTTGCAGTGCTAAGCATCCACCATCCGTTCGAGAACATCCGCGACACATCACGCTACAAACCGCTTCGCAAAATAGTCTCGAATGGCCACACGCCCAGCCTAAAACGCCTAACCATGGCCGTCCTGGGCAAGGAAATCCAGACGGGCGAGCACAATTCAGTGGAGGATGCTCGTGCTGCCATGAGTATCTATAATCGCATTGCGGCCGACTGGGAGAAGTACCTGGAGAAGAAGCGGCTCCAGCAGCAGCACTACTAGCTATTAAATCCGGGAGTCCCACCACACTCAGGGGAAGAACACGGAAGCCTATAGTTTAATATTGTATACACGAGTTTCATTTATGGGAAACTGTTGCCTAATATTTAAAAACGTTACAACTCAATCAACCGGTATTTTAATGGAGGGCAAGATTGATTTAACATTGAAGAAGACATAGACATAGTAGTTTTATTTTAACTTTCTTATTTGCAATTCTAATTTTAGATGATTCTAAATAAATTTGTGATTTATAAGCTTGCTTTAACCACATGTGAGTTGCTAAGAAGCCTCCACCTCTTTAGGTGGTGTTTGGGTTGTGCAGGATCCATGGATGGCCTCGTGACGTTTCATCAAATCCCGCCAGGGATCTTCCAACATGGATGAATGAAAGTATTGCCCAATGGAGCTGTTATTTTGGCTATGCTCTCTGTTTTGTTGGTTCCTCTGATTACGGTCCCAGTTTGATTGGTTCCTGCGATTAAAGTTGCCGCGGCCAAAATTCCTGCCCTGTCCGTACGGCCGGTGCCGTTGCGGTTCCTGAGATGATTGATTTTGATAAAAGTGCGGTATGTTGGCTTGAGGCTTCTGTCCCTGCTTGTCCTCGTAAAAGCCGAAGTTGGGTTTTTGCGCCGCCTGCTGCCCACCAAATTGCTGGGTTCTGTAGTCTGCTGACTGCGATGGATACTGGCCACCTTGCGTGAAGGGCGGCAGGTTGTTGAAGTTCTTACGCGGTGTGCTCATTTTAAAATTGTCAATGGCTATTCATTTGCATACTACAATAAATAATTACAAGAGGAATTGAGTCGGGATAAACAAAGGTTTTTAGTGTTACCGTGTGCAATAATTAAAAAAATACTTTGAAAAATATATCATTTATATTTATCAATTTTGCAAATAAATAATCGATGTTATTGTTCGATAGTATCGAGTTTTGTCTCATCACTACCCGCTGACCCACGGGCACACTGTCCGGAATATTTTGTGAAGCGCGGTTGTGGTGCGGTCGGTCGGTTAAAACAAAGTGCATTTAAGTGCAGTGGCTCTCGGTTCTCACACTCCTCGCTCCTAGTTCGAATATAAAAAGTCATCACGGCGATATACAAGCTAATTTTACGCTCTAGTCGCGAAGGCCTTTGAACAAAGCACGAAAGGCGTCGCCTGCCGCAGGAGCCTTTCATTAAAATCTGGTCTTTGTCTGTGTTTGTGCGCCTGCATCCGTGTGACTGTGTTTGCGTGTGGGTGTGCTAGTGTGAGTGCCGCCGTTGCACCACCAACAACAGCAACAACAAATTGTGTTTTTGCTTACATTGTCAGAAAGAAGTAAATTAAATTATCAAAATTTGAACACAGCAGTTTTAGTCTTTTCAAATCGTAAAAAAAGAACCGACAAAAAGTAATTTTCGATTGGCCAACGTTGTGAACGTTCGTGAGCAGGGAACAGGCAGCAGCCGCTTTGGATATCTTTAACGGAATCAAAGAGCAACTTTCAAGTTGCCCGGAACGCACTCGTGCCCTTTGCCGGACTGTATGGGGTACCCTCTCGCTGTCCCTTAGCACAGCGCTCCAAGCTGCGAGCATCGAGGACGGTGGAGGAGGATCCGGGTCCCGAGGATTACAGGATCCAGGGGGAGGCGGCGGAGGAGGAGGAGGTGGTGGTGTTGGCGGCTCCGGCTCGGGTCGCTTTGCCACCATAATGGGCGCTGTCAAATCGCGAACCATCACTAGCGCCGATGTGGACGCCGACGAGCAGCTGCAGCATCCCCATTCCCATCACCACTCGATGCGCAATGGCCACCCGCACAATGGCTCCATCTCCAGTGGCACGCTGCAGAAGCAGGATCTGCGCTACGACATCGGCTGCAGCTCCCAATACCAGCACGTTCGGCAGCCCAGCCTGCGGAGCCGCGGCCAGCAACCCATGCCCACCACAGACGAATTGGACCGACGATTCGCCAAAGTTCTGGTGAGTTAATCTAGTTTTTTAAATTATTTCGAAAAGTCAAATAAATGCATACTTTTAAATAATTTTTGGTAATTCCCGTATTACTTTTAATATCTATCTATTTTTAAGTATATATGTCAATGCTTTACAAGTTGGTGAAATGTTCCACAATAAACGTTGACCCACAAATAAATATATAAATAAATATACATCCTATATAAGTTTTAAACTCAAAGCTAATTCTCGGAATCTAAGATAATTCCCTCGCATCAACAAATTAAAATCTTTCCTTTGAGTCCGTGAATTTATTCGCTTGAAGAAATGTTTGTTTATACCCAAAAAGCAATCTAAGAAATTCAGTTTATTGAGCGAATGTAGTAGCTGGTAAATATATAGAGGCTTAAGGATTGGCTTCCTGCCCCTGCCCCTTTCTCGTTCCGCCCTCGCATTTGTTGCATGTGATTGATGACCTCATCGGGTGTGCGGCGACTTGTTCGTTGAATTTTTGTCAGCCACTCACACATGTGCAAACGCGAGTGTTCAATGGTGTGCGTGTGTATCTCTGAGTTTGTATCTGCGCCTCTCCCCAGTTCTGCTCGATTTTGTTCTCTGCTCCGGCTTGCACAACTCCCCAAGCGAAGCACAGTGGATTAGGTGCCTGAAATCCAAAGAACACTAGCACACGAAACCCAAAGAAGTTCAATCGAAGTATTCATAGAGCCCTCTTGTAAATACACAAAATAAAAGAAGCACACATTGCAATTTTAATGTAGAGCTTTCCTCTATCAATATTTTTAAGTTTTATGTTCTGCACTTCACGTTAGAAAAATTATGTCTTTCAAAACCGAAAATATTTGGAACTTCGATGCAATTTTTTTTAACGAAATTTAGTTTAGTTTTTTAAATTCTGATCGACAGTGCTTTAGAACCACTGTGCCAAAGGCGTGTGCCTGTCCTCAGAATACGTTTGTCATCCCATTAAGCGGTTTTTCCTCCGAACAAGAGTACGTAATTAAGATTTTACGAGTAAACATATTGCCAAAAAATGAAATAAAACTAAGAATAGAGCAAAAAAGCTCTCAGCTCTGACCGTCATAAATCCGTAACAGACGATTGTGACCCACAGTCGCCATTCGATTCGCCTCCTTTTCCACCCTTCGCCCCTTTGTAAGCCACTCCAATTCGGCATGCTAATGGCAATTAAAGCGAATTGATCGATTGTGGCCATCTCTTTCGCACTCGAGTGCTGAGTCACTTCTACCGGCGGTCCGCTCGATCTCCCTCTCCCTTTCCCTCTCCCGCTCTTTTCCCGGGTGTTGGGGCTGCTGGATGGCTTTTTCAGATCGCGGCTTATCTCTGGGACGAACTGAACAAAAGGGGAAGACGAGAGCAGAAATCTTTATTTATATGGCGCAGCTTGAGTTCTCAGTTATCGGCAGTCAGTCAGTAATATGAGAAATGCTCCTCCAACGGGTTTCCGACTTATCTGCTTATTTTTGGCACTACGCTCACTCTAAAAATATTTTGCTTTGATTTCAAGGTTGTAAATATGAAATTATTAGGCAGATAGGGTATATACATATATTAAATATTTTAGTTCCTTAATGAATTTTGAAAACTTACTACTATACTATATCTCTTTGTGCGATCTCAAGTTTATAAATGCTTTCGTGCGCATCTCGATAAGGAATCTCGTTTTATTACATCCATTCCATTTTTGGCGACACGTAATTCTAATGAGGATTTCAAAGGTGTAAAGTATTATAACGTCATTTCTTTTTATATCGAAGAAAAAAATTAAATATGCAAAAAGCATTTTTTTGGGGAGAAATTTAATGTTCTGGTTATGTAAATAAAATAAAATAAATAAATAGAAACAACAAAATTTGTATAATTCTCTCGAAAAGGAATATCTGTTTAAACATCTGGTCTACGTTCCTTCTTATCTAATCCGTTTCTAAGATCGACTTCAATATTCGATAATTCAAGGGTATTTAAGATATTTACAGACCTTAGATAACAATTTCCCCCTCTCCTACTTGTTATTCTTGGTCTATTGTTTGTTCAAAATTCAATGCCTTTTTTTTCGCACTCAAAGAGTGTTTTTGTGTGTTTACCTTTGGTTGTTATTTTTTTTCCATTTTGCCCCTTGATCTGGTATTTGTTTGCCATTTCGGTAGCATTATGGAGGTGCTGTGCCAGACCCTGGTGGCCTCGCCCTTGCCTTGTGTCTCCAGCTTGTCTAATTCGTGTTTACCTTAATTTAGTCAAAAGTGCTGCTCGCTGGCCCATTGCCATTGAAGTGGACTTGACTTGACTTGACTTGACGGATCGGACCGGACCGGAGACTGCCAGATCCAATGCGCCAATGTCCGTGCAGTCGCCTTTAGATTGAAAGCAATTGTTTGTCTGATTCATGGTTTAAAAATAACAACAAACCGACAATTTTGCCGCTAATAATTTGCGTTCGGCTGGATCTAATCAGACGCAGTTGGTGCATATGTTTCCGGTTAAATTACGATTCTGCCGAGTGGGTTGATTGAACTTTAAACACCAGAGAGGGGAAATCTTGTACGTTTGCATAGGGGATGCTCTGGAGAACGCTAAACTAATCAACATTAGTCTGAGACGAATCGCTCATCTGAATCGATTGTTTGGTAGTATTATTAATGAAATTATTCAAAAATTACTAAATTGAAATGCAAACAATATTGTGCAACTTTTTAATAATGATAACGACTAAAACAAACTTCTATTTCAAATCCGTTTTCGTTATTTGTGCTTTGCTATTCTTTAAATTTTAAACACATTACGTTTGCGAAGCTTTAAACACAAATTTCAGATGTCCACCACAAAGAAGATAGTTAAGTTTAATTTGCTCACTTATTAACTTCAATGGCTTAAAAATTGGCATCATGCCAATAAAATCCAGAAAGCTTATCCAATTGAAAGTAAAAGTGTATTTATTGCAATGCCTAAGTGATAGCTTTGAAAATAAATGCATAAAAATGTTAATTTGATTGCATTATTGAAAGCATTAACTTTCAAGAGACTTATCTGCGGCTTAGTTGTGGGTGTCATTATTCACATACATAGGCATAAATATAGAGAAACCACAAAGACTAAACCGCATAAAATCCTCATCCCCGATCGCTTTCCAGCTTTCTCAGACAAACCAACTTTCACTCGCTTAATCTTCGTTGCCCAAGAGTCTTGGGCCTAGAATCTATATCTATAAACAATTGCCTGCAGGGGCGTAGTTAAGGTAGGGTGATTCAGGGCCAGCCGCCTCTCTTAATGACATTTTCAATGGCTGACAAACCGCAAGGCAGTGAACCACAACAGTTATTGTTGTTAATATTGTTAAGCACTGATTCCTCAGTCGAGGGCTGGTTAAATTGTTTAAAAATCTAAAGCCTTTTGTTTGCATTTTGACAATTTGTTTTAAGGTTGATATTTTTAAGTTACTTGAAATATTTCAAATTTTATTATAGTCAAGTTTTGCAGAGAATATATTATATATGTATATTGTATATTTAAAATGTATTACTAGCTTTTTAAAAAAAACCAAAATTTTTAGTAAAATATAAATTTTTATTTTTTTTTAGTGAAATTATGGTTATGCCGCTTTACTTCATTTTATTGTAACTCTCTCAGCAGACCTCGTTGCATGAAATACTCATTTAATGGCAATAAATTGATGGCTTTGTTCAACGCATTGTCCATTTAGATTGGCTTTATCTAACGGCAGCTTTGAATCCGCAAAAAAAATGAGGGTTCCACATTATGTGAACCCCATTATCTGCCTTGTAGGGCAAACATAAGTTTATCTTTGCTTTTCACTTCCTTTGCGGCTTGCAAAAAAAAAAAAAAAACTAGCAAAAAAACCGACTAATGATAAAAACATAAGACCATCTGTTTTTTATGCTGAAAGAGTGGATAAACGGTAATTAGCTTTAAACTCCATGGGAATCGTATGTGCGATAACAAAACTGATAGAAACAGATTCGGCGTTTCTTTATTTGTTGACCAAAAACAAAAAGAGATGAATCGAAGGTATAACGAGTCATGTTGGGAACTAAAGAAAATTATCAGCGTGACTCCTTTTTCCAGCAAAAATTAGTCATTGTCTTCTGCACGTGCATTTAAAAAGAAATGTTCGGCGTTTTTTATCTTTGAAATAATAAACAGATGCCAAGTTCTGAAAAAAATTGGAATTTTCTTTAGGATTTTATTTCTGCATATACCTACATATTTACAATGTTCTTTAGATGATTCAAATTATAAATCATAGGGACACCCTTTTTTATTTAATTCATTTAAAAATATACAATTTTATTTTAAGCTCGGTTCGCTGCAGGATTAGGCTTTATGATTTTTATATTCCTATGAAAGTTGTGATTGTGGAAATTAAAATGACGCGATTGATTGACTCACTAAGCACATGTGTTGATGATGTTCATGATTCGCATGAAAAACACTTTATAATAGCGCCATGTGGTTTGCTCTGAATATGGAAACTTATTTATAAATAAAAGTTAAACATAGAAGATTGACATTAAATTCTAGTACATTATTTTTTTTTTTTTTTATAGAGAATGAATAATTATATAGGATTGTATTTTAAATCACTAACTGCCACAGATTATAATTTTTTAAATGTTCTTATTCCTTACATGGTAGTAGCCCAGCTGTATATATTTTTTTTTGTATTTTTACTTTAACAAAGATTAGTCATAGCCGTAGACAGACTAAATTGGAAAAGGGGGAGTAACTACAATCCCGTAGTTCCCCATTATGCACACACACACAAACTCAGATAGAGGAACACAAAAATAAAACAAATTTAAAATGCGTATCCGGTATGACGGTCAAGTAATTCATTATGTACAACGTATGTACAACATGTCCAATCTACATATGTACACATATGTACATATGTATAGTTACTTTTCGCTTAACAGCCTGTCTGCTTTGGCATAAATATTGAAGAGAGCCCTCGTCTTTGTCACCTTGTTTATTATTCTCTCTTTTTATGCACTCTTTTATTTACTTATTTATTGTTTTGTTATTATGAAAAGCGCGTCGAGGCAAATCACTCAGTCTGATGGGTTCAGACCGTAACGGACAATGGACTGGGAGTGGAATCGAATGGGAGGACGGAGTATGGGGCCCAGTGGCTCACCCATAACATTACAATTAATTAATCAATAAATTTTGCAATCATTCCCGCATTTATTCGCAACCCTCAGCGCATGGGAAATATATTGCACATTTATTAAGCAATGGGCACGTATAAAGAAATTAACAAAGCTAGAAGTAACGATAATTGTAATAATTGTTTAGCTTAATGAACAGCACTCGGATATACTGCGAGGCGTCATGTAAATTTGCAGTAATTGAATGAGAAAAAACTTTGAACAAAATGCAATTCGTTATCAACTTATGAATAGAAAAAAATACATATTAGGAACATTGTATAGCCAGCTATCAGAAAGGTTAATTAATTATTGCTCTTACTACATGGTTTGGGTATGGTAATATATAATCCTTATAATTTGTATATGAAATCCTTAAAATGTATTCAAATTTGTGTTGATATTGTGTGGCATGTTTTTATACAATTTGTTGAATAAATACTTATTTTACCTACTATTAATTTCAAATAAGTTTCCATAGTTTGAATCTTGGGATCGAAGTGTTCTAATTTATTCTAATGATGATCTGTGCAAAGAGATAGAAATCATTTACGTTTCTATGCATTTCAATGCACCAAATACCTTTCTTTTATTCATTATGTACCAATTGTGCATCCAATATTGTTTGGGTATACGTTTTGCATTTTTCAAAGACCCCTTCATCTTTGCCACACCCTTTTCCTGCTCTCATCCCATAAATGTGTTTGTGTGTCTAATTAGAACTTTCAACTGCAGCTGCACCCATAAAAAAAGGAGAAAAAGTGGAAAAATTAAATTGAAGTCACGTAAGCATATTTGCCGATTTCATTATGGTGCATTCCCTCCCGTTAAATGGTACATTTAACCATTTTACACAATCGTCTGCAGTTGGGCAGGTAAATTGCTTCGCAGTGTTTGACTCTGTTTTCAGGTTCAGTGAGCTGCAGTTTAAATCTGAAAAATACATATGTTTCAGATGATGTGTAGTCGCATATTAAAAGTACAGATACATTGTTGCTACTATTATCCTTTTAATTTATCAAATGTGATAGGCAACTTTCACTTTAACATTAGTGTGGTAAATAGGGCAAAACTTTGTTGTTTCTGTGAAGAATTTTCCACTTAAGTTTGCCTTTTGCGGCGACTCTCTCTCAGTAATCTTCTGATCAACGATCAGCAGCTGAAGTAATTCAATATTTGCATGGGCAGGCAAACATTGCTCCGGTGAAATAACTCCAGAGATGCAAGACTGAAGACATTAATGGGCCACACTAGAGTGTGTTTTGGGCTTTAATGGGCTTTCCAATTGGATGAGTGCCATTTCCAGCTTTAGCCAGCTTTTTACCATTTTATATATCTGCTTATATATGTATATCTGCGTAATGGTGCATCAACACTCATGAATTGCTTTTGTCTTTCTTTATCTTTTTGCGACAGGCTTCGATGGACTTGCCACCGGATAAAGCAAAGCTACTCCGTAACTACGATGACGAGAAGAAATGGGACATGATATGTGATCAAGTAAGTAGTGGAAATCAAATTTTTTTTTTTTTTTAATGAAACAAATATATTTAGTTTTTTTTATCAAGACGGTTTTATTAAATATTTATTCAAAACACTCACACATTTACAAGTTTTGCTAAAAATATTTTGCTATCGACTTCCGAACTTCCTGGGTGTTTTTGCAGATTAAACTCTGTTTCTTTTTCCCAGTTGTGTACTTTGGACCCTTTCTTGATCGCAGTTCATAAGGGGGCTATAATAGAAACATGGGCATAGATTGGGAGGGGATAAAGTTGGTGTCGGCACCTTGAACGCTGACCTTTGGGCTGCGAAACTGATGGGAGGGTCGAGTGGACCGGGCGCCGCTCTAATTAAGCTCTACCAAATGGCTTTGCGTAATGGAATTGTGTGTGCGTAGACCAGTTGGAATGCCAAAGGCGTTTATACGTTGAGCAACTTTACGAAATTCTCTTTCAATTAGCGACTTACAACTCGGTTGCGAAAAAAATCACGCAGGTCAACTTGTGAGAAATCTTGATACTAAAGATACAAAGAAACTCAATCTTTTCCAATAGTGCATTTTGATCCCAAACAGTTGATTTCGTCGAAATTCAAGTGATAACAATGTAGGCTTACTATATGTATTTGTAAACAGAAATTTATCAGGTATTTCTCTGTTGATTTCTACGAAACATTGTTGATTATAAGCTTAAGGCAGTGGTCTGCTTTACAGACTTCAAAAAATCGATTTTTTTTTTTTGTCTTAAATCTATTCCAAAACTATCCAAGAATATGTGTTCAAAATTTTAGAGGCCAATTCGACATATTTTCGAAGCTAGATCAGTTTTAGTGGCCGAGCGTCGAGCAGGTTCGTATGCTCGGGCAGACTTTACAGCCCGTTTTCTCGAGTTTTTATTTTCACAAGTCTTGGAAAACGGTGCCGGCCATAGTAAAAAAAATATATGTCCGATCGAAAAAAACCAAAGTGATCTAGCTTCAGTATTGAATTATCTTCTATTTGAACTAAAAAAAATGGATAAAAGTACTATTTAAATTACTTGTTTTGCAACTTAAAGTGAACTTTTTTTCCAAAAAAGCGAATTTTTTTTTCAAACTTAGAAAAAATTTGGAATTTCGTCATTTCTTCGGAATTTTTTTAGTTCATATAGAAAAGGAACTTATAAAAAGTAAAAAAAATTTGGTTCCACTGTTTCAGATGCATCGCACGAACTCCATCACCGGCACCGATTAACAAGTGCACACTCTAGGCGCCCCAGAAAAATCGTTACAACTTCCGCTAATTTCAATTATTTGCAATAATAAAAATTGTTTTTTAAAGTTTAAATATAATATTATATCGTCTCAAAATTTCGTTTACCGCAATCATTTCCTTCCCTTTCAAAAAAATTGTTGAAAAAACGCTCTTTTTTCGGCTCCTAAAGCAGACCACTGCCTTAATCGTTTACAATACCTTTCAGATGACGCATATTGTTTGAGTTACTGACATCTATAGGAATTTAAGGCCTTTAATTGCGTTAACTTATTCCAATATTTATTTTACTGTCATAACTTAACTTTATTTATACTTCAACTAATTTAGATACAGGGACAAGTACACAATAGAACTTTAATTAAGTATTTTCGAATTCTTGACCTTTAAACCATTTTCGGTAAACAACAAATGCTGAATTGGCATAAATAAATTGTAGGACATGTGTTTAAATATATGTCTCTGTCTGTCGAGATATATAATTATATATATGCAGCGTGTATATCAGCTTTGTCAATCATTATGCAGTGCGTGCTGTTTTGTCGTTCGCGCTTTTTGATGTTTTTTTTCCGGCTTCGCACATCAGAGTGTTTAATGATATAAATTCGCTCGCTGAATCCGAAACACCAAAACTTTTTGGGCAATGAGTACGACTGTAAATTGCTTTAGAATAGGGCAGTAAATTGTATATATGCGATTTTATATGCTATATGTACAAATCTAGATTGCGTGAGTTTTTCAACTACCGCTGTTTTTGGAATATGACGAAACTATTAACGTGTTCGCTAGAGCGTGCCTCTTGTTTTGGTGGATTCTATCTATCCAACCATCCATCCATCCAAGCAGCTATCTATCCATCTCACTTGCAACTGGGTCACTGAATTTTCAAGAGCTGCACCTAGGAAAATAACAACGGAAAACAACGGCGACGCCAGGCATAATATATTCGCCATCGGCATTTTGGTGGAGTAGCTCTCAAAAAAAAAAAAAAAAAAAAAAAAAAACTAAAAAAAAAGAACAGAGGAAGGAATGCTCAACACTCTTCGAAAACCTGGTACTCGCGTCAAATATTTTCAGCCATACGATAAAATATCATAAACACCCAACACGGTTCGTCGTTGTTGTTGTTGCTGCTGCTGTTATTCTCCTACGGCTATTGTTGTTGTCCAAGTCGTCGTCTTCGTCGCCGGTTCCTTGTAGCCAGCCGCCTGCATGCCTGCAACCCAGACCTGTTTTCCATAATTCAGGCCCCCCGTGCACTGTGGGTCAAGCGTTCGAAATTGGTAACGAAATCCATTAGTTGCTAAATGAATAGCGGTATAAATCAAATTTGGGCTTTTGGTAGAAGGGCAAAGGTTTTCATTGCAAATGGGAATGCAAAGTTGCCTTACATAATCAGTTTGTAAAACTAGAACACTGATAAAAATTCTAAAAAATTCTGATAAATTTATTTATTGCATTATTTGTGATACTTATGGAGTTGTATTTATTATTAGAAATACTTTTTCATGCATCATTTGTTCTCTACAATATCCAGCGTATTCCACAGTTCCACTTTAAACTTAGTCTAGTCATGAAAATGAATGAAAACGCAGCCCACTGACAGACGGACCGTGGAGACAAAGGACGGACAGGTCCGGTGATGATGGTGGGTTGGTGGAGGCGAAGCTAGCCACTCGAGTTAGTGGAGAGTGGAGTGTGGAGTGTGGACTGAGGTGAGGCCAATCCCAGGGACTTGGTCCTCGTCGTCTTCCTGTCTCTCTGGCTCCTCAGTTGCACTTCGTGCTCACAGTGACAAAATGCAAATTATTATGACGGCGATAAATTGCAGTTTTTAATCGCTGGAGCCGCTTGCAGCGGTTTGCATATCCGTATATACGTATACGAATAGGAATACCTGTGGTTGTTGGTTGTACGAAAGCGCTGATATTTTTCCAGCTCTCTTCAACTGGGAAAAAGAATCGAAACTGGTTTTTCTCTAGCTGCTGCAGTTCGAACCCAATCCCAATTCCAAACCCAAAACCCACACATAGTTTAGGTTGTAGTCATGCGTTGGCCGTTGGTTGTTGTTTGTTGGTTGTTGGTGCTGTTTTTGTGGCTTTTGGTTTTAGGCTGCCTTAGTTGTTGGCATAGTTAAACAAAAACCCAAAAAACCAAAAACAACAACAAATAGACGCAAGCCAAAACAAGTATACCACGCTTCATGCTTGGAAATGTTTAAAGTTAGGCAAGCCATCGATGCTTATGTGATCGGGGTATGGGGTATCGGGGTATCCAAGATACTGCCGAGGGGTTTGGAGTACCATAAACATGTACAAAAATATGCAGTTAAGGCTCGGAAAGAAAAACAAAAGTAAAAGCCGCTAAGTCTCGGTCTAGTGTTAATGCATGTGGAATCGCTGGAAATCCCCCATCCTCCTCCAAAAGTTGCCCGATCGCTGGCAGTTCATTGAACAGCGACTTGGGTAACTCCGCTGAAGATGATTGCAGCAGCAATAAATGCGATGGAGGTAGCAATAGTAATTAGGAAGCGAATAGTGTATTTCTATGGGTTGTGTAGCCGTTAATAAAAGTTTTCCCAACGTGTGAATTGCATTTAACAGAAATAAAAAACGATTTACGACTATATTAGGTACGAGTGTCTTGAGTTTACGAAGTTCTGGAGTTGTAATCAATTAACATTTAATTTGTTTGGCCTTTGTCACCTGTCACTCAGTTGTGTATCATAAAATCAATTTAAAGTTCAGTCGTTCAACAAGTTTTTCTGCTCAATGTCATTTAAATACAAGAAAATTCTTGAGAGTTGCAAATAGTTACCTAGAATATGTTTTTTTATATGTTGTATTATATAAATCTATATCCTAGGAAAATCCTATCCTAGCCAAATATTAAAGGATATCATGTTTCTTACAGGAAATGGTGCAGGCAAAGGATCCGCCCTCACATTACTTGAGTAAACTGCGCACATATTTAGATCCAAAGGCGTCACGAAGTCATCGGGTACGTTTAATCCTGAATCTCTTTCATCTTTAGCTTTCCTTAGTAGTTTCTGTAGTGTGGTTTCTGGTTGTCTTTTAAATTTATAAATAAGTAAAAAAATCATATAACTTTTTAACCAACTATAAGGCCAAAGCTAAAATAAAAAAGCAATGTTAATAACCCTACTTGAAATCGAAATCTGTTGTTCCAATATTAATGTGTAAATTTCATTTCTCTACTCACAACACTGACAACACACCACGATTCCCACACTGTCCTCTCTTCCTCTTTCCCCCAATCTTCTCTCTCTCTTTCTCTTTATTTGTTTACCTATCCTCACCTGGCACCTGCACTGATCCAAAATTCGATCCCCATCCTGGTCCTTCTGCTGTTGACTCCGCATCCTGTCGCCCGTTTCCGGCTTCCTGTCTTCCTAACTTCCTTTCCTCCTCTCTCTCTATCTCTCTTTCTCTCTCTCTCTTTGTACACTTACAGCTTTACCTCTTCTACTTTCTTTGTCAGAAACGGAAAATGGTCGGCGAGTCCACGTCCACCCAGGTGCTCCGGGATCTGGAGATCTCGCTGCGCACGAACCACATCGAGTGGGTGAAGGAGTTCCTGGACGACAGCAACCAGGGTCTGGATGCCCTGGTCGACTATCTCAGCTTCCGGCTGCAGATGATGCGCCACGAACAGCGCCTCCAGGGTGTCCTGTGCGCCTCCGAGGAGCGATTGAATCTCACGAGTGGCGGCGATGGCGGTGAGATGGTGTTGGGCAACAGCAGTTCCATCAGTCCCGGTGGCGGCGGTGGTGTGATGTCGCATGGCGGCAGTGCCGGTCATGGTTTGGCCAATGGATCCATGCTCATGGATTCGAGGCAGCAGCACGGTCAGCACTCGATGTCCTATGGCTTTCTGCGTCCCACCATTGCCGATGCTTTGGATAGTCCCAGCTTGAAGCGGAGATCGCGTCACATCGCCAAACTGAACATGGGTGCCGCCACGGATGACATCCATGTGTCCATTATGTGCCTGCGTGCCATCATGAACAACAAGTATGGCTTCAACATGGTCATCCAGCATCGCGAGGCCATCAACTGCATTGCCCTGAGTCTCATTCACAAGTCGCTGAGGACGAAGGCCCTGGTGCTGGAGCTCCTGGCGGCCATCTGTCTGGTCAAAGGAGGTCACGAGATCATCTTGGGTTCCTTCGACAATTTCAAGGATGTGTGCCAGGAGAAGCGGCGCTTCCAGACCCTCATGGAGTACTTCATGAACTTCGAGGCCTTCAATATCGATTTCATGGTGGCGTGCATGCAGTTTATGAACATCGTGGTGCACTCGGTGGAGGACATGAACTACAGGGTGCACTTGCAGTACGAGTTCACAGCTCTGGGATTGGACAAGTATCTGGAGAGGATTCGGCTGACGGAGTCGGAGGAGCTTAAGGTACAGATCTCCGCCTATCTGGACAATGTCTTCGATGTGGCCGCCCTGATGGAGGATTCCGAGACGAAGACCTCGGCCTTGGAACGGGTCCAGGAGCTCGAGGATCAGCTGGAGCGGGAAATCGATCGCAACTCGGAGTTCCTCTACAAGTATGCGGAATTGGAGACGGAGAATCTGACGTTGAAGACGGAGCGAGAACAGCTGGGAATGATTCGGCAGAAGCTGGAGGAGGAGCTCACCGTTATGCAACGAATGCTGCAGCACAACGAGCAGGAGCTGAAGAAGCGCGACACGCTGCTGCACACGAAGAACATGGAGCTGCAGACACTGAGTCGCTCTCTGCCTCGATCCGCTTCCAGCGGAGATGGTTCTCTGTCGAACGGTAGCCTATTGGCTGGTTCCAGTTCGGGGGAGCTTCGCTTGCATTGCCACCGCCACCGCCTCCCATGCCCGCCTCACCCGCTGCAGCGTCGGCTGCTCCACCACCGCCTCCGCCGCCAGCACCACCCGTTCCGCCACCACCGCCCATGATGCCCGGATTCAGTCCACTGGGCAGTCCGAACGGCAGTCTCACATCGACGGCGCAATCGCCGCCACATGCCCCGCCCATGCTAAGCTCCTTCCAGCCGCCGCCGCCTCCAGTGGCCGGCTCCATGCCCGCTCCCGATGGAGCCATGACCATCAAGCGCAAGGTGCCCACGAAATACAAGCTGCCCACCTTGAACTGGGTGGCACTGAAGCCCAATCAGGTAGGAATAAAGTGAATTTTTGGGAATATATTTTATCGAACTAACTAATCAACTTTTCTTTTATTAAGGTGCGTGGCACAATCTTCAACGAGCTGGACGACGAGAAGATCTTCAAGCAAATTGATTTCAACGAGTTCGAGGAGTGCTTCAAGATTGGCATTGGCGGCGCCTTGCGGAATGGCAGCAATGGCACCGAGGTCGATGGCTCGCTGCAGTCCAGCAAGCGCTTCAAGAGACCCGACAATGTCTCACTGCTGGAGCACACGAGGTTAAGAAACATTGGTGAGTAATCTGAAATTTCCTTTTCATCTCTGAATCAACTGACTTTTCTTCAATGCTTTCAGCAATCTCACGTCGCAAGCTGGGAATGCCCATTGACGATGTCATCGCTGCCATCCACAGTCTGGACCTGAAGAAACTCTCGCTGGAGAACGTCGAGTTGCTGCAGAAGATGGTGCCCACGGATGCCGAGGTCAAATCGTACAAGGAGTACATCATCGAGCGGAAGGACCAGCAGCTGCTCACCGAAGAGGACAAGTTTATGCTGCAGCTTTCGCGAGTGGAACGCATCTCGTCCAAGCTGGCCATCATGAACTACATGGGCAACTTTGTCGATATCGTACATCTCATTAGTCCGGTAAGGAAATGGACATACAAATTAAATATTAAAAAAATATGTTTTTAAAATATTTGCTTACTCATTTTTAAATAAGAGCTTATTGAGCAAATATTTTTTCAAGCACTAATTGTTTATTCATGATATAAAATAGGCTGACAAATGTAAGATTTGTATGACAAATTGCTTAGTCAGCCGTTTCGTTGATTTTTACATATTATTACAAAGTAATACTCAACAGAGACTCATGCTCATAAATATGAATAAATATGAACTACGAATGTTTGCATTTCAATTATAAATAATATAAATTACTAAAGTTTTCTATTCAACTATTAATCATATTTTATTTTCCCATTTTAGCAAGTGCAATCGATAGCAGGAGCTTCGACCTCCCTGAAACAATCGCGGAAATTCAAGGCGGTTTTGGAAATAGTGCTTGCTTTTGGCAACTATCTGAACAGCAATAAACGAGGACCAGCCTATGGCTTCAAGCTGCAATCGCTGGACACGCTGATCGATACGAAGTCAACGGACAAGCGGTCGTCGCTCCTGCACTATATTGTGGCCACCATTCGTGCCAAGTTCCCGGAGCTACTGAATTTCGATAGTGAGCTGTATGGAACAGACAAGGCGGCGTCGGTTGCACTGGAGAACGTGGTGGCCGATGTCCAGGAACTGGAGAAGGGCATGGAGCTGGTTCGCAAGGAGGCCGAGCTGCGGGTGAAGGGTGCTCAGACGCACATTTTGCGCGATTTCCTCAACAACAGCGAGGACAAGCTGAAGAAGATCAAGAGCGATTTGCGACACGCGCAGGATGCCTTCAAGGAGTGCGTGGAGTACTTTGGCGATTCCTCGCGGAATGCCGATGCTGCTGCTTTCTTTGCGCTAATCGTACGCTTCACAAGAGCGTTTAAGGTGAGTATATTGTAAAATAATTGATGAGTTACCTTATTCATGTTATATATTTCCTAATTTTAGCAACACGATCAGGAGAACGAGCAGCGACTGCGACTGGAGAAGGCGGCTGCTTTGGCGGCTTCAAAAAAGGAAAGCGACCAGGTGCTGATGCGCAACAAGGTTAACCAGAAGAAGCAACAGGTGAGTGGCGGACACCGAACGTGAAGCGCACGCAATCCGAGTCCTTACATCTTTGGGTGGCCAAGTCCCTCGAAACGGGTTCATTTACCTATCTAATCTCTTATTGCACTTATCGTTTCAAACCTGTGATAACCTGTTATGATTTGTTCTGATCTCGTTTGATTTGATTATGCAGCAGCAAATACATTGCCTGCTCGACTTTGCCAATCAGCAACAGAAGCAGCTTGCCCAATCGTAGCATCCACCCACCGGCCACTTCCTCAAACTTAGCACGTTAACTTGGTTTTTTGGTTGACTCACACAAATCGCATCACACTCTTGTCTAATACTCAACTGGGGGATGGGAACTCAATGGGGGGACTTGGCCTCAGCCCCTCGTGCCCCAAATCCCCGCTAAATCCACCACCACCACCACAAAAAAATCGAACCACCATTCTCTACCAACCACCTACATAGTTGTGTTGCTCTGTGTGGGCGGCATGTGACGGGATTTGTTTTGTGTAAAGTTCCCACATTAGTGTAAGTCGCCTGGCTTGTCTCTACTTGTCTCCTAACACCGTATTTGTTCAGACTAATCCTCCGCCATTGTGTTGCCTAATCCCCTAATTCCATTGCAAATTCCAATCCACTTTGACTGTGATCTCACATGCGTGCCGTTCCACATTTTGGACTCGTGCCAGAACATGCTCGCAGACAATTGTTTTGAAGATTAATATTAATATATTGTTGACAGCTTTTAAAATATATATGAAAAAAAAAAAACAATCTTTATATTGACTTATTTGAATGATTCGAAGAGAAAATGTTGAAATTTTTAAATTATTATAAATGAAGACAAAAAGAAGCTTTGAAATAAATATCTATGCAAACAAGAAAAGATTACTAATCAATTTATTTTAATAAATCACATATGTATCTTAAACATTTAAACAAAATTTTATATTCCAAATATGTATATATGTATATACCGATCGGAATAATGGCCATGTGTACCCACAATAATAACCAATTAATCATAAATGTTCTGTTGCTTGGTGTTGGTTTTAATGTTAATTGCTAACCTGTTTCTTTTTCTCTAATCCTACTCCGGTTTGGGCCCGCTCCGCTTTCAAAAAACCCAAATGCAAACAGTTGCCCTCAAACGGCGCGTTATCCTTGCAGGATGCGGTCATAAACGAGCTGAAGAGCAAGGCGCACTCGGTGCGCGAGAAGAAGCTGCTGCAACAGGACGAGGTGTACAACGGAGCCCTGGAGGACATCCTGCTCGGTCTGAAGAGCGAGCCTTATCGGCGGGCGGACGCTGTGCGGCGATCTCAGCGCCGGAGGATCGACAATAATCGCCTCTCACGAACCCTGGAGGAGATGGACTGCTAGACAGGAAATACCGAGATATCGAGATGCAACGACGACGACGACGGGGCATTGGCAACGAATCGAAAATCAAAAATCATACAGAAAAAAAAAAAAAAACGGAATAGAGAACATTACAGATACTGCAATATGTGATTGGGCGATTAAATTGTTTTCGATACACTCGTACACAGACACAAAACTCACATTCCCTTCCATAAAAAATCCTTTGTTTTCGAATATTTTACAACTTAACTCTAAGTCGAGACGGATATTGTTTACCGTATCCGAGAATCCCAATCCGATATGGAAAATTACGCACCGAAATCCATAAGCCCAACATCCTCCCCTCTGTGAATCTCGCCTTAAGTTTTGAGAGACATTTTTTATCGCCAAAATTTTGTTTATAAAAACGCATTTTAATTTGGTTGCTTAGAGCTTAGGTTGAACTCGAAAATTCGAATGCTGTATTTATCAAATTTTTAATTGTTAAATATTGATTTAAATTTGTAACCTGTGTACATATATATACATACATATATATAAAACTATATATGTACTAATTAATTTTATTTTTTATACTTAAGTTTTAACCAAATTGGAAATGCTTGCTGCATCCATCAGAGATGGCAAATCCGCATGAATATGGAGAACCAAACTCCACACTTTAATTAATTTTATTTTTTAGTAAGTCATATAAGCAATGAATTGTATGAGAAGAGAGTATAAAATATTAAACTAATGTATATTTTCCTATTTAAATATTCTGCTTTGATGTTATTTTTACTTTTTTTTCACCCGCACACAGCCACAATAACTCAAACGAAGCGCCAAAATATTGCATGCCAGAAGAAACCATTTTTAGAATGTTTTACACTTAAAGAACTACACATTTTATAAAATTTTATTAGAATTTTTATACAAAGGATATATAAAACTATATTAAAAGATATTCCATTTATAAGCCAACTTATTCTCACGAGCCACAACAAATTTAAGAAGACTGATATGGAGCAGTTTTACTAAAAAGCAGCAAAAAACACGCAGATGCAGATATACTCTATTATTTAAAAAGCTTTTGTAATCTCTTTGGATAGTGTCTTCTCTCGATATATATTTAGATATATATTTAAAAAAAATGCAATAACGAATTTAGTTGAACTATAAGCACAGTTTTATTGTATTTACATATTTACAAGTGCCATTGGCATCCTTATGCATATCCTTTCAATGTCTTCTCTTTAATTTGCCAAAAGAAGGAAATAGCGCAAACTATAACGAGGTGGAAGCGTTTTTAATGCAAAAATACACGATTAGCACGCTTTGCATTGTTAGAACTTAAATATTGTGTTATTTAATTTGATAAGACGCCAGCATGGTATACGATGAACGAAGAAGGAAATCTATATATAAATATAAATGCCGGATTTTTTTGTACACACATTTACACAACTATATTAAACACTTGATCTATTTTAAATAAATTATTATTAACCCAATAAATTAGCCAAAAACAAAGTGTGTTTTCTTGTTCCAAAGCTATTTGATAGCATTGGTTTATGGTGGCTATGCTATTAAGCTTATCCTTATTCTTCTGGATGAATTAAATAATATAATTTTAATGATAGAATGAAATACGTTTTTCTTCGGAAAATATTAATAGATATATTATATAAAAAAACCCGTATTAAATAATACTGGTTTTGTCCCAACTGAATTCCAATTGGTTGTAGCAGCTACTGCAGTAACCGAAAACATCGGTCAAAGGGCCATCACTAAGCAGCTGATTCACCTGTTGCAAGTATCGGTACAGCTGATGCCTCCCATCTCTAATAGAGCAAATGTAAATTCCGCAGAGAGCACAATTCAGTGCAAAAATGAATTAAACCGGGGAAGCAACGGATAAAATTCGCATACGGTTCACGTCGAGAATGTTTAAACGCACTTTTAAGGTAGTTTATCGGCCCATCAGGAGCAACTTTGTGCTGCTTCCGGATCAATACTACGGTGTCGTTTCGACCTATGTAAGTGTCCAAAAGTCCACTGGCCTTCCAGATTAGATAAGCTTAAGATTAATCCGTTTAACCATTCCGATTAGGATACGGGCTGCCTGAGTCTGCAGTACAATGGTCGGGTGCACTACGCCTCCTGGGCGCCACAAAGGGGCGGCGGCCTCAAGGACACCGAGATTGGGATCAATGCCAGGGCGGCCAAGGAGATCGGTAAGCCATTACTTAACGGCCGGATGTGCATCGCTTGCCAATGTGCCGTAATATTGGACTCCGGCCATCTGCCCCGCATCTCTTATCTCCTATAGAAAGACTCATCAACATATTTTACCCATTCTTGCCGTAGGTCTGCATGAGAATGATCTGGTCAAGTGTGCGCTCATCGCTGACGTTCTCAACCTGCGCAGCGTCCACGTTACCCCCGTCTCGTCCAAGGATTGGGAGATCATTGTGAGTGATGGTTTCGCCTGCTATGCGGCGGGGCCGGCAGCGGTCAGCCTAAAAATAGAAAAGTTAGTTTATATCGGATTAGCATTTGGCGCGGGCGTGCGCTTGGTCTTTATTTATACCGCAATTGCTTGGCCGGCATTGCCATTGACCTGCTGATTTGATTTGATTAATTATGTGCTAATCAAATTACCGTTTAAAGCTGATTTTTTAAATTAATTGGAAGAAAGGGAGGAAAGACTAGAAAGTGGTTCAAGATAGCATAAGTATTAGTTATTTTGTTTAGTTGCCTGAATAAAACAAAGAAAATCAAAATTAGTGGGATTAAAACACAAGTTATTGCTGATTCAGACAACCCCAGAAAATATTTATATGTTTATATTTTATATATGTTAAATAGATAGGGATGCTTTTAATAGAATATTACTAATCATACCGTTTGTTTCTGTAGGAACTAAGCACTGAAAAGATTTCCGGCAGTGTGTTGGAGCAAACCCGCATTGTAAACTCAACTCAGATTCTAATTGTTTGGATTAACAAGTCCATGCAAGTGGCGTTGACAGTGGGTAAATATTTCCTATTGAATACAATATGTCTTTACTGATTTGTTACCTTTTTATTAGATCGCCTGAAGCCGCATATGAATTACGGCAGAATCGATCACAACACGGAACTTGTGGTAGCACCCAATCTTTACAAAGGACTGACAAATGGAGATTCAAATGGTGCCATTGAGGATAACTCAAAATTATCTAGGAGTAAAACCACTGCCCAGGTTAAGGATGAACTGGTGGAGAAGCCAAATACCTTGGCGCATTCCTCCACGGTGTCCAATGTAAAGAATACAATTCAACGCAACAAGCGACAGGATCACATGGAGCGTCTCAAAAGGATTTGCGTAGGGAGAGTTCGCGTAGCTTTGAGTTCCGCGTTATTCGAGGTTTGTGGCGGGAAAAAGCCCAGGAATCGGATGTCTATGTGAACAAGAAGCATCTGCCAGAGTTCTTCGATCTGGATCTGTTTTACTGTATGCACACTGCCGGTGATAAGGATTACTATGTGCGGGTGCGCACATTGGATGAGGAAGACGATCTAGAGGACGATTTACCCGGCACAATTCACTCTTCGATTGAACTTAATGCTAATCTAATGAAATTACTGAATATCCAGGAATTGGAGAGAGTTGTTCTTAAGCCGAAAACTACAGTTGTAAACTTTGTGGAGAAAATTGAGCTGTTTGCCAACAAGAAAACGCATTACAAGATCATGGAAAATGCATTTAAGCGATTTGTCATTGAGAGAACTCAGCAGAAACCAATGCTATTTAACCAGGAGGAAGTGGTGCGGCTAGAGGACGATTTGCTCGTTACTGTCGGAATACTACCAGAGCATTTTCGTTATTGCGTGGTGGACGCCCAGTTCCTTAAAGAGTCCAAAATCTATGCGGCAGATCTTGTGCGTCCAGTTGCCGAGATCATCAAGGAACAGGCGCCACTGACTTCGCCACTTAGTGTTCAGGATCTCATAAAACTGCCAGAGTATGATAAGATTGTGGACCAGATAGTCCAAGAACTGCGCATGAACCTGTGCCTCAATGCCGAAAACTCCGTAATGCGGCAGTGCAATGTGTTGATTACTGGTGCCGCGGGAACAGGTAAAAGCGTTCTTGTCGAGCGCATCCTGGACCAGTTGACGCGCAAACCGGACTATTGCTACTTCGAGTTCTTCTACGGATCGCGAAGCAAAGGCCGCAAGACCGAGTCGATACAGAAGGATCTGCGCAACATATTCACCAGTTGTTTGCAACATGCCCCTGCCATCGTGGTGCTGGAGAACTTGGATGTGCTGGCCCATTCCGCTGGCGAGCAGTCCAGCCAGGATGGGGAGTACTACAACCGCATGGCGGATACAGTTCACCAGTTGATTGTTCAGTACACCAGCAACAATGCCATTGCAGTAATTGCCACCGTCAACGAGCTGCAGACACTCAACAAGCGGTTAAGTTCACCCAGGGGTAGGCATATCTTTCAAACTGTTGCTCGCCTGCCTAGTTTGGAGCGGGCCGATCGAGAGATAATCCTCCGTGAGCTATGCAGCCACATCAGTTCGTCTAAGGACCTGGATCTTGTAAAGTTCTCCAACCTCACTGAGGGTTATCGGAAGTGTGATCTTGTCCAATTCGTGGAGCGGGCCATCTTTTATGCCTATCGCATAAGTAAGTATTTTTATTATTTGAAATAGGATACACATTTTTGAGCTTCATAATTTGTTAAACAATTTGCATTGTTTTTAGGCAAGGCCCAGCCAGTTTTAACAAACGATCAGCTTATTGAGTCTTTGGAGCACACCAACTCCTACTGCCTGCAGGGTATTCAAAGCAATCAAAAGACTGGAAACGAGACAGAGGCCAATGAAATGCGAGTTGAGGAACTTCCTGGTTTGGAGTCAGTTGTCGGTGTGCTCGAGGAAGTTCTTATGTGGCCATCACGGGTAATTACACATTTTTCTTAATTCTTTAAAATGATTTTATAATCCTTGTATTTCCTTTCAGTATCCAACGATTTTCAATGCCTCACCCCTTCGCAATCAGGCAGGAGTACTCCTGTACGGACCACCAGGAACTGGAAAAACTTACTTGGTCTCCCAGTTGGCCTCATCCTGGAATCTGCGCATAATTTCTGTCAAGGGTCCCGAACTGCTTGCCAAATACATTGGCCAGAGCGAGGAGAATGTTCGCAATCTGTTCAATCGGGCTCGAAGTGCCCGTCCTTGTGTACTTTTCTTCGACGAGTTCGACAGTTTGGCACCAAAGCGTGGTCACGATTCTACCGGAGTCACCGATCGGGTGGTAAATCAACTGCTAACCGAATTGGACGGCGTTGAGGGTCTGCAGGGAGTCACAGTGATAGCAGCCACTTCTAGGCCAGAGCTCCTGGATCCGGCGCTTCTTCGCTCCGGCCGCATCGATCGCCTGGTCGAGTGTCCTCTACCGGATGCTGTAGCTCGAGTTCGCATCTTTGAGGCTCTCAGTTCAACCCTCAACCTTGATGAGTGCGTGGATTTCGAATGGTTTGCTGGAAAAACTTCGAACTACACCGGCGCCGATATTCAGAGCATTCTGACCTCGGCAAACATGGCAGCGGTAAAGGAGGCGCTAGCTAAATTCGGACACGAGGTAAGTTGGATACGCTGGGCACCGGAAACTGCGACAAAAGTTATATAAATATTTATAATATCTTTATTGTTTCGAATTCCCTTTACAGAAGTTGCCAAAGAAAATCTTTTGAAGCAGAAACACCTTGTAGAGTCCTTCCAAACCACAAGGCCGTCCCTTAGCGCCTCCGATGTGTCCAAATATCACAAAACGTATGTATTTTAATATTATTCCCTTGTACTTACTTACTTACCTTTTATATATTATACAGGTACTCTCGTTTTACCAACAAGGAGAAGAGCTCTAGGGAGTTTGTGGCCAAGCGCGCAACATTGGCTTAAAGACAAAGACTTAATTAGGTTAGCAAATATTATCAACTATGATTTTTATTTTGTATATTTGTATATACATACATAGGGATTATTCTTTGGGTTTGTATGCTTTCTCGTTGAGACATTAAAAATTAATATGTTGTTATAGTATTGTGATATAAATACAGCTTTTGATTTATTTCTAAACAATTGATGATGTTATCGATTTCTTCCTTAACTTAGTAATTTGAAAAGGCTGAAGAAGAACATCTTATAAAGAATTAAAAATAAAACCTATTAGTTTGTTTTTGTGTTTGGTTTATACATAAAACTCAAATTATTTCAATTGAAATAATTTTTTTTTAATTCAAGCATTCCGACCTCGGTAAACACGACAGTTGTTGTGAAGGGATTGTAACGCTGGTTGGCTATTCCTTCACCGGAAGTGGTTCTAAGTTATGGAAAGTTCTTGGTAGCCAGGTTGCACAGTTAACCGATGCGTTCAAATTTTCCCTACTGTTTCTTTTTTGTTCCCATCGACCCAACAAGTGCAACGAAAATGTATTTAACTATTTTTGGGTACTATACGTGTATGGCATCTGGATCAGGATTTGGATCTATGCTATGCGGGAGTTGCTGGTTGCCACTTCCAGAAACTGAGATTTGTTTTTTGGGATATCAGTCACGTAACGGATATTTCCTTATTGATATGCGATTACCGCGCATGCGCACGTACACTGCACACCACTAAGACAATGGACACATTTTCTTTTGCATAAATTAAGCCGCCGAGCAAACAAACAGGGAGGGAACCCAAAGCCGAAGGCCAGATAATAAAGAATTTCAACGAGTCCGAAGCCACCGCAAACATGCTTAGAATAAAACCAACAAGAACTCAGCAGCAGCAGCAACAACAGCAACAACAACAGCAATAAAAAGAAAGGAAACCGCTGAGGAAAAACAATTGCAACATGCGGGAGAAGGGGGACCACCTCGATCAGGTAGCTATAGCCGATAGTTAGGGTCTTGGCCGCAGGATCCTAGCAAACATTATTGCAGAGAACCTAACCGAAGCGAACCGTTCGGATTGAATCGTTGCGATCATCGGGCACGTTCGGTATTATACATCGTAAAAGTTTCTTCCGTTCGATCGTTACTTTCAGTTGTTTGCGCACATTCAAGCCAATCGGTTGGCTTCGCTCGATTCCTCCCACAAACTTTACGGATTACGGTTAGTGCAACGGAAGTGGCCCCTCCTCACCCTCCACCCTCCACACTTTTTTAGTTTCTCTCTTTTGCCTGGTAAATGGAATTAAAAGTTGGCAACGAAGCGGAAATGCAAGGCGCCTTGCCCTGTCCCTTTTCCCTTCCAAGATTTAAGATTTTTATCCAAGCTTCATTCGCGATTGACAGCCGAATAAACATGGTGACAATGTTTTTTTGTGGTCTCATTCGACTCCCTCCATAGCTCCTCGCAAATAAAAGACAAAGAACGTGATTTTTTGGTCAAAGACTTTGGGGTTGTGGCATGGCAGAAAAGAATTATATTCCCATTGGCAGTGACAAGCAGCAGTAAAACAAAAAATAAAGCCGAAAATAATTTAAAAGAGAGATGTTCCAGCAGTAAAATAAATACAAAGCATGTCAAGTGTAGCCAAAAGTTCAAAATCAACTAACTGAAAAAGGAGAAACAAAGATATTTAAAAACAACATCTCTCAAGTGAATACAAAAGAATAAAATGAATAAATATAATAAATAATATATAAATATATTGGAATGTTAACAGTACAGTATTTAAAAAAAATTTACTGAACGGAAATCAGAACACTTGATTTGAAAAAAATAAAAAAAATTTCGTTACAGTCATATGGAATTCCAAAATCAAATCAAATTTAATAAATATATAAAATATATGTTTGAATGATGAATTTGTATTAAATTCGTATCTCAAAATAGCTGAAAAATCAAGTTGAAATGTCAAATGGGGAACGTGCAAAATTTATTCGCTCGATAATAATTCACTAGATAAAAAGGTGTGAGCTAAACGTTTTTGGCCATGTGCGCGCTGGCTTCAAATCGAATAATATTGAACGACTGGCTGAATGAGAAAAAAAATTAAATAAGAAAAGCAATAATACATACCTCAAATACAGCGATTGACTCGTATTTGGCAACAAATGAGAAAAAAAGGAATTGAATAAATTAAAACCCGCGACGCGTGTGCATACATAAATCTGGCCTGAAGTCAAACGGCTAGCGGCAATATCGGATATAGCAACAAAAACAACAATTACTGGTAGCACTAGCAGAGTATTAACAACAACAATGACAATCGCAACGGTTGATGCAAGTCTTACAAACAATAAAATAATTTTATAAAACGGCACAGTGGTTAAAGAACATCTTGATTTTTATGAGAAACAACTTGTACCGAAATAAACAAATGTGTTTATTATAAGGATTTAAAAAAATATGAGTATTAAGAAATAAGATAAAAATTCATAGAAATAAAATATTTTATAAAAAGAGATAGATTTCTATATAAAGTTGAACTGGATATTTTCTTGCTAATTGATTTGTCCTTTACTTATTTGTATCGGCTTCTGAAAGATGTTAGAACTGTTATGAAGTTGTTTTATAAACTTGCATTCACACTTTCGATTCATTTTGGGATTTACCAGAGTCATTGTTAATCATTAAACTAGAAAATATATAAACGTTTACAGGGTAAACATTAGGTGACTTAAAGTAGCCGAACAACATGCTGTTAAATACACTTCATATAATTTTCACTTTTTTGTACTTTCTTGCTTTAATCACGCTATTAAATGCAAGTTGGTTTATAGTTTAAAATATTATTAAAATATTTTATGAAATTAATTTAGAAGAATTTTTTTTTACTTTTGGTTTACTTTTGGTTTGAGTTAATGTTTTAAAGAGAATTTAAAAGTAGCTTCGGTGATTTTTAAAATAAGATGGCATCATTTGGGAATTTCGCGATTTGGCGTTGAGATTGTTTAACACCTTTGTTGTTTGATTTGTGAGTGCAAGGCAAATAGCTAGGAAATTATTTATAAAATAATAGTAGTTTTTCAAGCCACTGTAACGACTGATTTCAACTAATTGTTAAGTGGAATTCTAACTGTTCGGTTTTTGTTGAATGGAAATTAAGAAACGCATGCCGCACCAACAACACTATTTGCCGATTGTCGAATATAGACAACTTATAATGGAGATCCCCCGTGGAATGGGGATGGGGAGTGGGTGGCAACGAGTGTGTCCGGCAATCCAGTGGCTTCGACCACGTCTTCAATCTCATTACGGAGGCAAGGCACACAGTCTTCGCTGCTGCTTCTCCTTTGGATTTTTGCATATTGGTGCGGGCAGACTTCACTTGGCTGTGTGCCGTGTTGGCAATAAAATATTAAACAATAATAATAAATAAATAAAATGACACAGAGAGGCAATCGAAGGGGAGCTTCCAAAGAGTTAAAAAGAGAACCTGAGATTTGGCAATATTTATCGACCCACATACAGTTGCGGTTAAAATAATAGCTTTATATGTGAACGGTTTAAAGCCATGGATAAAAAACGAAATACATTATTAAAAGATAAAAATTGTGATCTGAAAAAAGTTTTTACGAATTATAAAGCTGTTTGGGGTTGTAGCTAGTGAAATACGAATTTGTATCAAATAAAGCAAATATGCTTACAGAAGTTCTCTACAATTGAACTTTGACCTTTTACCCATAATTACTGCACATTTGTGTATGATGTGTTTTAGAACTTTTTCTTCATTTAATTAATATTTTTTTTTTCCCTTTTTTTATTTTCTAAAGCTGGAGGACACTTAAATCGGATTTAAATAACCGAAACCCTGGATGATCTATTATTCTGACCGCCACTGTGTATCGATACATGTTTGTGCGCATCTAGATACAATCACTTGGTGGCTGTTGAACTCGCGAGAATCCACTTGAACCATGGCAAAAGTGCCGATCACGCTGATGATCATTGCGCTCGTCTCGGCATCTCCGGACTTGGGATGCGATTTTGGCCATCACCGCTGCTACATCGATGTGACTGCAGAGAACGCTCCCCGCCAGCGGCACCTCCTCTCCGACATGGACATCACGCTGCAGTGCATCCGACCCATGGCCAGATGGTTCTACCAAGATAAACTACAGCTCAGAAATCCCTATTTGCGAATTGAAAGGGCACAAGCCGGGAATTCTGGAAACTACGGATGTTTGGACAACCAGAATAGATGGTACAATGTCTCACTGGTTGTTGGCTTTAAGGAAACTGTGGGCAACGACATAGCCAGCTTCTCCAGGGTGGAACCTGAACACTCAAGTCCGGAGACGGATCTCTTCTTTCAGCCCCTGAATGAAAGTCGATCCCTGAAGTTGTTACAACCACTTCCCAAGTTGGTCCAACGATCGGCGGGTGGTCTGTTCCAGCTGAGCTGCAGTCCCACAGATCCGGAGGCAACGGGAGTGAATATTTCCTGGCTGCACAACGACACCCAGATTCTGGGTGGACGTGGTCGGATTAAGATGAAGAAGTGGTCGCTTACCATAAGCCAACTGCAACCGGAGGACGCGGGAAACTATCACTGCGAGTTGTGTGTGGAACACGATTGCCAAAGGAGTAATCCCACCCAGTTGGAGGTGATCAGTAGGGTTCATACAGTTCCCGTTCTAAAGCAGGGATATCCACGCAATGTGACGAGTATTCTCGAGGAGAATGTCAGCTTTGAATGCCTGCTGGAGGATTCAACCCTTGAGCCAAAGATGACTTGGTTGCACAAGCAGAGTGTTTCAAACATCGAGGATGTTCTGCAGCGACTGAAAGAGCAGTCCCAAGTTCCAGTGGACTTTGATCCGATGATCACTCAGAGGGATGAACCCCAAGTGCTTCGACTGGGAAATGTCATCTTGGAAGACGGAGGTTGGTACATTTGCATTGCCGAAAATCAGGTGGGACGCACAGTGGCCGCCGCCTATTTGGATTTGCACGACCATCTGGACACGACGACACCTCGTGGAATGAGTGTCATTCCAACACTGAGTACTCCATCACCTAGTCCTTCCTCCAGTGGAGTGGACACCAAAGGAAATTCTGGTAGTGCCTTGTCTACTGAAGGCGAAAGTCCTCCAGTTTTTACCAAGGAACTGAAACGACTGCACCACTCGTTATCTGGAAATACCGTCAATCTTGCCTGTCCATCTTCCGGTCTGACAAATATCACTTGGACCAAGAACAACAAGCCTCTCCAGCGACCATATGGTGTCTATGTCCAGAAGAACTGGACCCTCCGGTTCGTGGAGGCCACCAGTGACGATTCGGGAATCTACAGATGCGAAGTGTGCAACGCCTTCGGTTGCAGTCACTTTGAATTCAGTGTTCAGGTCAACGATCGCACCAGATCCGCACCCATAATCATGGTGCCGCAAAACCAAACGGTGAAGGTGAACTCCACGGTGGAGATGAAGTGCACCGTCTACTCGGATCTGCATCCAGCGGTTAGTTGGACGAGGGTTATCCTCAGGAATGCATCGCTGGAGGGTCTTGACTCCGTGGAGATACAAAAACTGAACTTCACCGTGACGAATGATTCGGTCGTTTTGACTTTGAACAATGTGACCTACGAGCAGGAGGGTTGGTATACCTGTCTGGCATCCAATAACCTGGGCAGCAGGAACTCCAGTGTTTATCTGCGAGTGGTGAGCCATCTGCCGCCCTTGGAGATCTACGCCCTGATTCACGCCCATCCACTTGGATTCACTTTGGCTGCCATAATGATAGTGGCTCTCTTCCTGTTGGGCAGTGTTTTCATCACCTTCATGCTCCGTCGATTGCGAAGGGAGAAGCTGCTGAAGCTCCGCATCGAAACGGTTCACCAGTGGACCAAGAAGGTGATCATCTATCGACCGGGTGATGAAGAGGGAAGTGGCTGTAATTCCGGGGACTGGCAAATGCCGGTGATCAGGATTGAGAAGCAGAGAACCACTGTTTCCACAACGGGCACAGGTGGTGCTGATCCTTCCCAGGGTTTCAATGAGTACGAGTTCCCGCTGGACTCCAATTGGGAGATCCCAAGGCACCAACTCAACCTGGGTTCTATTCTTGGTGAAGGAGCTTTTGGCAGAGTAGTAATGGCGGAGGCGGAAGGTCTGCCCCGAAGTCCCCAATTGGCCGAGACCATTGTGGCCGTGAAAATGGTCAAGGAGGAGCACACGGACACGGATATGGCCAGTTTGGTGCGTGAGATGGAGGTGATGAAGATGATCGGCAAGCACATCAACATCATCAACCTGCTCGGCTGCTGTAGCCAGGGAGGACCGCTCTGGGTGATCGTGGAGTATGCTCCACATGGTAACCTCAAGGACTTCCTCAAGCAGAATCGACCAGGTGCTCCGCAGCGGCGTAGTGGTAGCGATGGCTATCTGGACGACAAACCTCTGATTCCACCACAGCAGCTGGGCGAGAAGGAGCTTACCAAGTTCGCCTTTCAAATCGCTAGAGGAATGGAGTATCTCGCGTCTAGAAGGGTAAATCATTGCAAATAAAAATAAATACTTTTTAATTACAAATATTGTTTAAAAAAAATAATTATTAATAATATAACATCTTCTACTCTTAGTGCATCCATCGGGATTTGGCAGCCCGAAATGTCCTCGTCAGCGATGGCTACGTAATGAAGATCGCCGATTTTGGATTGGCGAGGGACATCCAGGATACGGAGTACTACAGGAAGAACACCAACGGACGACTGCCCATCAAGTGGATGGCACCCGAGTCGCTGCAGGAGAAGAAGTACGATTCGCAGAGCGACGTGTGGAGCTATGGAGTGCTTCTCTGGGAGATCATGACTTACGGAGATCAGCCCTATCCCAATATCCTATCCGCTGAGGAGCTCTACAGCTACTTGATTACGGGTCAGCGGATGGAGAAGCCGGCCAAGTGCTCATTGAATATCTATGTGGTGATGCGACAGTGCTGGCACTTTGAATCCTGTGCAAGGCCAACTTTCGCGGAACTCGTGGAGAGCTTCGATGGGATCCTCCAGCAGGCGAGCAGCAATCCAAACGATGCCTACTTGGACCTCTCGATGCCCATGCTGGAAACACCACCCTCGTCGGGGGATGAGGACGATGGTTCAGATACCGAAACATTCCGGGAGACCTCTCCCCTTAGATACCAGTATACCTATAAGTTTAATTAGTCTTTAGTCTTAGGAAACCAGGAGAATTCCAACGAGTCAACCAGATCCCATCGATGCATCGCTAACCACTACTCCATTGCCTTTCATCACAGAAATCGCCAAAGAATATCTCGCTGAAGCAAAAATACCTTAATTGGCCAACTCCAAACTACAAAAAGAATCTAGCTTTTCCTTTCTGGACCTCGAATATTTTACGATCAATTTTCTTTTCCATTGAATTCCTTTGAATGTCAAGTTGAAATAGGAACTAATTTGTCTATAATTTGTATCATTTACCAAGTATTTTAAAAAAGTTTGGTCTGAGTCTTTGGTTTTTTGTAAATGTATTTCATAAGTCTTCTTGTTGAGGCAATAAAAACGAATTTGTTTTAAAACTTTTGTACATTTTATTTTTTATTGTCAGATCCAATAGTTACAAGTAGTCAAAAGTTAAAATTATCCGATGTTAGGGATCCATTAATCTCCTCTCAAATTTGTAAACCAAGCCTACAATATACCTCGGAGATAACGAAGTCCAGAATTTCTTATCTACAAACAACAAGACAACCTTTGGCTTACCAAGGCATCCATATATACAAAAGCTATTTCAAGTCATTGATCAGTCTGCTTCGAAATGTTAAGATTAATGTACGTTTGCCTTTGTTTTCTTACGCTTGAAATCGGGATCGAAAGTTTTGGAAATCCTTGGAAGCTTTATCCACATGGACGAAGTATAGGAGTCAATTATAACCAATGGCAAGGTCGTCAACGTTTTCTTCTTGATTTGCTGCTCCAAGTGCATAAGCCTTTGCTCAATGAGGAGCTCATTGCAATGGGAAGCCAACTAAACGAGGATCCCAATGAATATAAAGAAGTGAGTATTAAAAAAATTTTTTTATTTAATAAAAAAGAACAATTATTCAAATGCGTTGAAAAGTGATAATTTATTTTGAAATTTTAATTCTCTTTGTTTATTATTATAAGGAAATTGTAAGTAATTGGAAAACATGTGGTTTGAAATCTATATTAATGCATACATTTTTTTAGGGCTCCTGGAGATACATTAACGACTTTCTGGAGCGTGTTAAACAGAATCGAGTGACACGCCCTTTTGGAATATATAATCAGCTGGATGAGGAAATGCCCCAGAACCTGCTAGGAGTCTATCGATTCCTTATCCTGGCCAAGGATTGGCCTTCCTTCCAGCAAAACGCCTGTTATGCTAGGATTCACTTTAATCCCTTGCTCTTTGTAAATGCCCTTCAAATGGCATTGGCCGAAAGGGAGGACACGAAGGATCTGCGAATGCCAGCCATGTATGAAGTGCTGCCACATCTCTATTTCGAGAAGGAGGTGATCCTGGCGGCACAGGAAATCGCCTGGCATCAATTGACTCCCATCAGATTGGTGACACCCAAACGAAGATGGAAGGATATTCTTCTGCGATTCCGTAGTCCCAGAGAACCTTGGTGGGAAGAGGAACCCATTCCAGCGGATCCTTTGATTATAAACAATGAAAGAGAGGTAGCCTATCTAAGTCTTGATTTGGAACTAAATTCACATTGGAACAATCTCATAAATCGGTTGGTTATAACCATTGAAGAAGCGAAAGAACAGATCGACAATCCTATTATTATTGATGGTGATCGAATGGTAGCATTTCGAGGATCCTTCAATGAAGATAACTTTAAAAATCAGTTGGCACTGGGACCACATTTTCAGAATTTCCAGTTATATATCTACAATCTAAAGCAACTTGTGGCTGCTTTGTCCATGGAGGATTTGGCAACAGGACAGAGCTCGATGCATCTTATTGATCCACCTTTAATTACAACCAATGGAGTTCCCTACAAAACCACCTCTTTAAATATGGAAGCTGTAAGACGCATTTTAAATTTGACAGTAGAAAACCTTAACGAACAAATCGATGAGGCAGTTAAACATAAAAACAATCCCTTGGATAATTTATCAATAGCAGGACAAATGATAGCCAATAATTATCTTCACATTTGTAGGCAACTAAGCCTGGCTGTAAATGGCAATGAAGTAAATCAACCCAATATGCTGGGATTATCCACTTCGAACCTCAGAGATCCCATATATCGATCGCTGCTCTTTCGCCTGAATGAAATTTTAATGGGTTATGAATATAAAGATCTATCAAGAGTAGAAAAAGAAAAAGTGATTCCATTAATAGTTGATATCAAAGTCAGTCCCCTGCAAACTTTTGAGGAAAACATAGACACGGATCTCATTAATCTGATTGATCAGCAATTGCTTCAATCGCACCGAAATAATTTGCAATTCCTGAGGAGACATCTTGTGGCAAGACAAAATCGTCTTAATCATGAACCTTTTAGTATCAGCTTGGATATAACATCTGAAGATGATATCACTGTTCAGGCAAAGATTTATCTAGTAGTACCAAACAAATCAAAACTTCGTTATCATCTAGACACTTTTAGATGCTCTCTAAAGAAAGGATTGAATAAATTTGAACGCGTTTTTCCAACAGCCTTTTCTGAACCCACTTTAAACGAACTCTATGAAGCGGATTACCCATCTAAAGATGAAAATAGCTCCAACCGATTTCCCCCACATCTATTATTGCCCAGAGGGACTAGAGAAGGTCTCAAACTTCAATTACTTGTGGAACTCTCTGTTTGGACCGGTTGGGGACAGGACTTTGATGGAATGGGTTCCCCTGTCCTAACAAAAACTCTGAAGGATGTGATAATCTTTCATCGCCAGGCCTAAAACTATTATGCGATAATATATGCTAAGTGCCTAAACTTCTTAATTGAATCCTCCCTCATGGAAACACATATGTCTGAATTAGTATGATTTTGTGGGAAAGGGTTTCATATCTCTATAGTTTTCCAAGCACGCGCACAATTCAAATTAAACTGTGGCAGTAAAACACAAAATGTTGCAGAAATAATGCCTATTGTAAATTGTAAATCAATAGAAATAATATTCTCTAATTCTGATATTCTATTTAAATAAAAAAATCTTTTAAATCTTTGGTTTGAAATATCCAATTGAATAAAACATATCTATTTAACCTTCGTACTTGATCGTTTCTAATTTCTTTCGCATACACATAATACCCAAGCATCTTTTCTGTGGAAAATCAAATAAATGACTGACAAAATGGGACACAGAATAGAGTGGGGATTTCGCCGCCCCAAAACAGAAACTTGAAAACGAACGAAAACGGTTTATTATACGAATGCGATGACAACAAAAAGGCATAATAGTAAAATTAAATGTGTCTATTATGCCAGGCTAATACAATGCACACATAAAACCACACTCAAACTCCTCACAAGCATGTGCCATACAATCATAAGTACACCGAGAATAATTACATTTATAAAAAGAAAAAACATTTAAAAATAAAACCATATTGGGTATCGAATCATTTCTTTAAATTTTTTTATTGAATGCAAAATTTACGAATGGATCCAAGAACACGTTTTTGATTTACAACCTTGATGTATGTTGAAAGATAAAGAAAAAAACTGTTTTAAACTACAAGTTATTTCTCTACGTGCAGAGGCTACGGAATCATTTTGCAGGCAAGAAACGTTTAAGGAAGGATGTCTTGCTTAGACGGGTGCGAAGTGTTTGAAGTGGTGGAGGATGTGGATGCGGGAAGTGGATGTGGGAAGTGGATGTGGGATGTGGCTGGTTTGTCACTGGCACATTCGCATAAAAACAAATGCACACAATACGACCACCAACAATCCCATTCAATTCCCCGTAACAAAAAGGCAGAGAAAAGGGAGACACAGGAATCGTCGTCATCAAGGAGAAGTCCTCATCATCTGTGGGTCCAGGCCGGGAAATGGAGTCCTGGGCGTGTTTGTTCCTAGATAAGCGCAATAATATGCACGTATTTTACGCCAACTTACACACACCCCCGCCCACTAAATCACACCACCCAACCCAGACCACCCCACCACCACCCTCCTCCTCTTTTCGCGGCGAAAATTTTATAAGAATGCGCAAATTTAAATGCGAATTGTTTTCACCTTGTTGGCAGCGACGCTTTGCCTAATTGACTTTGTGTGCGAGTGCGCAACTTCGTTTTCATCCGAAGGAGCACCAAAAATATAATAAACGAAAAAATGAACTGAATAGACGACAATCAGCATTCGCTTTTCTTGGCCTTTCTTTTCATTTTGTTTGCGCCTAATTTGCGTGCGGTTTATCAGGAAAAAATGCCACCGAAATCCCCACAATTAAAAAAAAAGGAAAAACGAAAAGTTGTTTCACACTTTTGGGCTTATTAATTCTGCAATTGTTGGGACCAGATTGAGCTTGGGGTTTGGGAATTAGACTTATCAAAGTACTTTTGGGGATTTGGCTGACCCAACAAAATGAGGTCATAAAAAAATGTATTTAAAGTAATCAAATCTTAAAGTTTTACTAAATCTTTTAATTGGTTTTTTTTTTTTGACTAGGAATTGCTGATCTTGTAGTATTTACCTAAATTTTTCTTATATCTGTAAGTTACTCCCATACCAACTAAGTTTTTAGAATACATAATATGTTTTTTTTTTTTTTAATTTAGGCTTTGTATTTTATTGAATTTTTTGTTTTTACTGCTCTTAAATTATTTTCCAGCTTTCCATGCCTCAAAATCTCAGAGCTTGATAAGTGAAAGTCCTTCTTGGAGAACCAAATTTGGCATCCCCTGTTTGACCATCTCCATTTCTGTGGCATTCCTCGGGTATTGTATTTCATTTCCGTTTTCATTATTATTTGTGGCCGTCCGACTTTGACTCCAATTCCGATTGCCAGTGGCTGTTCACGCCCCCATTCTGTTGTTGTCTCCGCTGCCCCTTTTTTTTATTATCGCTGCTGTCTTGGCCTTCTTGCCTTGGCTTTTTGTGGAGCCAACGAGAAGGAGCACAAGAACAACGTCAACGGCGATGGCAACTTCCTGCTATCGTGCTAATTTCCGTTTCTTTATCTTGACACAATGGTGCGCATTAAAAGCACGATGGGCAGGGGGTTTTGGCTGGGGCAGGAGAAACTTCACAGCTAAGGGCGGTTTATATAAGAAGAGGGCGGGACATCCCCAAAATCAGATGCAGCTGTGACCGCTGCGCTTTTATTTCCGCCCCATTCTAAATGGGGTTGTACTTGGTCGACAATATGGAGATATAGTGTATCATCGTAGAAACAAAATATTCTTTTTTATTTAATAAAAAATATTTGTTTAAAAAAATTAGTTATATTTAAAACATTATTTAAATAGCAGCAACCTTGAAGAACTTTTTTTTTATAAAATCATTTGTGCTGAACTATTTTGTGCCTCTTAAAAATGTTATTAAACTTAAACTAACATTTAAGCATAATTTCAACTCCTTTTTGGTACTATGATTACAACTCTTGACTAAAATTCTTAAGCTACCGCTTCCTAACCCACTTTACCACAAATTTCTGTAGCTATACATACGCCATTTTTGTTTTGGCTTTGTCAACACAATATTGAGACCCCCAATGAAGGAGCCATTTGAATTGGTGTGGATGTTCCCCATTTTGGGGTAGCTTTAGGATACTTTCATCTCTCTCACTGCCCCAAACTTCATCCCCGCCAAAGGACGAAAATTTGCATTCAGCAACATGAAGAAAATATTGATAAATGCCCGCCATTAAACGCGATTAACAATTTGAATTATGTGGCAAAGCCAAATTTTATTGCCAACACAAACAGTCGCAACAAAAATTCTATGCCCAAACAAATGGCATCATTATTAAAATATATATATACGAATGTATGTTTGTGCATACACCGACCATAATTTCCATAGATTATTTAAGCGCGGAATAGACGCGTATTTAAAACAACATTTTGGTTGATTTTTATTTTAACATTGGTGGGCGCACGTTCGAAAATTTGTGAATGCAATTGCGCGAAAGCGAAAATGATTGGCAATTGTTTGGGTTGGCATTCAGTTCCACTTTTCGGCAACAAAAGCCTTTGGTGACTTAATGCAATTTTAGTCTAAACAGTTGCCATCAAAATTTTCAATGAATTGCATCAATTGCCGGTCCATTGTTGCCGCTCTCCCTCAATACGAATATATTTTTTCTTCCCGCAGCCCTTTTTGTTGTTGTTGCTGTTTGCAATCGAGTGGGCGTGGCACGGTGCACACGACAAAATATATATATAGAGTGGGCGGTTGGTGTTTGGGTGGCAATGGGCGATGGGCGGTTTGGGTAATAAAATAATTGCAGCGCACGTGTCAAAAATATTTAAAAAGGCTTAAGAGGGATTTTGCCGGGTTGCGCGATTTTAGTGGGTGGAATTTCCTGGTTCTGCATTGCAGCATGAAACGGTTTTCCTTTCCGTCGACCCATCTCATATTTGTATTATTTCTTTTCCTTTTCGGTGTTTTGTCCAACTGATTGCATAAATTGTTGTGGAATTTCATCAAGTTGATGGCCGAAGTTCGTTTTTTGAAGGGTGTATGGTTTGTGCAGAGGGACGAATGCGGTTAAACTGTGAGGCACTTTACTTCTTGGTAGAAGTGTATTATTTTAGTCTATATGTGAAATTTATTTTTATAATAACTTCCTTAAGTTCATGCTTTTGGGAACAAAAAAATTGTTTTTAAAATGTACATAATTTATTATCTGGATGTATCTTTGCTTCAAAATAATTGAATTTAGTTACTAAGATTATATGATATACCAAACAAGGATGTTCGTCAACAGTAAAATATATTAAAATGAAACTGTAATTTTTTACAAAAATATTTAAGTCACAAACAAGTTTTTTCCCATCTTAAAAAACATAACTTAAACCTTAGAAGAATTGCTCCATTATTAATATTGTTTAATTTGTAATAAGAGTACCTACCCTTCGTGGTTATTTTTTTTACAAAACTATAGTGAGTTTTTTGTGTGCGTGTCGGCCTGGAATTTGTTTTGATTTGCAACAAATTTGCTCTGGCATTGTGGGTATTTCTCTGTCTCTGGGCAAAGAGCGTTTTATTGCTTTTCACTGTCGCCTGTGGGTTTGAGCAGATCGGGGGTGATGAGATACTATATAGGGGATAAGGGAGAGTGGCTTGGATTGGCTTGGGGTGGGGTGTCCTCGGGCCGGGCATTGTTTACATTGTTGTGGTGTGAATAGCAAATAAGCAGCAACCAATTCGAGGCAAATCCCATTTTTATAGCATACTTTCGCCTCATCTCTTTATCCTCAACACCAACCGCACAGAATGCGAAGTCCGCCCGCCCATAAATTCATTCTAATTGCAGTGCAGAGAGTCAACGCAGCAAAAATTGTATTCCCACATTTTCACACCTCATTAGTTGGCAAAATCACAGAAGAGGAATGGGGAAAAAAGGGTTTCCGTAAAGTGTAAAAAATAAGCGTTTAATAGAAATCCAGGGTAAAATGCATTTACCGCTGCAATCTGTGGCCACAAAATCAATTTGCGTTTAAAATATATCAAACCGATAAGGAAAATGGAAAAGTGCGGGGATAGAAATTAAATGGCTTTCGTGTCTGTGGCTGCAAATTGATTGATTTTGCTGTGACAGCAACAGTAATTGAAAACATTTTTTGTTAACTATTAGTTTTTCAACGAAATCTGTCACGTCGAAATGGGGACATCTCTCCCCAAATCATCCTCCGCACCTGTGTCCGTATCCTTTCCGGTTCTCGTAATCTCACCGCCATCTCAAAGGATCCGGATCTTCCTGTTTTGGTTAAATATTTATTTCTTAAGGAAACGACTTATGGATACCTATGTAAATATTGAACTGTAATATTACTTTAAAACCAGACTTTCAAATAATAATAATAAAATAATAATTAAAGTTCAGAACCATATTAAAGATATATGAC